TCAGGGTATAAAAAAAAACATAACAAAAATAGTTAAGTAACCCAGGGAAGACAGGTTAAAGATAAAAGATGCAACAAAAATTGTCTATAAAGGGTATTTTAACTAATTTCCAAAAATATTTTTATTGCTTCCTCAACTCTGTCAAACTCCAACAACCAAGTATTAATCCCACAAAATCTAAATCTAGTGCATACACGTACACATTACCAATTTCTTTTTAAAATAAAATATATGGTTAATTAAGTATCAAAAGATTGGCAATAGTAGCAGCTATCCACTGTTCAATCTACATGTATATACTTTGCTTGTCGTCTGTTTGTTTGTATCAAAACAGCTAAGCCGATTGGGTCCAAGTTTTTGTGGGACCTTATGTGACCCCAATGAAGGTTTATGGATGATCGAATTTTAAAAAATTTGGTTCTAACAAAATTCGATTTTTTAAAAATTCTGAAAATCCAAGAAATTTATTATAAAATCCGCGAAATTTTTGTTTTAAAATGTATAAAAAGAGAACATGTCCACAATTGAAAAAGAAGATTGGCGCGAAGCGCAAAAACTCTAGTACTCAATCGTTGCCTGCGAATTATAGAAGAAACTTGTTAACTGTTACGGTGTACACTAAAAGCCTAGTACTCAATATTTGCCTGGGGACTATAGAAGAAACTTGTCAACTGTTACAGTGTACACTAATTGCACATTATTTCCTTCAAAGTGATTTTTAGTAAAGAAAAAGGTGTCAATTTTGATGTAAAAAACGCGACATAAAACTACATTTAGTGTTTCCACTACAAGAAAATGCACTTGATATCAATAGAAATGGCACAATAAAGGGTCCTAACAATATAATATAGCCTAGCTAAATAATAGATCCCAAAGGAATAAATAGAAAACTAAATATTGAATAAATAAATTAGTTTTGGACCCCTGGTGTTCATACAAAATAATATTTCTGAACAGGGTGCACCATTCGCACCATGGCTTCCGTTTCAAAATTCCTTTTTTTCAATGAAAGGAAGAGGGGGGCGGGGTTACGACAGATGATAAAACCGGAACGATTGAGACTTAAGAGACGACTGTTCGGAAGTCCCTGTGTATCACTATAGTTTCAGTAGAAGTAAATATTTCCATTTACTAATATCCCCAATTGATTAGATAACGAGATAGATAGAAAGATAGATGTTACAGCCATACTATTTCTATTGGTTCAGAATAGACAACACACACATGACTGAATCCTAATTGGATAAGGCGCTTATGGACTCGGCATACAGGAGTGGCATAGTGGACAGGAAAACAAACACAATTTAAGGCTATATTGACCAAATCTAACATTACGACATTCATATTCATAGTTGGTGGGTCGTCTTTTCAGTTTTATTCATTGTGGGTAACCCTGTATAATTAAAAATCAGCATAAAAAGATATCAGACTTGACTGTTTGGTTTGTAGGGTAAGAAATAAAAGTAAAAATCAGCACAACAGAAAAGTATTTTTTATAACGTTTTTGAGACTGAAAGGCGAAATTGATAAAAAAAAAACACACCTGGGTATATTCTGCTTTCTCCTAGCAGAACAGGTCTTCAGGAAATGGTGAAAACTTTGCCAAATTTAGTACAAATATTCGAATCGAAATATGTAAAACTAAATGCTTTATTTTTTCTAAAGAAAGGGTTAATTATAATAAAATAACCCCAATTTTATTGAATAAATTAACTTTACCATTTGTCAACGAATTAAAACATTTAGGAAATGTTCTGCAAAGTGCTAATTCCATGACCATAGATTGCAATAAAAACGAGCTATTTTCATTTCAAAAATGTTAGCCAAGAATTTTATTTTAACAGTCCTGATGTTATTTTGAAACTGTATAATATTTATTGTTGTAGTTTTTATGGATCTAGTATTTGGGACTTGAGTTCCCAATGTGTTTCAAAATTGTATACAGCATGGAATACTGCTATTAGAATTCTTTTTAACGTACCTAGAGATACGCATAGGTACTTGATTGAAAGTATTTTACAATGTTTACATGTAAAAACTATTTTAGCTAATAGATGTGTGTCTTTCTATGAGACTATTGCTTTGCATTAGATTTCTTTCTAATCTATATATAAATTTGGCTTGTCTGTCTGGGTGTTTGTTTGTTTGTTTGTATCCAATAAACGCCAAAACGGCTGAACCGATCGGACCCAAATTTTTTGTGGGACATCTAGGGACCCCAGGGAAGGTTTATGAATGATCAAAATTTCAAATATTTGTCTCCATCAAAATTCGATCTACATTAAATTTTTAAAAATTTTAAAAATCCACGAAATTTTTTGTGAAAATCCGCGATTATTTTTGTTTTGTTTTACGATGTACACAAAGAGAACATGTTCACAATTAATTTAGAAGATGGGAGCGAAGCGCCCTCTAAGGCTAGTTTATGTAAAAATGACCTTAACACAGTTCTTAGCAGAAATTTATTTTCTATTGCAAATGATTGTTCTGTAAATCCTTTGGATCTTAGTAAAATGTTAGTTAAGAAACAAATGCAATATTTTGATGTCCCATTGGAACATGCATGGAAAGTTCCGGTTTTACAAGAACTTTTAAATACAAGAACGAATAATTTATATGTTGAGGGATTCGTTGATTACGTAATAACTGAAATGATAAATATGTTATGTAATGAGAAATGTCGTGCATAATTTTGCATATTTTTCTCTTTTCTTTAGGAAACCTGTATTTTCAAAATTATTTAAACAAATTTAAACTACACCATTGTCAACCATTAACTTCAAGACCCCCCCCCATCCATGTAATGTCGTCTTCAACCTAAAATCATCTCTCGGAGACGAGAAACCAAACCAAACAATTTCAGCCCCGCTTCTCTTTGTTCTCCGACAACGGAATATAAACACTTTTATTAATTGTGAACCATTTCAAAGGTTAAACAAAGAATTAGTGACTTTCGTTAACATTTAATTGTCATTCTTTTCAGAAGTTTTAATGTATAAAAAAACGTCTTAGGACTCCCCGACGGTTTTAACCTCTCATCCCTAATTAGATCGTAAGAATCTTTCCACTGTAAAATTATAAAACTTTGTAACAAACTCGTGCATTATTATCAATTTTTTTTTTTTTAGGAAATAAAGAGTTTTCTGCATTATCGATTTTGATTTGAGGGTTATTCCGGTGTCTATCTGTTCATCGTCAGAATATTGTTCCTATCCGACAACAACCATTTATATATGTATTTATATCTTTGTGTGTGAATAAATCTTTATAATAAAAAAAATACCCTTCAAACCGTTATCTGAATAAATCTTCAGCCGTATATCTTTCAGGTCTCAACCGCAGTTACAAATCAGCAATTTTTAACTAGTAAAACTAGGATATCTTAATAATTTTTGCTCAAACTAAAATTTAAAGGAGACACTAATATTATGCTCATTAAATTGATTTCTTAATATTATAAGAAAGGAATATTTACTCCTACAATTCGACTGTGTCCCTCCATTTCAAGAGGGGCATGGTAGATTCACAACGGTATAGTTGATCATACTTAGCTTTTAAGTGCGTTACACTTTAGTTCATTATTTAACGGTAACACTAAAAAAAAAAATCAAATCAGACTTCTAGGGTTGTCTTACATCCATTCTATAATTCAAAAATGACTACTACAGGGTGGCCCAAAAACATGGGAATTCAGTGAATGTGTCTATAATGTCTCCGCAAGATTAACAGTGAAGACGGACAAGTGTTTGTATACTGTAATTTTCTTGTTTTACTAAGTACAACCATATGCAGTCAAATCATAAAGAAACAAAATGTGAACATAGCAGACGAAACTCCTACAGATTACAGCTTTCTCAGTAGGAATCACTATACTTAATCAAATAATTATCTCAAAAGACGATATCAAATTCGTCACTGAATTCCCATGTTTATTGGGACACCCTGTATATTAAATTATAAAGAATTATGCATTATTAAGAAGGAATACGATCATGGTTTGAACATAAAACTGATCAAACCGATTATAGTATCCGTGTAGATTATAGTTCTGATAATGAAGTGGATGGTATGGGTTAGGATTACACTGACTCTAATAGTCATAAAATTTCGTTGTGGATTTTATTATTTTAGACTAAATAAGTATGGTATACCTAGATCCAATTGAAGTTCGTGGTCCGGACTACTGCTCTTGAGTTAACCGTATTCCACTTTGCAAAAAACTTGTCCAATAGTACATCTAAGGCCAGCCCTCTTTCAAGGAACTCCTTCCTGGTTAGCTTCTCTTCCCCTAGAAACGTTTTTAGGGCATCTATGTCGTCCAGTACCCCCGACCGTCTTTTAATAGCCTCCATGGTTTCTTCTGGGATAAAGTTTCACACTTGAATGGATATCCGGTCATTGTAGAGTGCTTTGCAGCGCAGAGTTACATGAAATTCATTATTTGGGCCTTAAAGGCACAATGGGCACAGGTTTACTCTATCCCAGTATTGGATGCGGCGTCTGCAGGTCTATATTTATCCCTGTTTCCTAATCCAGCATTCATGCATCTAAACTTAGTTATTACATAATTACATTTGAACAGCGATTGGATGTGGTCCACCATTTCCTTGGAACCGGATGCAATTGCAATGAGACCAGTCGCTATATTGAATCCTGGATTTCAAGCTGATAAAAGGAGTGTAGTTTCTTTGCAGTCAAGTCTTCAGTTTCCTAATCTTGATTTAGATATGGGGATAACAGCTCATGCAGATTCCGGATATCAAGTGAGTGTGATATTCCAAGCCATAACTGCTTGAACTAGTTCACAGCCAACAAAGTCTTCTTCTTGTGATCTCTTGAAGTATCGTAGTTTAGCTAAAGACACAAGAAGACGGGTAGGTTTCCAACCTAATTCTACATATACTCAGGCATTTGTCGACGGGAAGGAATGTTCCAAATAGACTTCCCCATCCTTGTCTGAATTACTTCCATCATGACACACTAACACAGCATATCTAACATTTAAATCTTCAAAAATATATTTATTCGTTTAACAACATTACAATAAATTTCTCTTATTCTGATAATCCCGCATACATTAATAATTATAATATACGGTAGAAAAAGTAAATTTTTCAGATTACTTTCTGATCACATCATGGAACAATCAAAGGCACAATTAGCAATTTACCATATTGAAAAGGCACTAATATCATAATCTTTCAGACAATGAATGTCAGTGTACACTAAAGTGAACAACTAAAACATTCAAAGGTTTAAACCGAAAAAATGTAGAAAGTTTTTGACTTTAGACGATATCAAATGGTAAAAAACTGAAAACTTAACCATAATGAGACTTCTTCCTAAATTAAACCCATTAATCTAGGAGAACTATTTTGTAAAACATATGTTGCTTGATTGTAAGGGTTTGAATATAAGAGTTTTAAAAAGAACGATAAATGGAGTAAAGTAATATTTAGAGAACAAAGGATAAACCCCAATGCTCTTTTCAAGATACTGTTCGAACTAAACAAACAAAATGTTTCAAAACTATCTTATTTGATCTGGAAAAATGCTCTTTCTGAGAATTTGCTCTTCCCTCCATTCTCATCCACACTTCTAAAATAAAAAATGGATTGTGAAAATATTTGCAAGTCAATAAACTGGGGGGAGGGGGGGGGGTCTCATAAACTGTAGGAAGATGAATACACTAAGCTTTTAAAATAAACATGACCATTTTGTGACTAAAAATTTAACCATTTATTAAACCAAAAATATTACCATTTTAAACCAAAAATATGACCATTTTACATAATAAATCTATAATTTTTAATCAGAAATATAATTATATTTTAAGCAAAAATATAACCATTTTTTAACTAACAATATGACCTTTTTTCATCAACAAATGTAACCAAAAACATTATGATTTTCAAACCAAAAAATAACCATCTTTTTTACAAAAAAACCCCATTTTTTAAACAAAAATTATAATCATTCTTGTAACAAAATTATCCATTTTTAAACCAAAAATGTAACCAATTTTCAGCTAAAAATATGACCATTCCAAAAATTTAACAATTTCTAAACCAAAAATGTAACCATTTACTTTGCAAAAAATATAACACAATAATTTTATAGGTTTAATAAAAATTCAATAGATTATTTTCAATCTAAAGGCTATTCCACCAAACAGCACTAGTTCTTTGATACAGTAGATTACCGCAAAAATAGTGTTTTGGTTTAATGAAATTTTTGTTTTATTGTTAATCGAAAATGGTTATATATTTGGTTAAAACAAAAAGTTATATTATCTTTGGTCACATCACATCACATCACATCACATCACATCACATCACATCACATCAAATATATTTCTTTTAGCTTTGCTAATTTGCTTTACACAAACAAAATTTTTAGATTTTTTTCTTTCTCCTTGGTCAACACTTAAAAATGTGTTTTTTTGAGCAAAAGTTTTTATTTAAAAATCAAATAGTGGCAGAATATCAATATTTTGAAGGAAAAAATAATATGATTATCTTTTAAGCCAAAATGTTAAGTGTGCCAATTAATCAAAAGATCATAAGTGGCATCCTTAAAGTAAAAGGTAAGGTAAGATTGTAATTAAAATACAATTTTTGGAATTAAAATGGAAATTATTCAATAAGAGTTTTTATTAACGGATATTATTTAATTTAATAAAATTCTCTCAAACCCCCTCCCCCGGCTATGCCCCCTCTCTAAAATAAGTGTGATTGATTTTGGGGTTAAATAAGGAAAACAAGTAGATAAAGGAAGGAGGTCCAGAAGATAATTTACATCTTGTAACTCGAGGTAATACAATTAATATAAATAAGAATTTCTGTTCTAATAATCCACAGTCCCGGTTTAGATTCCAGGAGTACCCCAAGTCCCTGTCTAGTTCCGAATTTATGTTCCCTTTAAAGGAAAAAAAGTTGTAAAGATACCTGGTCAAATGTCAAATATCAAGAGGCCAAAATGTAATGGTTGCCAAATGGAAAAAAAAGTTAAACGTGGCTCGGACAGATAAAAAGTTGTGACTCATTGTAGACCCCCCCCCCCCCTGTAAACCAAGGATCTAAAACCAATCAGACCTGATTTTGAAGATATAATGTCCTGCACCAAGTGGACCAATCTCACATTGTCCACTAGGTTTACCGTTCGCAGGTATAGGAGGTGTCTTCTTAACAATAAAAAAAAACATCAAAACTGTTTTTACATTTTCTTAATTCAAAAAAATTTTAGGAAGGGAAAGTTCCCAACTATTTCTATGACCCAGACCTAACAAACAGTTTCAAATTTTCCTTCCCTCTGTATAAAGAATTATTTTTGTTAAGGGTATGTATTCTTAAAAAATCATTAGTTCCCCCTTTTTACAAATATTTGTTCCTCCCAATTAAGAAAAAAATGTGTGTTAATATATATTTGAATTTTAAAAATCATTTTGGATGAAAAATAACCAAGTGTTTGGAAAAAAAGAAACCAAAAATGAAATTCTGAAAATATATATATATATATTAAATGTATATGCATTAAATATCCCTGAAATTGAATCAAATGTAACATCATTTCACGAAGTCTCATTCTAGAACCAAAATTCTAGTTTAAAACTTTTGATTACCTTGAAATCAGTCAAATCAATTTGTCCATCTTTATTCTTCTCACCAACCTTGAGAAAAGATTAGGATAAAACTTGGAGATTGGATTCTTGAAAAAAAGCTAATGCAAAGAAATTTACTTCTGAGCGGATCCCAAAATAAATAAAAATATGTATCGGTATGAAATTTTATGTCCAAAACATAATTATTTTTGATTTTTAGTAATTCAGTGGTGTTTGAAAAAAAATCTATTCTATATCACCTTGCAATACTTGAGGTTGAAATAAGTTATCTTTGAAAAGGTCTTCTCGTTGAAACTCTTGATATCCCACACAAGTTGAATATGATTCGGTTCACTGAAAAAATACAAAATTTGTTTAAGAAAATAATTTAATTTGAATTTTTAATCAAAAATGTCGCATTGGTCCAATTGGGTAAATGACGGAAGTTTAACGGTTAAAAAATTTCTATACCTTGCAACTGAAGCAGAAAGTTCAGGTACCGGTTCAGTTGGGTTTTTACCACTAGATGATGATAATGATAAATCTGGTTTTTTACCACTAGATGATGATGATAAATCTGGTTTTTTACCACTAGATGATGATGATAAATCTGGTTTTTTGTCAAGTGCTGACGAACTAACTGATTTACTTGACAAAGTTTTCTTGGCTAGCTTGACTTTCTTATCTGTTTGAGAACTAGTGAGTTGATTTAAACTTGATTTCGCTCGTGTATTATCTTTTTGGGTTTCTTCTTTATGTGTTGGAACTTTTGGTTTAGATATAAGTTTAGAATTAACTCTAGTTTTAACTCTGGATTCAGTCGATGCTTTAGTTTCAACTCTGGATTCAGCCACTATTTTAGTTTTACCTCGAGATTCAGAGAATGTTTTAGTTTTAACTCTGGATTCAGGAGCTATTTCGGCTTCAACTACTCCGGATTCAGGAGCTCTCGTATCTTCATCTGTGGGTTCAGAATCTATTTTATCATCAACTACTGATTTAGGATTTAATTTGCCTTCAACTACGGATTCAAGAGTTATCTTATCTTCAAAACCAGATTCAGGAGCTATTTTATCTTCAACTATGGGTTCCGAATCTATTTTAGCTTCAACTTCTGATTCAGGATCTAAATTACCTTCATCTACGGAATCAGGAGCTATTTTACCTTCGACTTTGGAATCAAGAGCTTTTTTGTCTTCAAATACGGATTCAAAAGCTATTTCAGTTTCAACTACTGATTCAGAAGCTATTCTAGCTTTCACTAAGGGTGATTCAGGAGCTATTTCATCTGCATATCCGGATGCTTCATTACTTAATTTTATTTCAGGATTTGTTTCTTCTCTGTTAGATATTCTTGTTTTGGATTCAAGGTCCGTCTTTGCTTTAGAAGGAATTTTTACCTCATTAATGGTTTCTTCTACTACTTTATTGGCTTCTGCAGCTTTATTCACTTCTTCAACAATGTTTGATTCAGCAACAGGTTTCAGCTCAGCAACAATTTCAGCTCCAGTTCTTATCTTACCAATGGCAGTAGTTATTGCATTGATAAATGCATTAGCCCTGGCTTTATTTGCTGCATCGTCTTTTGCCACTGTCGCAGATTTAACATTAATTGCTGCTTTAGAGGAAGCATTTTCAGGAGCTGTAACCTTCGCAGCTGTGTTCTGCTTGACAGATAAGTCTAAAGCTTGATCGTCTAATTCTTTAGAAATGTTTATCTGTGCCTGATCAGTTTGTCCAGATAAACCTAGCTGTGCATCAACAGGTTGTAAGGATAAGTCTTGTGTGGGAGATGAGATTACTTCAGGCAGTGAAATAGGATCCAAAGCAGGTTTCTTCATTTGTGTAGAAGATTGGCTGACTAGCAACAAGGAATTGCATTCTGACAAAGAGTCATCAGTGATTGGCATTTTTGATTTATTTTCTGCTATAGAGGGTTGGCTTGAAGGTAGATGAGATAGGCCCATAGCCATAGATAATTCCCTTGTGTTACTTCTGGAAAGTTGGGATACACTGGACGAAAAGTAGGGACTGATTGTAGATTCCATACGGTTCGACCTATTAATTTCATTTTGTAGTATCTCGTCTAAAACAGATGATTCATCAATGCCTGCTGACATGACAGGTTCCGTATCTTGTGCTAGCACATAATTCTGAATGTTACAAATATTGAATTTATCTAGGATTTGTTCAGATTTATCAAAGTATTCGTTCATGCTACAAACTGAATCAGTGTCAGAAGATGTAGGGCCCAGAATTGTTTTGATCTGTATGCTTGGTATATAGCAATGGTCTGTCAGAACATGATTTAAAGTTTCAGACGATTTTTTCGCTTCACTTTGTCGATTTAGTGAATTTACTTCTTCTTTCCTCCTTGGATTCTTCCTTTTCAGCTTACTGCTAGCCTTGGACACAGTCTCTTCAGATTCTTCAGGAAGAACTTTATTTGACATTGCATTGATAAAAGATTCTGTTTGTACAGTTAGTTGGGTATCTTTGGCAAATTGCATGCTGCATTGAAATCTATGCTGTAAAATTATATGAGCATTTTCCTGTCCAGTGCTAGGAAAACTGTAGTTGCATCCTGAACAGTTATAATCATGCTCGGTCTGTGCATGGGTGAGGTAATCTTCAGTCTTGAAAAATTGGAAGCATCTTAAACATTTAGTGTAAGGCAATACATCATCAATAGCGTCAATACTGTTAGTTCTCTCTTCATTTCTCTGAGGGGAAAATTTCTTGTTGGATGTTTGGATGTCAGCAGGTTTAACTCTTTTTGCTTCTGGGACATCTTCAATCTGAGTTCCCTTTCTTTTAATACTATTCTTGGTCATCAACAATAGATTCCTTTCTAAAACACTTTGGATGTCAATATTTTGAATGTTTTTCAAGTTTGCACTTTCTCGATCAACACAATCCATAGAATCAGATCTGGTTCCTAAGAGGGAAGTATGATCAGGTAGTGAGAAGATTGGGGAGTCCTGAATCTGTGTGGTTTGAGGTTCTTCCACTTCACAATCCTCCAGTTTAATGTTTAGATTTATTACAGGTTCTGCATCTAGTGAACCAGGGCAGGTAACCAGTACATTGGGTATATCTGGAAAACATTCATCTGGTTGAAATGGATCTCTTAATAGTCCAGATAAAGGTTTGATATCAGATGTGTCAACTAAATTGGATACTATTTCTGTGGAAGATGGCCCTGAAAGTTCAGATTTTATTAATGAATTTGATGTTGCAGGGTGAGAAGGAGAGCAACATTCTTGAGATTCTGACTTCTGAGATTCTTTTAAAGTCACCACGGGAATGATTGAAAGAGATGGTAAAGGGGTAGATTTGCCTGGAACAGGAGTAGCAGGAAGCAAAGTTGATAAGCGGTTAGTTGTTTTTACAGATGTTTCTTTTGGGTTTAAGGTCATGGGAGTAGGGGCACTTGAAGTACCACTAGCCCTTGTCTCAGATGAACTTGAGCTCCTCTTTTCATCAGTAGATTGCTCATCCCTTCAAATTTAAGAACGTTAAAGGGAGTGTGTGCAAAAAATGAGAGGGGGTATTGGCTGATCATTACCAGTTATACTTCTAAGTATAGTGCATATAAAGATTGGCGGATTTTTGTTAACTAATAATTTGGCAACTAACATTTTGGTGGTAACTAACAATTTGGTAACTAAAAATTTGGTTACCTCACAATTTGGTATCTAACAATTTGGTAACTTGACAATTTGGTAACTAATAATTTGGTAACTTGCCAATTTATTAACCTCAAAATTTGGTTAGATCAGGTTAGGACCATTTCTGGGCTATGCGCTGCGGCTAGGGGGCCAAGCACTGCGGCCATTTATCAAAACTAGTAAAATGATATCCGATATGTGGGGTTAGTAGGTTAGGTTAAGACAATTTCTGGGCCGTGCGTTCCGGTTAGGACAGGCTAGGGGACCGAGTTTAAAAACAGTTCTCACTGATTTTTCATGCTAAACTTTTAAGAAATCTTGCACATTGTTTTTTTTCTCTCTATATGTATTCAACAAATAAATATTCAAACAATGATTGTGAAACATAAGTTTCAATTATACAAATTGTAAGTCACCAAATTTTTAGTTAGAAAATTGTCGGTTACCAAATTGTCAAGTTACCAAATTGTCAGGTTACCAAATTGTTAGTTACCAAATTTTTAGTTACAGGAATTTTAGTTCCAAATTATTAGTTACCAAAAATGCGCTTATCGTCTATAAAGTGTGAATGGTTGAAAACAATTAATGTTAAGAGCTGCAGAGAGTCCATGCAAATTGACAAAGTAGCATTATATCACTGAAGCATTAAAATATTCTTTTAAATTTAAAAGTGATCCTTAAAAGTTAAAATATTGCAATACATAAACGTTGAATTTTATTCATGTCATTCAAATATAGTTAACATTTTTTATCTCTGTAGGCTGAAAGTGGAACTTTTAAAAAAGTTAAATCCAATTTCCTGGATTTTTATTCTTTCTCTTCTATATTTTACTTAAGGAAACTTATCTAGAATGCCATGCATTTATCATATTCTTTTTTATGAAATCCGTTAGATTTGACCTTTTTGTCCTTCAGGTGTTTTCATGAATCATGAAAAATCTCCCCTATCGGAATAATATAATTTTCTTCATTAATTTGCAATTGTGATACACACATAAAAATAGGTATATTTTTTTGTAAAAATGCTGAACATTGTTTTAAGAAAACACTGAGGTTAAAATTAAGATTTTAGTTCTGACGCATCAAATTTTGATTCCAAAGCTCTGAAAAGCGTCTAGAAATTATTTATCCCTCGATTAAACAATAAAAAAGAGAAACTTACTTCTTTTCCATGGAATTCTGTTTGTCTGTAATAGAATTCTCCTTCCCGGATTTACGTTGTTTATCCCTTTAAAGTAGTATTTTAAAATAAAAATTAAGTAAGACTTGATTCATATATAAATAAAGAGAAAATACAACTTATTGATTAGAAAAATATTTTCATATGGAGGAAGTTGCGAGGTATCAATACATGCACCCGGTAAGGTATTCATAACTTTAGTTTCTGAGTTTAGACTTAAATTTTCCATTTAATAAAGTTTCATACACGGAAGAAAAAATTGGGAACACCTTTTATGTAATATAGCTGTGATAAAAAAATCTTGTGATTAAACCGATTATCTGTTAGTGTGGAGGGAGGGGAGGGGGGGCTAAAGAAGTCATGGTTGCGGAAGTATATGTATATATAAATAAAAAACATAAAAAAATGTGTTTTTAATTTCAGGGGTATAAACGGTACATTACCTTAAAAAACATGCCCCTAACCCTGAAGATATGAACATTTTTTTTGCCTCCACATGAAAAAATAACCTTTTTATTTTGATAACACAAGATGTTAAAAAAATATTAGTTTACTCCTCTTCAATTCTTTTTTTAGAACATTGTCGCATCTTAATAAATAGTTAGAATCCCTTTATATCTAAGAACATGATGTTGTAAAGCTTACTTTTTCTTCTTTGGATTTAGATGACTGAGATCGACGTACATTCCTATATCTCTTGTAATACGCTTTGGAGGAACGATATTTCCTAAATTCATGACATCAAAAACAATTTCAAACAAAACAAAAACAATTCATTAAAATATTTAAAAAAAATGAAATATGAGTCTGTAACAAGTTTTTTTCAGAGTTTTTAATTTTCGAAAAAGTGTGATATAGTATCAAAAATTGAGTAATATATGCAAATGCATTTTATTGTTTCAGGCAAATGGATGTAAAATATTTCACTGAAAATTCGTTAATTTCTTCTTTAAAAAGTACAAAATTATTATACCTGTAATATTGTTGTTGTCAGAAATATACTTTCTGAGAATCTGGAAAAAAATGTTTTTACAGTTTATTTTCGCTCAACAAATTCGCGTAGAATTTTTTTTGACACCGCACAAAATTGCGATAATTGCTAAAATGTTTGACAATTGAACTGAAAAAATTTAACTACTTTTTAGTTCTGCAAAATTGCCTTTTATGTTCGTTTTTTAACAAAAAATTCTGTAACGTGAAAAATAAATTTAAAATAGACTTTAATTAATTTAAAATTGACTTTAATTAATTTAAAATTGACTTTAATTAATTTAAAATTGACTTTAATTAATTCAAAATGGACTTCTAATTAATTGAAAATGGACTTAAATTGATTTAAAATAGACTTTATCAAATTTATACAAATGCGTCGAAAAATAATCGAGGACTACAGGATTTAATATCTAAATTATTTGTTTGATTTTAATTTGATATTTTTTACGATCTAATTTGTATGAACGCTTCGTTCTTCGGTATGAGACGTTTTTAACAATTTTCTCTATATAGACGCAACAGATAGAAGTAAGATTAGTAGCGATCAGAAGCGATTATTTACCGCCGTAAGCCTATACCCCCTTTCATTTTTCGCGAACACTCCCTTTAAATGTAAATTTAAAAAAAGAAAAACGCAGAAATATTAAAAAAATTACCACATTTATTTGAGACTTGAAGAGTAAATACAGAGGTTTCCGATGATACAACATTGAAATATATACAATGCTGTTTTAATTTTACGTTTTGAGGAAACGGTTTGAATTATTAGAGGGAAGAAATATCTCCGGGTTAACCCAAAGTTGTAAGACACCGCTCAAGGGTAAACTAATATATTTTCCTCACCTGAATGATTTGGCAAACTTGTGTCACTATTCCTGAGAAGATAGATTGATAGTATTTGAGCCCCTCTTTTATCCCATTCTCAATCCAATTCTCAAGAAGCTCTTTGTTTATTTTTGTTTTACCATCCTTTCTTCTCAACTCATCTAGGCAGACAGGGACAGCAAAATCTTTAATACTTTGATTCTTTCTCATCAGTTCTTTTGCGATAGTTGTCATTGTCAAGCAATCTTCATCAGCCATCGTTTCAGCAGGTTTTACCCCACAGAACCCTTGATTAGCCATATTATTGGATTTTTTAGAAACTCCCACACCAGATCCTTGATCAGCCATCTTCAGTTTTTTCCTGGGATTTCCCCGATCAGATTCTAGATCAGCCAAATTCTGCTTTTCCCTGGGATTTCCCCTTTTAGATTCTATATCAGCCATCTTCTGGTTTTCCCTGGGATTTCCCCTTTTAAATCCTAGATCAGCCATCTTCTGGTTTTCCCTGGGATTTCCCCTTTTAGATCCTATATCAGCCATATTCTGGGTTTCCCTGGGATTTCCCCTTTTAAATCCTAGATCAGCCATCTTCTGGTTTTCCCTGGGATTTCCCCTTTTAGATCCTATATCAGCCATCTTCTGGTTTTCCCTGGGATTTCCCAAACCAGAATCAGATCCTTAATCAGCCAAATTATTGGATTCCCTAGGGTTTACCCTCACTCATATTCATCCTACAATCTGACAGGAACAATCCTGAAATCAAGTTAAATAAAGGGATTAAAACTTGTTTTAATGAATTATAGACGTTTGATTAGTATGATCGAGATTATAACTAAACGAAACTAACACGGAGTGATCGGTTAAGGAGAGGTGGTTGAGGTTAAGTCGCGAAGAATAAAAACGGACTCATAAAACTAATTTAATGTCGCCTTCTCTCAAATTCATATTAAAAAGACTATATTCTAACGATTTTTACAGCCATGGCCGCAGCGCTCGGCCCCATAGCCCGTCCAAGCCGCAGCGCACGCCCCCCCCCCCTATCCGCAGCGCTGAGCCACCTCCGTAGCCTGCAGTGCAACCTAATCTTTCTTAAATTAATGCTAAAAATATTTTAAAATTTTTCTTTTTTTAATTGAGAGAAGACGACATTAAATTAGTTTTCTGAGTCTGTTTTTTGTGGCCTTTCCGCGGTGAGGCGTTTCCAAAGCACCAAAATTGGGATTCATTTTAGATGTAAAAGTAAAATTGTTCTGTAGAAGTATATTAACTTTTCATAAATTATTGCACAGAGAAACAATACAAAAACCGTTAAACCAATTACTATTAAAATTTAACATTTAGAAAACTATAAAAAAAATTTTAATGACGCATTCTTCTTGCTCAAAAGCAATCCAGAAATCTGCAAAAATATTATTAAAAACCTGTTCTTTAAAACAAAATTAGTTAACAAAAGAATTTATCCTAAGTTTTTAACGCATTTACTGAACAAATCACAAGTACGTTTCTCGTACATGAAGTGTCACAGAGTGTGTTGAAGAATTTAAGATCTTAGCAAAATAACTATATCCGTTCACTACAAATTTTACTATAAGGTTTACTAAACCAATGATTCAGACACATTATTGACTTTTAATAATCTTATTTTCTTTACTAAACATTAAGCTTGACCATTTTACTGGGAATTGCACTCCATCTATTTGATACCCCAAAAAGTCATTAATTCTCCCAAAATATCAACCCTAAATTACATTATAATGATATACTGGAATATAGTGAAAAAAAGATAATTTATTACTAGGTAGGAAATCATTTTTCAAGTAAACCTAAGACCCCTGAACAGCGCATAAGCATAAAACCCTATATATGCATATTAATAACGACGTTATGTAGTTTCCCAAGGGTTTTTACCCAAGTGGAAATTTCCCGTCTGTCATAACCGCAGCTCTCGGCCACTACTGCGGCGCCTTAGAAGGCCTAACCTAACCTTAGGGAATTTGTAACTTGGGAAGTCGCCCTTGGCAGGCGCGCAACTAGACATTAAGCTAGGGGGGGGGGGCAAAGGGTTATTATTACACACGTAGCGCGAAAAATGTTTTTGCCTCCCCGCAAACATTTCTAAGGAGGGGCAAGAAAACAGTGTATCACTATTGCAACCATGATAAATCTTTATTTTGGGGTCAAATATTCTTATTTAATGGCATTTTAAAATATATAGCTTTTTTAAATTAAGGGTAATTTATTTGTTGGGGGCAAACTTCTTTATTTTTAGAGCATTATCAAAATATAATAAGGGGCATTTTTTTCAGATAATTGGTTGTATTTATATAACATTTGGGAATAAAAAAAAATTTTTTTTGGTGCAAATTAAAAATAGTGGTTGGAATTCTTAAGAAACAAGGGTTAAAATGTTAAATAAAGGGGCAAATTTAATTCTAGTGTTAGAGTAATTTGTAAAATCCAAATTTGGGGACAATTTAAAAGAAAGGGGAAAAATATAAAGAATTTGAGATTACATGGAACAATGTTATAGTTGAATTTAAGTTTGCTTAAAGTGCCGTAGGTTTAAAAAAAAATGTCTTCAAATTTTCGAGACAATTAGCTATTTTTTAAACTATATGGACCCCTGTTAAGGATTTTTTGCCCCCACTACAGGCATAACCCCCCCCCCCCTTAATCAGGCTAGGGGAGGCCTGGCCCTTGTACCCCCTCCCCTAATTGCGCGCCTCGCTCTTGGGAAAATGCATTTGGGAAAATACCGCAAGATATGTATTTAATGCCCTAATACCTCAGAAAAATCCAAGCATGCTTGCCATCTTATTCTTTACGTTTATCTGAAAATAACAAACATCAATTTACTCAAAGTACAGTTATCAAATCTTTGTTAACAATTTAATGATTGGAATAAACCAGAACAATTTTTTGATTTTATTCAATTTATTAATTAAACCGATCACAGACAGGTTTACTACATTTATTATATACCCCCCCCCCCTTTCAGAAAACTTTTAAAATTCATCCTTAACGATCACCCTTAACGATTTACTCTTTGTATGTCAAAAAAAAAATTATTTTAGCGACGGTAGAAAAAAAAAGTTTTTAAGCTCGTACACTTATATATAATATAAAATATGCCTTACAGGAATAATGTCAATGTCATAGAAAATGTCAACTTTAATATTTTTCATAAACGATTCACAACGACGATTTCATTTTTAATCGTCTTCTGAACAATTCTGATAGAAAAATATTTGATTCTCTACTGAACATACGGAGATAAATTCCAACGAGAAAAAAAAAACAATGAAATCTTTGTCCTCGCCAACGAGATGAAGGGTTGATTTTTAGGTGCAATGGTCACGGGAATTTGAGAAACGTATTTTTTGATCGTTTGAACTTATTTCAAGAGACTAGGCACCCAGAAAACAAAAACAAAAATTGCTAAAAAGAGGGTAAATAAAACCTTACTTAATCAAATCCAATCAAAAAATATTTCTTTAATAATAATTCAAAGTTTTATGGGATCAAATCTACGATAAGAGATATTTAAATTTTACAAAAGCATGGCTATCGAAGATGGATGGAATAAAAACGTCACCAGTGAAAAGACTAACAAGTGAAAAAAAATAATAAATGTAGCATTACATATGATTTAACAAAACATTGATCGATAAAGGATGGGGAAAGAATAAAAGACTAAAAATGGCGACTCGTCTCCCGATTGATCTGGTTCGAACGAGTTGTAACTGGCTGAGCGAGTGAGAGAAAACATAAAGCATGTGATTTGAGCCGGATTGATTACAGATTGTTCATGTCTCAATCACAATATTTCAAAGAGTTTCTTCAGCTCAACCATGAGAACCCAGTCTGTCTTTGTCAGCTCGTCTCTGAAGTAGTCCTTACAAGCGTCGATAGATTCACGGGATATCTGAACAAATAAGAATAAGATAAAGAACAAATCATCAAGTACTAGACAATTGTGGATACTTGGATCGAGATCAAGAAGAGCAACAAGATCAAGATTTTGATGATAAGATCGCAGGCTTTAGAGGGGGTCGCGCGATGCAGCTAGGACAGACTACGGGCTGCAAAACCACTGGAATATATATTTTTTTAAATTTCAAGTCGAGATAAGACGACATTAAATAAGTCCATTTTTTGAGGCGTTTCCGGGTTAAGCTGTTTACAAGCATCTCGTGACCTTAATCAAGGTTAAAATAGGAATTAAAATCACTATTGGATATGGTTGTAAACTTGATCATGATAAAACTTAGGATAAAGATAAGGATTATGATTACAATCATAAATAGTTGATCAAATTAGGATCGGGAAGAAGATGAGGATTATATTCGGGATTATAATCGGAATCAATTTCGGGATTTGGATAAGATCACGAGGTTTCATGATTAATATTGGGATCTGGATTAGAAAAGAAAGTCGCATGTTTGATAAAAATAGAATCTGGATTAAGATCAATAAAAAATGGTGTTCATGATCTGATCGGTATCGATAGTGTGCTCTTGGTTTAAGCATCTGGAATAAGATCAATGTTAGGTGCAGGATACGAATGAGGATGAATACTTACTCTGCTGATAAGAAGATCTGTCTCGTCAAAGTGTCGACCAAACATCTTCGGCGCCTCCCCCGGGACAGCCTCAATCTTCACGCAAACCTCGTCTCCTTTACGCGCAAACTCAACATCCTAGATCAATATTTTATATTAAAACATCCTAGATCAATATTTTATATTAAAACATCTTAGATCAATATTTTATATAAAAACATTCTAGATCAATTTTTTATATTAAAACATTCTAGATCAGTATTTTATATTAAAACATCCTAAATCAATATTTTATATAAAAACAAAAAATATGTTTTGCCCAACCACTCCAATTTTAAAATATTTAATCATTCCTGTAATCAAACAATTAATAAGAAATTTGATTCGGAATCATGAAAAAAAACCGAATTCTATCTATGTAATGAAGCTCTTCACTCATATAAATAACATAAAAAAAATACGAATTTGTTAAAAAAAAATATTTTTTCTTCGAATTTGATCTTTTTTAATTCTAAATTTGTTTCTCTCAAGTATTTCTTAAATTCCAAGGGCAACGTCGGGCTCTTCAGCTAGTAACACGTAAAAATGACAAAAAATATTTGGATTATAAAAGTATGATCCCTCTCATGGCGTACCTTCCAACTAAGTTTATTACCACGGATACTTTAATTTCCAAAACAAGACTTTTCATTAATTTTATTTACCTTGCTGTTGTGCTGTATCCCTGTGCATATTCCGATATAGATAAATTCTTTGCTCGGTACACAGATCGGAGTTCCAGTTTTTATGGTTCCTGCTTCAACCTTCACCCCACACACTATAGGGTCTCTAGATAATAAATCAAATCAAATCAAATCAAATCAAATCAAATCAAATCAAATCAAATCAAAAATCAAATCAAATCAAATCAAATCAAATCAAATCAAATCAAATCAAATCAAATCAAATCAAATCAAATCAAATCAAATCAAATCAAATCAAATATCATGAATTCTAGTTTCTACCTGGACATGTAGACGTGTTCTTTCATTATCCTCAGCTTACACGGGAATACAGCAACAGATCTAGAAACAAACTAGATTAATAAGATTAAGACATCTAATGTAGTTTATTAGGTAGTGCTCAGGATCCGGATCCGGATTCGTTGGCTTCCTTGATCCGGATCTAATTCCGCAGAAGTATGCGGGTTAACAGAGCTATGTGACAAAATATCAACCAACAACTGTAAGAAAGAAAACTATTTGCTCTGAAAACCCAAATCTTAACTGTTAAAAAATGGAGATTATCAATATCATTCAATTTGAATGTTTCATTAAGTTTTAGCACAAACATATGCAAGAGAAAAAAACGTTGTAAAAAGAACCAGGACCCAGATCTGGATTCGCATATAAAAGTAAGACAAAATGTTTAGCTAAACCTGAATTGTTCCTTTTTCTGTTTGGCCAGATCTGCTTGATATTCAGTAAACCTAAATTATTTAAAATCACTTTATTTGGGAAAATCACTGTATTTGGGATTTTTTCTTCCGATTTCATTTAAAAAGAAACAAATCCAGTAGATATTATGGGTATGCCAGCTGCATTTTCCAAATTTATACAAGAAACTGAACTCATGTTTGAAAAACTCCTCTCGTTTGGCGAATTCGTTCAGCATAACCTTGAGAATTTTGCCCGATTTCCCAGATTAATTCGATTACAAATTGTATGATGATGTTTGATAATGCAACTGGTAGTTTACCTATCGAATAAATGATAAATGATGTCTGCCTGGAATATTTTGACTCCCTCCCTGTCCGCCATCTCCTGGGCGTCTCTCTCAACCTACATCAACATGTTCATGTACAATGTACATACGTGGTTTTACTGAACACAATATGTTCAGTACATGTTGTACACTAAGAAAACTACTGTACAATAACGGTTTTAAGAAAGCAATGCAAGTAAAATAAGTTAAATATTTCTAAGGTTTATGAAGAAGGTTTAATAGAGTGACAGGATACTGTGACTACAGCTGAGTTTTAATATTGATTGTTCATCTTTATAATATTTACCTTGACGTCAAAAGCCAGAATGACGGCGTACTTGGCTTCGTGTTCAAGCATAGTGCTGGCACGCATTACGTCACGTCGAACAACAGGACCAATTCTAACCTAAACAAACCAAAAATATCATTAATCAATCAATTAATCAATCAATCAATAGACCATCCAGCCAATCCAGGATTTTAAACTTTCATGGATTTTTTCTTTAGATTTAACACAATTGCCAATGAAAAGGGAGGGGGGGTCAAGAACTGAGACTTGAATCCCTGGAGAAAAGAAGTTTTTTTTCACCCTTTTAGACACTTCTTAATTTTTTTTATTTTTACATGGATAAATTTCTTTACCCAATTCAGCGAATAACATCAGAGAAAGTAAATTTCCGATGTGCGCAAACATACCAATTATTGGAAAAAATTATTTATAAAAAAGGGGGGGATCATGTTAGAAAAATATATAGACCCCTGCGTATAAATGAAGACCATGACTGAATATAAAAATGTTTCAACATACCCCAGCATACGGAATTTTCGAAGCTTTTAAAAACTCGAGTAGCGCCTCTAAAGACCCAAGAGTTGACGCCTGCACAAACACTCCTGAAAAAAGTTCACAATTCAATTCAATTAAATTAAATTCATTCAATTCAATTCAATTCAATTCAATTCAAATAATTCGATTCGATTCAATACAACTCAACAAGCCAGGGAATGTCCAACAGCTTCCTAACCTAGCTGGGGTACGCCACCTTCACGATCCCCTCCAGAACAAGGTTTTTTAACCTGACATAGTTTAAAAATAATGTCAAACTCAAAACTAAATTTGAGCCATGATACCGGCCCTACCGGTCCGAACCCCTTCTGCCAGAGAATTATATCAAACAAATGGTTAAAGCATATAATTAAATGATTAGAGAGGGAGTTTCCCTCCCTCCGGGATTTTTATTTTACGATTTTTTTAAAAAAAGATTTTTAAATAATGAAAAATGTTAAAAGTTATGGATAAGTATAATTTGGGGTTCTGTATTTCCTTGGCATATATTTAAAGGTGATATTTAGCAGTATTTTTGTTATAAACATTAAACAGATTTTATTTAATATGCTTTTAAATGATAGCCTTTATATTCGATTAAATAAATGGTTAAAATAAGAGAATGGAAATCTCTCAAAGCAGTCCCGGCTTTACAGTTTGGTGGAGCGCTGCGTTTAGTTGCGCATCTCATATCCTACAGGGGAAGTAAGAAATGTACACATAGTATAATCCCCCTTTACCCTTCTTCCTACAAACCTCCTAATTTCTCTCCTACCTGCTCCACAACTCGAAGTCAAAAGAATTATTTGGAGGCCTCAAAGTATAGAAACAAGAAAAAAGAAGCAAGATGAAAAAAGAAAATTGAACAGGAAAAAATGGAAGGGAAATCTCTTGATTAGATATATTGATATTAGAGATGGAGGCTTGGAAGGCGTCCACCCCCCGGGGAAGGAGGAGGGGGTGAGATGATCGCCCCCCCTCCCGGCCCCCAAGAAAATATCATGGAATTGCCGTCATTGCTTAGTCAGGTGCAACTCATTAGTAATTAATTTAATACAGAGTTCCGAGAAAAGAAAGCAAGATCCTCAGCTAGTTCAATTAAATACAGGGTTTAGAAAAAAGCAAGATCCTTTAAGAATAGTTCTTACTTGTAAAGTGGCAAACTACAAGGACATCCAATTTTTTTCAAAATTAGCTGAAATATGAAAAGAAGAAAATGAAATACAGAAATCTCAAAATATTTCCATCTGATGATCTATGATTTGAATCCAAGTACCAAAATATTAAACATTGAAAAATAAAACTATGTATCCCTCTAAACACACCTTTTAACATGAGATATGATCAAAACCTTACTAAATATTTAAAAAAAAAACACAATGGAGCAAATTGGCAAAACTTAAAGAAATATTTATGGCGTGAAAAAAATGTTGACTACAAAAGTTGGAAGTTGTTATATGCCATGAAGTGCTCACCTCGGTCTTTAAGTTTAATTGCATTAAGAGCGCTTTTAAGATCTGCTTCAGCTTCCTCTTTTAGTATTTCAACCTCATCAGGATTATTCGCTACTCTCATACTAGAAATAGTTTGTAGAATTATTATTAAAATAGATCTAAAATTAAGAATCCAATATTTATATCAAATGCTGTAAAGTTACTATCAAGCCAGAATAACAAGTAAACATTTAATACATAGCAATTGATTGAACCGCGAAAGAGTTGGTTTTATTATTTAAAGAGACTGTTTAGGAAAAATGAATCAGAGTATAGGCTGAAACCTAAGCAATTTAGGAGTTGATCGAGACCTATTAGAGTTCTATCTGATGTTCCTGTCTCGAGATATTGATATAAAACTGTGTCAAATTTAAAGGAAAATATTTTTATTTAAAATTTTGTATAAAACTAGTAGGTTTAAATAGATTATATTCAGCAATTGCTGAATATAATCGTCTTCCTGTTTCATTTTCAATTTTATTTGGGTAACTGTTTTAATTTAAAAAACCTTTTTCAGCATGTACATATGAACTACACCACACACTTAACTGTACGATAAGAAAATTGATCAACTCAGAAATCGTAAAATCAGATGAGGTTAACAACCAATCAATTAATTTATCAACTAATCAAATAAAACAGAAAAGTTAATTTTTCAGTCGGACAATTGTTGGAGAAGTTGAATATTAAAGAAATGTATAATACCTGAGTCCAGCAATAACCTTTTCCAACTCCTTGGCAGCAATCTTGACACCTTGAGCTGCATGAAGCACTTTATGCTCAGTATACTGACTCTAAACAAAAAAGAGATTCAAACTAATGCTTCTGAAAGTTTCGTCATAGAAGGTAATTAATAACAAGTTCAATTACTTCTTTTCTAAGACACTCAGTCGATAAATCCTGCGGCCCCAGAATTATGAAAATTTTTTTTAACTCGACACAATAATTTGTTTTTGACCAAATTATTTACTACTTCACAGATTATTAGATAAAGCCAAGATAATACAAAAAAACTTTGCATATGAAACTAATAAACATTACACAATCGGAGGGGGGGGGGGCTGTGAGAATACACTAATAAAAGCCCAGAAACTTGTACCTTAACTCGAAGATCCTGCATTTTAGACGGAGTAAGGAGAGCTTTCACTGTCGTAACTATAGGTCCATCTGTACCAGCCAACACTAGGGTCTGTCCAAACTTCAACTGTCCGTTCACCTATAGTTTGTTTTCTTAAAAACTATTTCATTAAAATAATAATTATGACAGGAACTAAACGGGAACCCAACATTGAACCCCCAGACCGCCTTGCAGTGCATGTACAATGTACATGCAGCCTGCGCTCTGTAAAAGCAGGTACTTAAAAATCAGTACCATTATCAATCATTCGTCAAATTTCTTATGTTAAAAAACACTTACCAATACAACGTCAATTGTGGTTCCAAAACCACCGATAGCTTTCACCTCTGAAGATTACCAAAATTTAAAATAATTAATCACTTGATATTATATAAGAGGAAACGTTTATAAATTTGATATAAAATATAAAAATTAAAGTAGATTTTGGTAATTTCCTAAAACTGTTGCTTGCACTTCTTCCGTGTAAGACAACCTGAAATAAAGTAACGGCGTTGGGACTTTCTTAGAAAGACATTTCATATATAACAATATCATAGGTAGGACATTTCATGGATATGACATTTCGTAAACAGAGAAGATTTTCCATAAACAGAGATTTTTCTATATAAATGATATTTTCCCTTGTCTATAAAAAATCTTTTCTGTCTATTAATTGTGTTAATCTCGGTTAGACTTATGACGTAGACCATGTCTTCCTTCTATCTATGTCTATCGTAAATTAGTGAAAAACTGTTAATGGAAATAAAGGTTTTTACAGATGAAAAAGTTGAAATTAAGTCCTTAAGAAATTAAATAAAGTACTCTTCATATGTAATGTTTTTTTATATGTTTCGTTGTCTTTCGCGAACATTCGCTTTAAATCTAATCTTGTATCTTGAACTAAGATCTGGCAAAACGCATGGATAAAGAACGGATTGAAGTCATACATTTATTCCCTCGGTTTGTTTATATGCTGAACAATATCACAAGTTATTTACCAGTATATGAATAAAGGACATTTTACAATACAAGTCATTTACAAGAACAATAAAAGTTAAACAATGATAAAATATCAATTTCAAATTTAGAAATATACTAATAACGCTGAGGGAGGCTCTGAATTCCTGCTAGGCTTTATGTGTACTGATCTAATGTCTGTACTAACTGTACAACGGTTTAACATTCTGTTGGACTGAATATAAACAAGGCTGGGTAATGTACTGCAGTTTAAGATCCAGACTGGCTCGTGGCCATAGAGGAAGTAACAAACAGAAGTTTCTACCATATCTATCCATGAACATTAAACGAAACACGTTTTAGCAATGTGTCTGGGGAGTATTTACATTTTCCCTTGTCTAGTTGCAAAATCTGTCCTTGGAAAATCTTCTGTCTATGAAATGTCTTATCGACGAAATGTCCTATTTATGAAAATTCTTATCTATAAAATGTCCTATCTATGAAAATTCCTATCTATGAAATGTATGTCTATCATATGTCTTTTTATGAAATGTCCTATCCATGAAATATCCTATTTATGAAATGTCTTATCTATGAAATGTCTTTCTATGAAATGTCTTTCTATGAAACGTCTTTCTATGAAATGTCTATCTATGAAATGACCCAACGCCAAAATAACTATGTAAAAGTATTACTTTAAAACTAAAATGTGACAAAAAAGTAGATTTTCACGCCCCCCCCCCCTTTTATTCAGAGTTAATTTTTCCGAGCAGATTTACATACCCCTGCTTTCTCTCCCCCAGAAATATTAAACATAATTTTTTTACCGTTTTGCAAGGAAGGTTTGTGATAGTTGAACAAGCATGGCCATGAGGTTCCCCATCCCGTCTCCACTGTGGGCGGAGGTCGGAACCAGGTTTATGTACTCTTTAGGGTCGGGGTTCTAGAATATCAAAATAATCAATTAATCAATAAATCAATCGATAAATCAATCAATAAATCAATTTACCAATTAAATCAATTTATCAAGCAACCGGTCAATCAACCAATCAATCAATCAATTTACCAATCAAATCAATTGATCAAACAAGCAATCAATTAACCCTTATAACCCAGTATAAAAGGGACCACTATGTGGAACCCACAGACCATCACAAATTTTAACACTTGCAGAAAAATAGCAATTTTACTTGGAAATTGCTTAATTCTTCTAAATATATATTCTGTATTTTGGTGATACATTGCCCAAATCCCCGAAAATGTTTCCCAAATATAATAAAAAAAATTGGAAAACTTTTTCTCAAATAAGCTTAAATTGCTCAGTACGCACCTCATAGAAAAGTGATGCGTTCAATCCTTGTTCGTTCAGGCCGAGAATAACTTCATCCTTTCTCTTCTTAAACTCCATCTAAATCAGCATTATTAATATCTTGAGGGTTTTCTTTAAATATTCGATCGAACAGATGAAAAATGGATTAATTTAAATGTTTTCCCAACTCAATTTCGTAATTTTAAAGAACAAAATTGATAACAAATCTTTATAAATTACTTACTTTACTTATTAATAAATCTAATACATACTTTATTTTGGGTATGTCGTCCAAAGATGCATTGATTTAACTGTGGCTCAGTAAATTATTATTCGGCTCATATGATTGTTGCCATTTGGTTTTAGAATCAACCAACAATTCCTTAGCCAATCATTGTTATTGATAATTGACAAAACAGCTTTGAGGATTTGTTCATTACTTGTTAGACGGTTTATATTGTTTACAGTTTGATGATATACATTAAAGGGAGGGCAATATATGGTGGTTGAACTGAGATTGCAGTATTGTAGAGATATTGTTTAGGATTCATTTGAGGCATAGAAAACGGTTTGAAGATATATAATTACTGAGTTTGAGCGCAAAGTCGCCTTCCAAAATCATTAATTTGGGTGGGTACGTTTAGAGAATTGGTTTTTTAAATTATCAAATAACGACGAGAAAAAATATTGCAAAAATGCTGAAGTAAACTAATTAGATGTTTAGGAACATATTTCTCAAAAGAAACTTGTCAATAAATTAATGTTAGAATCAATTAGTTCGTTTATCATTATATTGAATTTCTTATTTTCCATGAATTTGTTCGCCGATTTCTAAAAATTCTTCAAACGTCCTCTTTTCATTAAAAATTCCAGAAAATCTGCAGAAAATCTTTGTAAATAATGAGAGATTACAGAAACTAATAATTGAACAAGATTATTTATTTTCCTTGATAAGAGTTAATTTTTATTTTCTCATCCTGTTCCTAAACAACTAATTATGTAGAATTTTGTTTACATTTTTTTCGTCATTTAATAATTTTAAAAAACCGATTTTCAAATGTATCCACCCAAGTCGATGATTTTTAACGTCGACTTTGCGCTCAAACTCAGTAATTATAGATCTTTAAACCGTTTTATAGGTCTCCTAATGAATCCTAAAAAAATTCTCTGGAATACTGCAATCTCAGTTCAACCTGCATGAATTGCCGGTAACTCCCTTTAAATCAACTAAGTTTTGATTGATTAATTGATTGATTATTTTACCTGTGTATTATGCTGTTGCATCTCCATAACCTCTCTAACGTCCTTGTGCCTGTTTGCTTTCCATTCGTACAATCTATTATATAAGTGTATTATTATCACCATCCATCCATCTGTCTATTATGCGGCTCCTAATAGTGTGATTACTACCAGTTAACCCCCCCCCCCCCCGGACCACATTAGGTGTCCAGGCCCATGAAATCTCTTTACGAGGTAAGATCTACAAATAAAACTAAATACAATTTTGCTTTCAAAAATCAAATTAAAAGACATTAGTCTTGTTGTCTGTTAACATATAAATTATTTTTCATTCACTAATTTTTATCAGTGTATTTGTTTAACCTGTCTATTTTGTTAAGTGCTACAATAAATGGAGTTTTCTTCTTCTTAAGTAGATTTAAACTCTCTATTGTCTGGGGTTCCAGTCCGTGCATAATATCGACAACTATCAGATAAAAATTTAGTCCGTTGTGCATTTATCTGCGATGTGCTTTTTGATTTTGTTCCAAAATTTATAAACTGTATACACACTGCACACTGTGCATATAGCAAATTCCTCGTAGGAAGGCGTGGTTCCTAGCTTGGCGGAGGGGGGGATAGATAAAACTCCTAAGAATGCGCGAATACCGGATAATATTTCTTTAATTCTCTCTCTCTATATTCGTATCAAAAATCCAACCTGTCTCACAGTCATAATAATCATTAACATTCGTATGAAATTAAAATCAACATTCGTATCAAAAATCGAACAACATTCGTATCAAATTAAAATCAACCTTATTGTATCAGATTCATAATAACCATCCTTAACCCGTACTATCTATAGAAACAAGCTGTCATGGCAAGCTGTCATAGAGAGAGAGAATTAAAGAAATATTATCCGGTATTCGCGCATTCTTAGGAGTTTTATCTATCCCCCCCTCCGCCAAGCTAGGAACCACGCCTCGTAGGAAGGTGTTGTGAGATCGAAGACGACATTTAATTCATTCAATGTCGGAGATGCTTTATCAATTGGAGTACTGACAATCTGAACTAATGTAAAAATTCCTTTTTATTACACCATATCGGGAATAAAAAAGCATTTAACATGCTTTGAATTTATTCAGATTATTCAAATTAGGTTATAATTGATCCATAATTCAATCCTCATATACAGAACAGGATATCAAAATTTCCTTATATACAGCCTTCAAATTTTTACTTAAACATTTTTTTCTAAATGATTATAAGACCAGTTAAAACTTATAAAGGCTAAAGCACAAATTCAGTAAGTGAACAGCTGACTTAAGTAAAACTGAGAGTTAGTCCATTCGACCATTAGTCCAATTAATATAGCACCAGATAATTACATCTCATGTTTCAGTAAATTTAATGACACTGGAACAAAGTCAAGATTTAACATTGTTGTAATAAAGTACATTTGTACTTGTAAATATTGACACTTTGCGTATAAATGTACATTTTGTAAACATATTCGCTTCGAAAAATATTTTTCAGAGTTATTTAACAAATATCTAAAATACTTTTAAGAAGTTAGTCTTAAATGTCGTCTTTTATCTTTCAACACCATCCTTGAACAGTAGGAATTCATCTATATACGACAGAAACGCAATGTGACTAGACACTGCACAGTGGTGAGTGCGATTAAATCGGGAAAAATCCTTGGTAAATATTAATTCAAAAGCTAAATTCAAGCTAGGATGATTATTCAAAGCAGCTTTCGCTTAAATGTTTTTTATATAATGAAAATAAAAAGTTATACAGTTTGTCATTAAAAATTTTAATTCCTGTACCAGTCAAGTTTGAAACCTTCAACGCAACGTTGGATCTGCAAGAAAGTTTTTTTCTTGAAGAGATATAAACCCCTTTCAGAGAATATGAAGTTTGCAGGTTACATATTTTTAGGAAAAGCAACCCCCCCCCCCCCAAAAATACTTTCTCCTTTGTACCAAAATGTTCATTTTCTTTCGCATTTCTTACGAACAATTTGTTTAAGGACTAAAAAGTTTGCCTAAGATTGCTATATCACAGAGACTGCTCCCTCTGTCCCTGAGGTTACTAAAGGATTCGTGACCAGGTGTATCAATGATAAGGAGGCCAGGGAGCTTCAGTGGGTTAGAGATAAACTCAGGAACCATCTTACATTGCTCCTAAAATAAATTAAATGTCAATACGAATGTTTCTAAATAAAAATAAAAAGGTCAATAAGAAAGTTTAATCATGAATGGGAATGTTCCACTATTTAAAAAAATATATAATTAGGGGGACACAACTAAGCCTTTTTACCACTAAATGATATTCCCGAGGTTCAGAATGACTGATATAAAGTTATTACCAATTATAGCTAAAAATCCCGCAAATAATTGTAAATAATAAGATATTTTTATGCACAACGATAAAAAGTGAATAAGAACAAATATCTAGCGTGTCTTCCAAGGTTTAAATAAGATAGGTTTATGTTTTTTATTATTTACAACTACTTTACAGGGAAGAAAAGGAAATTTTAACTTATCACAATTTTGCTGACAAAGTAGTTGTACACAATTTTATCGTCTTTTTCGATGAAACTGCGCGAATGTTTTCACGAAACCTTCGCAGAGCGGGTGGTTAGTTTACTTTATCAAGGGAAGAAAAGTAACGTTACGTCCCTATGTTAGGGGAATCATATCATAGGTCAGTAATATTTGTTGAAAGGCGGTAAAATCAGTTATCACGGTTACCTGGATGACGGAAATAGGAACATTGGTTGCTCCGATCTGCTGAGTAATACCACCTGCCTCTCCGTCCTAAATTATTTTTAAAAATAAGACTATATTCGGTCCTCGCCATTTGGTACAAAATAAACTTTTTTTCTTTCTTTATATTCAAATCTTAAAAAAACTGGATTTAATAAATTAAAGAAAACTGATATAGAAAGCTGATGAAAACCATAGTAGAGAGTCGGAAACTTTTTAATTGGAAATCAAAGACAATAGATCACAACTTACTATTTTAAAAGTTGTTTTATTTACCTGGACATTCGTTCTACGCAGCTTGTCAAGAATTTTAGTTTTTCCAGTGTCTACGTGGCCAAGTACACAAACCACAGGGGCTCGCAATACATCTGTAGTCCTGAAATTGAAGAGAGTGTCCTTGTTATTCCAATTGAAACTCCATTTAAATAGGGCCATACCCAACTTTCATTTCTACCCTCGTTTCTGTAGCATACATCCGTGATTGCTTGTAAAGAGAAACCAAAAATCAGTTTTCAACGAGAGAAACATGTACATCTGCTCTGTTCTTGAATGGTCAGACAGCTCATAAAAGTGTACTTTTGTAGATCAGACTTTATACTAAGTTTTTTTAATGTTAAGTCTATTTCTGTAACAATACATTTTATATTGCTTTGCAGAGAAATTAAAGGGCCAATATTTGGTCTGGGTTGCGAACCAAATTGATCTTAAGAACCTATAATATAGAATTATTTAAAACTTGCTGAAAAAAAAACTAAAAACTTTTTGTTTTAAACAAAATCCGTTATTATAGTAAGATTTTAATACAGAAATAAAATAAAATTAAAATTGACGCTGAGGTGAGTTTTAATTGATCATGACCATTCGTGACCAGTTATAATTTGATGTTTAAAGAATTACAAACTACTGTTCGTGACCAGTTATAATTTGATGTCTAAAGAATTACAAACTACTGTTCGTGACCCGTTATAATTTGATGTTTAAAGAATTACAAACTGATGTTCGTGACCTGTTATATTTTGATGTTTATAGGATTAAAAACTACTGTTCGTGACCCGTTATATTTTGATGTTTCAAGAACTACAAACTAATGTTCGTGACCAGTTATAATTTTATGCTTAAAGAATTACAAAATGCGCTCAAGAACATAATGTTGTGAAGCGGAATCATGGGACTGTAATTTTTTTCACAAGGCAGTAACAAATAATTGTCTAATAATTTAATTTCTTAGCAACGAAGAGCCCACGTTAAGCCCACGTTTGAGTGCTAAATTTCTTTGCAGAACATGTGCATTGTGCAGTGTGCAGTGTGCACCCCCTGAGATAATGAGATGTAAGTAAGATGTAAGCCTTGCTTAGTAGGATCTGTTAGCGACCCATGTCAGACATGCATTATGTACGTGTCCACATTGCAGCTCAAATTGTTACCCCATTCCGTCAAGTCCTACACCAGGACTAGTATGTGAAGAATAAATAATCAAAAAAGCAAAATTAAAATATTAATTAACTATGTTTTTAACCTGTTCTTTTCATTCTCCTCCTTCCTTAATCTAATTCTCTCCAGAGCCCTTCTTCTCTTCTTTTCTGCTTCTGCCAGATCTTCTTCCTCTTCCTCCTCCTCATCATCATCTTCTTCACTCTCATCCTCACTATCATCATCCTCGGACTCAGATTCATCCGAGTCCTCATCCTATTTATTAAAATACATCATTAACATTAAAATACTGCATACATCCTAAATCTTAAAATAAATCCTAAATATTAAAATACATCCCAAATCTTAAAATACATCCTAAATCTTAAAATAAATCCTAAATATTAAAATACATCCCAAATTTTAAAATAAGTCCTAAATATTAAAATACATCCTTTCGATTCATTCAGCAATATTTCGATTTTTACATGTAGCTGTTAATGGCTTCATAGACATCTGAATTTTTTTAGGAACACTTAAATGTGTATTGAACCATTTGAGTCTCGGTGGCTGCAAAAAGAAAAAATTTTATGTATCAGGGTGATTTGGGTCACCCTAATCTAAAGTCTACACTCTACATTCTAAATATCAAAATCTAATTTTTAAAACAATTTTTTTTCTCTTTATTACCTCCTCCTCTTCATCTTCGTCATCCTCCTCTGGTTCTTCCTTCACCTGCTCCACAACCTTCTTCTTTTCCTCCTCCTCCTTATTCTCCTTTTTCTGCATTAGAAACATAATTCACCATTTGAAACAAAATGTTTAGATAAATATTTAAAAAGGAGAATTGATAATTTCTAAATTTCTGAAGTTAAAATTATATATTTCCTTTGCTTTCTCTTCTTCTGTGTCACTCTCTATGTCCCAAGCATCCTTAATATCCTAATTATCAGCAAACCATTTATAAAAATTCAAAATGGCCGAAATATTCAAAATGCAGAACTTAAATTCAAAATGGCGGAAATATTCAAAATGGCGAACTTAAATTCAAAATGATCGAAATAGTTAAAATCGAGAACTACAATGCAAAATGGTCTAAATGCAGCAGAATCCGTCATTTTTTAGTTTACAGTCCCAGTTATTTCAGCAAAAACAGCTCTTGGGGCAACTGCAAGCAAGTTTGCAGCAGCCATTATTTTGTCCTGCTCAACAGCTCAAACTTTAGGTGAATCAAAATGGCGGCCGTTTGTAACAAGAAATTAAAATGTCTGAAGAATCAAAGTTTTAAGAATTAATAAATCTGATAATTAAAACAAGCCTTTATTTCTTCCTCCTTTTCCTCCGTTGGCAATTCCTAAAAACAAATATTATAAAACTTATTAATTTTTTAAAGTTTAACTAGTTTTACTATTAACGACGTACATTATCCATCTACGCTTTAATGAGAAAGATATCTTTGCTCTTAAGATATAAGTTTGAAAGGTTATAATATTTTTTTAACTCTCTCATATTGATAAGTTTTGGTTAGTTGATATTTCTTGTTAACTAGCAAATTTACCTCCGGTAGTTCAGCAGGTGTGTCCGTGGAAGCTGTGTCCTCTGTTTTCTCTTCTCTAACCTCATTCTCCTCCTCTTTAGCCTCTAACTCCGGGGTCGTCTGCTTCTTGTTCTTATTCCTTGGTTTAGCTCCGGGTCTTAGTCTTTTCTCACCGGCCACAGGTACATTTACTCCCTGGTAAAAACATCGTTAAGTTTAATTTTTTAATTTTTCTATGTTTTTTAAACCAAATAATTGTTTCGAGTTGGCAAAACATTTAAAGACAGCTCTTTCTCACTTTGAAAATTATTTTTAACGAATGCCTGATTCAAAATGGTGGACTTTTTTACTTTATCTAGCAACTAATTTTTAAGATGTTGTTAATTTCTGGCCTTATGGGACTGAGGTTGTTAAATCAAGTAAATTTACATTTAAAAAGAGGGACATGTCCGATTCACAACAGTCCCCTTACAGCTTTTATCTGATAATTTTTGCAAACTACTATACCAGTTGTTATTCTAGTTTGAAAAGTGTTCAATATTGATAATTTCCATCAATTATATCTGCAGATGAAATGCATTATTGCTTAAGTCGCTTTTTAAAAAGTTGAACAATTAACACAGATATTGGATATCAAATCCATTCTTATTCAGACAAGGCTTTTAAGGGTACCGTTGTGAATCGGACATGCCCCTCCAAAATAAATTACTACTATCGTCCCTATAAAAAAAAGATTTTATGGCAATATCCATTTTTTTAGTGCAAAATTTCTCAGGTCACTTAATGAAAGAACCCGTATTTGAAAATTATCAATATTTTGATAGAAAAACATGAATATATATTATATATATTCCTTAATGTTGTTTAGAAAATGTTTCAATGGTACCGTTACGAGTCGAGCATGCTATTATTTAAAAAAAGGGGGGGGGGTCCCAATAACGTCGACAGTTCCTATTTAAGTTTAATGATGGTACCTGAGCCCGCATCGCTTCCAGCATAGCCTCTGCTCTTGCCTTAGCTGCCTTCTGTGCCGGAGTCAACAGTTTTCCTTGGGCCTTCAACTCTGCTTTCTTCTGCTTCTCCCTCTCCTTCTTCGCGGCTCTCTTCTCCTCCTCCTTCTTCTTCTGTTCCAGCAACTCCTTGATTCTCAGATCCTCTAACCGTTCCTTCTCCTCTTCTTCCAACCTCATTCTCTCCTCTTCCTCCTTTTGACGCTGAAGAACTTCCTGCATTGCGGCTAGGACGGCTTTGTTAGGCTTCTTCTTTTTCTTATCTTCCTCCTCTTTTTTACCCTTCTTCTTTTTTCCCTTCTTATCCCCACCTTCTTCTTCTTCTAATTCTCCTCCTTCAGGAGTGGCCTCAGTCTCGTCTTTAACTCCCTTCTCTTCTTTTTCAACACTGTCCTTCTTTTCAAGAGTCCCCTTGGACTTCTCATCCGTTTTCTCTTTCTGCTTTTGCCTTTCTCTCTTCTCTTTCTTCTTCTGCGCGGCGGTTTTGACTGTTCCGCCGACCTCTTCTCCGTCTATAACCTCAAAACCAGCATCCTCCGCCTCTTCGGTATCTGCTTTAGGTTCCGCCTTCTTCTTGTCTTTCTTCTTCTTCTTGTCCTTTTCTGTATCTGAACAAATGAAAATTTAATTGGTTTTCAGCAGTGCTTGGGATCCATTCCATTTCAGGATCATGGTGATAAAATGATTAACTTTATTGATAGATTGTTTCCAAAATACATTATTTTGTATTACTGATCTAGCGCGTTCCCGGATACGGGTTTTTAGTTTTAAGAACTGGGTCTTCTTTAAATTACCTGCAAAAGCATTTTCCGCCTCGGGGGGCGGAGCTTCATCATTATACTCCGCCCGTAATGCGGCCAGCATTGCATCTGGGCATTTAATTTTCAAATTTTAGGCCTATATTGTGAAGTGCTGTATTGTTAATCTAAAAATGTTGTGGCATATTGTATGGACTAAGATCTTATGCGTAGCAGATTTGATAAAATTGAGATACTAAATTTGGCAGATTTTATGTGGCATATTTTTTCTTGTAATAGGTATTCATCCAGAATTAACCTCGATGAACATTAAACCCCTGTGAGTGTATATTGTAAACTTCAGCAGAATTTTCCATGTATGTTCTATTTTATCTGAATGTTATCTAAAGTTGGTTCATGAAGTATCCTCTTTTTTTTATAGAAAAAATATCCTAATTAAAGGGAGTGACCGGCTATGTAAGGTAGTTGAACTGAGGACGCAGTGTTGTGGAAAACTTCTTTGGGATTCATTTGAGACATATTTCACTTTTTAAAAGTCTGTATATCCTGAGTTTGAGCGCAAAATCGACGTTCAAAACCCCTGATTTGGGGGTGGATACGCTTTCCGAATTAGTTTTTTTTTAATTATTAAGTAACGTCGACATAAAATGTAAAAATATTCTACAATAAACTAGAGACGTCATGTTTAGGAACATTTTGAGAAAATAAAAATTAATCTTATCATCGAAAATAAGTAATCTTGTTCAATTATTAGTTTCTATTACCTCATTATTCTAGTTTCTCGTTATTCACAAAGATGTTCGCAGATTTTCTATAATTATTATTGAAAAGACGACATTTAGAGAATTTAAAGAAATCTGCGAATAAATTCAAAGAAAATTAGAAATTCAATATAATAATGAAAACGAAATAATCGATTTTAGCATGGATTTATTGATAAATTTCTTTTGTGAAATATGTTCCTAGCCATCTAATTAGATTACTGTATAATTTTTACGTTATTTTTCGTTGTCGTTATTTAATAATTTAAAAAAAAACTAATTCTGAAAGGGTATCCACTATCCACCCCCAAATCAGGAGTTTTGAACGTCGAATTTGCGCTCAAACTCAGGATTTAGAGATCTTTAAAAAGTGAAATATGTCTCAAATGAATCCTAAAGAAGTTTTCGACAACACTGCATACTCAGTTCAATTACCTTACATAGCCGGTCACTCCCTTTAAAGAAAATTTGATCTTCACTTGTCAATGCGAAAAAAGGTTTTATCCAGATTTTTACTTTTTGAAATGAAAATAATAAGAATTCGAAAAAAAGAAAATTTGAAATGATTTTCCTAAATCCTCGTCATCGTCATCATTCTTCTTTTTCTTCTTCTTCTTTCCTTTCTCCTGGACAACAAATAATTAGATTCATTAATTAGATTAGATTAGATTAGATTAATTAGATCGGAATTAATTTTTAATTAGATTTAAAGGGAGAGACCGACTAGATGGTAGTTCAGCTGAAAGTATTTTTTTGTAGAGAAAAACTTAAGGATTCATTTGATACCAATGAGACATATTTACGGTGTACAATTTTTAAATAAGAGCGTAAAGTCGTTTGTAATATTTCACTAGTTGTTTCAGTCAGCAGAAGAAACGCTTTTGTTACAATTCCTAAATAACATGGACAAAACATGTAACAGATTCTATTCTATAAAGTAGTTGTATGTATATAAACAGGTTGAGAAAAATAATGAACTATCATTGCAATAAGTTATTTTTAAATCTCGAAGGATTATGCAAATTCTTTCAGCTATGTCACTTGTTGCGAGGTTTTCTTTATTATATTTGTGATGACGACATTTTAAAGAAATCCGCGAACAAAATTATAGAGACAGTAAAGGTAATGATGATAATGAAATGATCGATTCTAAGGTTCTACTATGGCTTTCATCGATAATTTCTTTTAAGAAATATGTTCCTAAACAGCATAGTACTAGAATAGTAATTAAAATAAATATTTTACATATTATGTCCGGGTTAAATGGTAAAAACGTTTATTCTGCTGACTGAAACAATTAGTGAAATATTAGAAAAGATTTACGCTCTTATTTATAAATTATACACCGTAAAAATGAATTATTGGTATCAAATGAATTCTTAAGTTTTTCTCTACAATACTGCACTTTCAGCTCAACTACTACATCTAGTCGGTCTCTCCCTTTAAACCAAATCATTAGGACAAAAATATTAGGTGAAATGTAGGGTGGAAGTTACATTGTTTTAATAAGACAGGAAAATTTAGAAATTATAGATTTTCTACCTTTGATACTTCCTGTTCGTCTCCTTTCCCTTTCTTCTTCTTCTTCTCTGGTTTCTTCTCCTCCTTCACTACTTCCTCTTCCTCCTCTTCATTCTTCTCTTCATCTTCGGAGGGGAGGTCATCCGCCATCAATAAACTGAATCCACCCTACAAATAATTATGTTAAAATTAAGTGTTTTTTTCTAATCGACATTAATTCTACACAGTGCTTGGATCCTCAACATTTTGGATTGCTGAATCAGGATCCGCACAAGTATGCAAATCCACGAATCGGGATACAAGGGGCAAAATATCAACAAAAACTGTGTATAAAAACTTGTTGCTCTCAAAACCCTAATCCGGATTCCGGAATGATGAAAATAGAGAACTATTAAAAATTTCTTTATTTCTGAATTGTTTTTATCAAGTTTTAGCATAAAAATAACCAAATATAGAAGAAATACAATTTGAAAATTCTTTTTTTTGTAAAAGAAATCTATGAATCGTAAAGATATGTATATTGCATATGACCTAGAACCGATCCATTTTTCATCCAAGAGAAGTAGAAGTTCTGATTCAACATAGGAATTGTGAAGTAGGAAATCATTTAAAAATTTCGTAAATAATGTAGAGAATGAACGAATGTCTAATTTTTTATATTAAATCTCTCAACAATAACTTCTTAGATCATCAAAATATACTCCCTTGATATTTTAGCCTGTTCAAAAGTAAACGCATATTTGAATGTGTGAAAAAAATGAAAATAAGGACATAACAAGGCAAATTCAGCGAAAAAAAACATAACTAAATTTTTTTTTAATCTTTCACACTAAAATTTGAGATAAAAAGAATTCCTGCTCGAAATAGATCTGATAAATACTACCTTGCTCACTGCAGGAGCATCGTCTTCGCTGTCCGAGTTCGCTTTCTTCTTTTTCTTCTTCTTCTCCTTCTTCACTGGTTTGGGAATATCTTCATCATCTTCTTCTTCATCACTTAGATTTAACTTATCCATTCCCTGACAATATGTCAAATAATTAACAATTAATTCAAGCCAAGTATATATATATATATATATATATATATAAGTTATATTGTATCTTCAGAATCAACCAATCAATCAATCGATAAATCAATCAATAGATAAATCAATCAACTGAAAAATCAATTGATAAATCAATCAATCAGTCAATCAATCGATCAGTTAATTGGTCAAGCGATGAATCAACCCAACAATTAATAAATCAATCCGTCGGTCACTGGATCGATCGATCAGCTATTAACAATATTTACTCGATCTGATCTGATCTAATCTGATCTGATCTGATCAAGTTTAGATCTTGAAGGGAACGGAGGGTGGAACTGAGGGTTCCACCCTGATAGAAAGTTTCGACCCTTGCCTTGTGATCAAACTATGCTTCTGTTTTAATTTAAATCTTCCCCCTTTGCACATTTCAATTTCACCATCCGTTTCCGATTTATCATCGAACCAAAGAGGAGACAAAAATATCACCTTTTCCATATCTTCCGAAATCGATTTTTCCTTTTTCTTCTTTCGATCTTTCTTCCCCTTAGCACTCTTCTCCTCAATCATTGATTCTTCTTCAGAACTGTAAAAAGAAAATAAAAATTTGGAAATACTTAACTTAAATTCTTATTTCTTTATCAAAATGACCAGCACCGATGCGTATTTTTAACAAAAAATTGTCGCCTGTGATAGTAAACGTTTACGAATTTTTAGGTTGCACTGTCAGTTTCTTAAAAATAAATCGGGACGACTTCAAAATGGAACATTTTGATTCCGAGTGTTTATGGTTCCGTAAAATGTGTCAAAAGAGGATTTAAAGGGAGAGACCGGCTTAACAGTGTAGTAAAGCTGAAATACAGCAGAGAAAAAATTTAGAAAATACATTCTAAACTTTTTCTCTACAATACTGCACTTTCAGCTCAACTTCTATGTCTTAAAAAATTTAACATTAAAACCAGGATAGGAAGTCATATTAAAATAATAAAATTGATTTCAGTCTTTTATGAAAAATAGCCAACTTATTCCTACCCAGTTTCACTGTCCTCATCCTTCTTAGACTTCTTACCCTTGGCCATTTTTTTCTCTGAAATGTTGTTTTAAATTAATTTCTAAATGCAATTAAAATCGAACAATAATTGGCTTCATTGTTCAGTAAAGAAACTTTTGAACATTTCTAGATCAAATAAGCTTTAAAAACAAAGCATAAGTCAAAATATAAAGTTTATTTTATTTTATTTTCATTTCAATTAAAAAAAATATTTTTGAAATATCCCAAATTTTTGGGAGAAAATCCGGGAACAAATCAAAACTTTATAGAACACGTGCTAAAATGTAAAGCTAAATCAACTTTATAGCACGCTGATTACTTTATAGCATGTTCATTATGAAATTCCCGATGAAGTGAGAAAGAGTGATAGAACACAATAGTTTCATAAGATACTTTTTGACCTTTGTACTCTGACAAATTTTTAAATTCACAGCCAAATTATGGACCATTAAAAGTTTCCAAATCGTAATAATCAACATTGATCTTTTGAGTTAATTCTGGTTTTTTTAGATATAAGATGTATAAACAGTCAAAATAAATGTTAGTTATGTTTAAGATAAATAAATGAATAGGAACAAAGAATTAATATGAATCTCGTTTAATATAAACAAAAAATGGATCGAACTGAGAATTAATGTAAATCTCGTTTTAAATAAACTAAATAATCTGTGAAGTCAAGTTAAAGTTATTGGTCAATAATTTCATAGGAATCTTGTCATAAAAACAAAAGCTCATTTACTATTCGAAACTACAGATATCGCTTCTCATCTATAAGAACCTACATTGCACTTGCAAATACTGAGTTCCCTTTTATCGAATGCTGTTTTTCTGACGGGTATATCATAGCTAGAGAATTACCCCCCCCCCTTTTAGGTATTTTAAAGTTTATCATACTTGAATATAACACAAAGAACACGAAACTTTTCTCCTTATTTAAAAAACCATGATAATTATCCACATTGTTGAGTAAGGTTACGTTTTGACAGTTTCTGGAGCGAGCGCAGTGGCCTTGTGATCAAAAGTGTTGACCAATGAATGAAAAGAATTTAAGCGAAACAAAAATTCCGTTGTGGGGGTGGGGGGCACAATTCTCGGGCTAGGAAATTACCCATCTATCTAATCGTTCAGTACTCCCTCTACTCACGCATCTTGAATCTATCTCCTCTTCCAATACTCCCTCTACTCACGCATCTTGAGATAAATAGATTTGAACTGATCAAACCCTGCTAGGACCCCTGCTCCAGCCACTCCTCGGAGCATATTGACTCCTGCTCCTCGATACAGGGCCCTTAATCCTTCCTCGCTAGTATTCCATCAATCATTAGATGAAAAAAACAAAGTTCATCATAATTTTTGAAAAAAGGTTGAGACTTACTTTTTAAATTATTTGATACCAAAGATATCAGTTCCAATTCATTGCAATCCCGGGGGCTCATCTTACCTAGGGGGGGGGGGGGGGGGGGGGGGACAAAAAAGGGAAAATTCAGAAATCAAATGGCAGCTTCTTTTCACCTTATTAATACTATTTTATATCAGTTGTTTTCCTTAAAAATCATTGATTTCCCTCAATTTACCGAAATAACGCAATCGCATATTTCTTTTAAACTGATGCGAGAGAAAAGATTATTTCTGTGGAAAATCTGTTAAGAAAATATATACCCCTAACGGTACCTTGACACGTTCGGCTTGATTCTGTATGAGCAATTTCATTCTCTCCAGAGGCGCAGCGCACGTTTTGGAAATGATCGCCGCGCTTCCCGAGAGCATGAAGTTCTCAGCGAACCCCAACTTCTGTGAAGGAACCTGGAGAACCATTATTCAACAGAATCTTCACCTGAAATTAACAAATATTGCAATCACAAATAATTTAAACCGTTTTTTTACATTACCTCTCCCCCTGTATTAAAAAATTAACTGTGGCCGCAGCGCCAGGCCCTCTAGCATGTCCTATGGCCACGGCGCTCGGTCCCCTGACCTGTCCTATAGTCGCGGCGCTCAGCCCAGATATTGTCTTGACTTAATTTAACCCTGGAATAATACTAAGTATATTTAAGAAGACAATTGATGCAAGGAGGGGTTGGAGGGACGTTCCAAGCAACTTTTTCTAGAATTGAGCCTCAATGGCAGTAGATCAGTTTTCCGAAACCCCAAACATCGTATATTAGGACTGAACCGCCCCTGACTTCAGGACCGAGCGATAAAAAAAAAATAATGAAAATAAGATAGTAAAAATTTATCAAAAAGATTCTCTAAATAAAATACCAGAAGTAACTGAAGCAACAGCTGGTATGCATTTAATTCGTTTGTTATCGAAAAAAGAAATGTTTATAGAGAATAAATGAGCAAATGTAAGACAAATTGAAGTTTTTAGAAATAAACACAGGGGTAAACTATCACAAAATAAAAAATGTGCCTTAAAAAAATTATTATTCCGACAAGCATTTGTTTGGTCGTCTGCACTTTATCAGATTTATCTTGATGAAACCTTAATTTCAGATTTAATTTTCACATTTCTTTCCTTGTAATAAATAAGGCTAAATTAACGTAATTTGGAAGATAAATTAATAAAATTTAATGACGCAACAAAGGCCAATTCAGAGGAAAAAAGCGTACACGTGAATATTTTGAAAAATGAAAGCAAAGTACAAATAGCGGCATTGACGCGTTAGTTGTCATTTAACAGTTGGGGAAGCTTTCCGCGGGAACGTTAGGTACACAACTTAGTTTTAAAATATATTATAGATCTTTATATTAAATGCACAAGCTCAGTATATTTCATATAAGATAAAATTTATTGTTTTTCCATTGCAGATAAATTTTCATTATATTTGGTAGACGGATTTTGAAAAAGACGACATTCATAATTATTTTTAAAAATTACCTTTTTCATGCTCACTACACATTAGTTTGTAATAATCATATTTTCTCTTTAAATGTTTTCAATTCATTTATTCATGAATTTCTGGTTTCTACTTCTTTTCTTTTTAATACTATCATCAAGGGCGGCTTACGATATTTTTAAGTCCAAGAAAATTAACAAAATTAATGTTTAAATACATTTTTAACAATCAAAGGAAAGAGACTAGGTTGGCCCCTGCTAGTTTTGCGGTCCAACTATAAAGAGCCCAACTCGGCCAACCTAGTCCTTTTGTGCTATATAGGTCTGAATTTTTGCAGGGAGGAATGTCCCCCCAATTTTTCATAAGGGGATGTCTCCCCTTTCCCTCGCCCCCTTTGTCGCCTCTGGTCCTACATTTTTTTCTCTCTTCAATCTTTAATCTTCTGTCTGTATAGTTTCAAAATGTCACTATAGTCTGTAACTCTGTACATAAAGTTTTGCTTGAAGCGTTACTTACGTGTAAAGCTACTTAAAGAATTTCACCTACATCAATTAGTTTCCAAATATCAATTTATGTAAACATTGAAGTTAATAAAAAACTAGCTGAAATGCTCGGCGTTCAAGGGCGTATGCAGAATTAAATGTAGGGAGGGCAAAATTTGCCCGAAGCGGAAAAAAATTTGTTTGCCCCCCCCCCCCTAGGAGCTCCTGGGAGAGGGAAAAAATTTGAACTGTAAATTCAAAACATTTGGCTTTTTGATATCAGGCATAAGTATACGATACTTTAAAGGTACACATACAGTCCGATTACCTTGTAAGTAATACACTTTATCTCTCCTTCAAAGAAAACTAGCAAAAAAAGCAGTTTCTAAAAATTAAAAAATAAATAAATAAAAATAAAAATTAAAAATTTTTTATTATACTGTAATGTTAGTAATAATTAGTATTTTAACTAGAGATAGTAAAAGACATTTTAAAAAATGAAAATCTCAACTTAAACATAAATTCTATGAGAAGAAAAAAGGACAAAGGACCTGAAAATAATCATGACTTGTAAAAGTTTCTGTTTTGAAAAAAAGTAGGAGTTCAATTAAAATCTTTATAATAAAGCCTTTCGTTCATTTATATGTTTGCTATGGCTGGCCAAACGGCTGAATCAAACGGGCTTAATTTAGTGAGGAAACTCATGGATACTCTAGGGGATGACATAAGCTAAATAGATTATAAGTTTTTTGATTTAATTCGATTTTTAAAACTACGCGGGCAACGCCGGGCACTTCAGCTACTTTGTAATAAAAAGAGAGATGCCAAAACGGTGGTGCAATGAATAAAGTAAATTAAATCAAAATTTAAAAATGGTTTTTACTACCTCCAAACTCAAGGCTTCGTGGCTTGGCATTTAAAAATAATTGTTTTACATCACTATCCCTGATAGCGCCCATCCGATTATGATGAATGTGCATTCTAAATAGATTTTCATTCGGACCTCTGTCATGCATGGTGGCTCAATTCCACGTAGTATGCAATCTTCTTAGTGCACTGAATGAACAGCCAACTAATTTTTTCATGTTCTTCCCTCTTGAGTTTAAGATTTGAAAAGTGTAAATGCTCTGAGTTCTAGTGGGGGCTACGCCCCCCTATTTACAGGTCTGGAGGGCACTTTCCCCCTTTCCCCCATGTATACGCCCTTGCTTGCCGGCGTTGCCCTTGAAAAATAAAATTTTGAATTTTTTAGCCTATGTTACCTCTGCAGATACCCCTGGGTTCCCTTTAAAAAGTTCAGCCCATTCGGTCCAGCCGTTTGGCCGGCTATATGGGAACATTTCATATTTCATATTTTTATTCAACTACAAAGCACGAGATAATACAAATAAAAAATCACAATTTACTATGTATTAAACGGTTTGCCTGAAACCATGTAGCTGCCTTTTTTAGTTCAAAGTTCGCATAAATTAATAAAGTTAAGATATGTGGAGATGATTTTAGAAAACTAGTGTCATCAGCAAATAGATTAGTAAAAAAAGACGAATGTCTTGTTTCATTATATAGATTTACTTTGTTTTAGCTTCCAGTGAACACTGGTCTAAGATCGCCTTAGCTTTAAATAGCAAAGTTTTTTCCTTTTTTGTCTTTTATTTAGTTCATTCCTATTTTCTTGGATTTCTTGAAATCCTCGAAAAGGTTTCGAAAAAATTCACAAAATTTAGTTTCCTGACCTCAGCGACCTCGGCAGTTCGATACAAGATCAAATATTAAAAGTAAGTTATTTTAAAGTTGTAATAGTACGCGTATTCTGTTTCAAACTGTTCAATTTATTAAATTTTAAAGTTTTTAAAACAACTGTATAATGACATTGATATTATGCAAGCTATAATATATGTAAAGCAATAGTTTTAACTGTGGTAGATTTCTGAGCACTGTATATGCATGACTTTAAGTGACCCTCCATGCAAAAATGGCTTAATGCCCGTGTCCTTGTGCATTTTGTACTGGAATTATTAGAATATGAAAACTTTAAAAAACGGCAGTGAAACGTTAATAATCTAATCCAAAGAATTGTTATAAATAAATTGCAGCGACTTCTATTGAATTTTATTGTTTATTTTCTATATTCAATTTAAAGATATGTTGTTTTTCATTTTCAAACATTGACATTTATTCGATAATAGATGTAAAACATTAAAATTGGATCCTTCAGGGGAGGATGTACGCGCCCAGTTGCCCCCCACCCTTCAGTTGGGGTCCTGTTTATCGTTATCTTTCATATTATTTTATTATATATATATATAAAGTATGAACAATATATAAACCTTTTGAATTTTAATACATCGTGAATACACTTTTTTCTGATAATTTGCGCGCCAAACATTTGGAAAATAACCATTATTGAAAATACTGAAAATTTAATTTTTATCATTCATTATACAAAGTAAATATGTTTTGAAAATAACAACAAGTAATATCAACAGATAAGAAAGAGATAATGTTCAGAAACATTTTTACAATCAGTTAGAAACTTGAAGTCCGAAAATATTTTCAACTGATATTCCATAAAAACATGTTGATTCGAGATATACGTAAACATAGGTTTAAGATAAACATATTTTTATAAATAATAGATCCTGTATTTATCCCTTAACCTTGTGTGAGTATATTTGAGATGAAAGATAAGTATTCCAGTTCTTCAGTCTGGTCACATACACCTATACACTTAGATATATATACTATCCTTATACAACCAAACCATTTACACAAATAATATATATATATAACGTAGTTAAACAAGATATTTCTTAGCTTTTACTTAACTTTATACTGGCATTATATGTTTCTAAAATTGGAAAATATACGTTTTTGTATGTTGTTCATTCAAATTTGAAAACAAGATCCTAATTGGATAATTATCAATTTATAGATAATGTTAATATTCACCTCTTTATTAAACTAGTCTTACTGGATCTATGGAATAGAGACGGATAAATCTATTTTGTAGTTGAAATCTTATCTAAAATATATAAACTATGTAGACAACAACCGAAGAGATATTGTTAATTACACGTAGGAATTGATTCTTTGCCACTAGCTCAAACTTTCTAATCCTTATATATTTTCTAACTGATGATGTGAACCTTTTAGATTTCAAATTTAGAGTATTTGATCTAACAGAATTGAAAGTCTGAAATAACTGAGGTCTGCGACAGCGGGCTGCAAAGATATAGGGATTAGAAAATCAGAGTTGGTGGCAAAGACTCAATTCCTTTGTTGTTGAGGTCCAAATCATAACAAAGTAGACTGAAGATGTTAATTCCAATTTAGTTTTAAAATATATTCCACTCTGATCCAGGACTCATGAGTTGACAACTTGAAGTCAAATATGTTTTGAAATGATTTGATATATCATAATTGGATGAGTATAAAACTATGAATGCATGTAATATATACTATATTTCTCTTAAATAGAATTGTTAAAGATGGGACGTGATAAAGCAACAAACCAGCTCAAGGATTACGAGAAAAAAAATAATGTAAGATTTGTGATATTACTAAAAAATATTTTGTATCAAGACTTCTAATATAAGTTGAAAAAGTACATATTTTATTAGCTGGGTGGGGTTGCAGCTCCTTTTGAACTGAAAGTTCTTCTTTCTTAGCCACTACTAACTCAATCTTATCAAAAATTTTGCCGTTAATTTTTTATAACAGTTATCATTATATAGGAGAAAAAAAGTTGTCAATTTTGTCACACAGAAAAATATCTTAAAATGAACGTCTAGTAATTGATATTCTGAAATTTAAAAACACTTAAAAAGCTAGAAACAATTTGTAAGAAGCGTCGGTACGAAAAAACATGGTTAAAGCAACTTTTTGTTACACAATAAACAAATGCAAGAGAAAATAATTCACAATTCTCATAAATTCAAAAGAAGTCAAATTAAATGTCTTTTCAGGGAACTGATGTCCTGACTACAGGTCATGGTGCTCCAGTCGCGGATAAAATAAATTCTATAACTGCAGGACCTAGGGGACCAATCCTTCTCCAGGTATACAATTACACTAGCAGGACCTAGGGGACCAATCCTTCTCCAGGTATACAAATATACTAGCAGGACCTAGGGGACCAATCCTTCTCCAGGTATACAAATATACTAGCAGGACCTAAGGGACCAATCCTTCTCCAGGTATACAAATATACTAGCAGAACCTAGGGGACCAATCCTTCTCCAGGTATACAAATATACTAGCAGGACCTAGGGGACCAATCCTTCTCCGGTATACAAATATACTAGCAGGACCTAGAAGTGCTGGTTTACTTTGATCCTTTGTAAAAGTAAAAAGTAAAGTAAAAAATTATCTATTTATGAAATATAACAAAAATATACAAAATAAAGTGTTTCAGGAGAAAATATTTAAAAACCTTTAAAAGTAGAGGTTGTGGGAATATTTCACCCAATTCTAAAAAATATAAAAATATAAATAAAAGGAAAAGGAAAGGAAAGGATAAGAAAAGTTACATATTTATTGTTTACACTATATTTAATATAAATCAGTGGTGAATTGTTAGTATTTTTCTACGATGAACTAACAACTTTTAGATATAAAAATTATAGATTTATTTGTAATGTTAAACTAAAAGTAAAAAAAGCTTTATGGAGTGTGAAAAAGATATAGGTTCTACGAAAAACGGGCATTTTTAGGCATCTTTTTAATTCACGCTGATTTTTGACATCCTTTATGTTTGATTATATCTTTTGCTCTTTTTAATTTTGTACTGTAGGATCATGTTCTAATTGAAGAGCTGGCCCACTTTGACCGTGAGAGGATTCCTGAAAGAGTTGTTCATGCAAAGGGAGCTGGAGCATTCGGATACTTTGAGGTAGGTGCACCCTGCAGCCTGCAGACAGTAATGATTTAATTACTGTGCAGTATGTATAATGCATATTTAGAGGAAAGCAGCAATTATAATATCTACTTTATCTTCAAAAATCTGATTAAACCTTTATTTTTGTTTAATGCTATATACTGATTTATTAAACATATTTCTTTTTGTTCAGAGTATAAAATTTGCATAAAATAATTTACATTTTTATAAATGCAATCCTTTTATTTAATAATATTTGTCTAAGAAGGTTGAAAACACTACAAACGATTATAGAGAATTATGTCTACTTTTTTTTACTATAAATATTGTTTTTTATATTTGAAGAATAAACCACTTATACCCAACTGGTCCATACAAGGGCGTATCGTATTAAGGAAGGGGGGCTGGGCTCAGCACCCACTGAGGCTCAAAACCCCTTAGAAACAATAGATGTCAAAGATCCCATAGAGCTGAGCATCCATATATTTAGTTTAGATCACTCTACATTTATATTTGTTCTAGGTTACCCATGATATATCCAAGTATTGCAAAGCAGCAGTATTTGATGCTATTGGTAAACAGACCCCTGTAGCGGTCAGATTCTCAACTGTTGGAGGAGAGAGTGGGTCAGCTGATACTGCCAGGTAAAACCGATTATATTAATAATTAATTCATTAATACAATCAGTTTATTTTATTAAACTAGAATTATCTATTAAAACCATTTTAAGTGAAATTATGGACTGCTAACTGAATAAATAAATATTCTGATAAGACCTAAAATACAACACTATTCATTTATCTGTAACCAGATATTAGATTGTTCTCTTTATACTATTCCCTGAATACTAAATAGTTTATAGTGTCCAATGTCCATCATTCATGATTAGCATTCAGATATTCAGTATTCAAATTAACACCGTTTATATACAGGGTTAGTCAATATTCATACAACTGGAAATGTAACATTTTTCAGTTATATATAATCCTAAGTTTTCAACATAAACTGAGAAGGACTGGGCCTTGAAATATATCACTGTTCACAAATCTTGGTCGATTACATTTAAACTATATTTTGTTGCATGAGCCCAAAACTTAAGACAGGGTATCGTTATGAAAACAAGTTTTGAAACCCGCGGTTGCGCGAATGGGGTAATGCAGTTTTGTAGATATGAATATTTTTGTTATGAAATATTATTTTATTTAGTTTCTTCATATTCTTCATTATTTTAAAATCTCCCAAATCAAAATCTACACAAATGTTATGACCCCAAAGAGGAAACTCGGGAGTTTTCGTCAACGATACTCTTTAAATTTTTTGGCTCTGGAATCTGTATAATATTTGTTCTGTACAGTATATGTACACCGTACAGAAGGTGTACAGCTGTCACCGTATTACCATTTGAAATTTAAGGTAGAAATTTAAGGAAATATATAAAGCCTGAAACTGATGTGAGTAAGTCTACAGAGAATAGGAAAAATTATATTTACATTATAAAAAAGAATAAATAATGGTTGATACATAATGAATCGAAGAAATCCGAAGCTTTATATTGACGGGTTAATCTTCCTCTTTTCAATTCTTCGTGAGTACTAAATTCATTTCGGTTTTAGCCCAGGCCAATCATTTTTTTCTCCTTGCCCGTGGTTCAAGCCAATTGGCTTGAATTTGAAATAGAATTCAGGGTCAACGCTGGCTTTGGATCTCCACGCTTTCAAACATGCGTTGAAAGCATGCTTTCTGGGTTGGCATTTTTAACGGACATATCTCTACACGTTATACACGAGGCGGCTTACCATCCGCTCCACTGTTCTCGTTGACAGGGGGTAAATAACCCCAATAACCCCCCTTATTTACGCCACTGTTCTCTCCATGCCTCCACTATGTACTGTGTATTGTCTAGGGATCCCCGAGGGTTTGCTGTGAAAATGTATACTGAGGAGGGAAACTGGGATATTGTTGGAAATAATACTCCAATATTCTTCATCAGGTATATATATATAAATATATTCATCAGAATATTTTATTGAAATTTTAATTTCTTTCTTGTTATCTTTTAGAGATCCTTTACTGTTCCCCAGCTTTATTCATACACAGAAAAGGAATCCAGTCACACATCTCAAGGTATTCAATATATATATATACTTTTATATATTAGTTTATAAACTGCACAACTACCATTCTTCAATATTCATACTTTTTTATTCTCACAGGTCAAAAAGTTAAAACCAGAATTCATAAAAGGATCCAGTACCTGTAAATAGAATATCTAGAAGTAAAGATATATTCTCAAATAATTGAATATTAAAGATAAGTGTAAACTGTGAAACATTATGTTAAATGTACGATGTACTATATGTACTATATGCCCGTGGAATTAAAAAAAAATCGAATTTTAAAATAACAAAATTTCGAATTTTCAAAAAAAACCGGCCTTATTATATAGATATTCATAACTTAATAGAGTTAAATTTTAATTAAGGATCCTGATGCGTTCTGGGATTTTATCTCCTTGATGCCGCAAACTACTCACCAGGTTTCATTCCTCTTCTCAGATAGAGGAACTCCAGTTGGATACAGGTTAGGTATATGTTTATACTTCAGTGGATACAGGTCAGATACATGAACATATAGTAAGATACAGGTTAGGTTTATACTCGGATACAGGAACTATATAGATTTATATAAGGTTAATTCCCAGATACAGGATACAGTTGGGGTTTACAATAAATACTATTTTATCTGTCACTTAAGGCCGTGCAGTTACAAGATGGGGGATAAGTGGGCACTCTGTTATAGAACATTAAGTTTAGAATATATAGGATACAAATATTAAAATATATAACATTTTAAAGGAGAAAGGATATTCTCATAAATTATACATCATGTATTTTATATAAGATAGGTTTTTTTATTATTATTTAGACATATGAACGGTTATGGATCTCACACCTTCAAACTGGTAAACAGTGATGGGAAACCAGTCTATTGTAAATTCCATTTTAAAACTGATCAGGTATATATATATAATTACGCGACAATGAGAGTAATAATAATACAGTATTACACAATGAAGCATTTTCTCTTCAACTACATTCTATTTTAACTATTAATTGTTTTCTATCTGCAATATTTTCTCTTTTTAAATTGAATTACAATTACACAAATATTTTCGGATTTTTCAATATTTTTTGTGGATTTGTAAAAAATCTAATTGTAAGGCGAATATTCAAAACTAGTTTGGGAACCCAGCGCTGCCAAGATTACTGAAAGCTACTCCCACCGTTTACCCGCACTTGTACAATTTTACGGGGAAACCAAATTTTCTCTTTTAAAGTCAACCCACTAAAATTAGAATCTTAAAATCGGTCCAAGGGTTCCTGAGTTATGATCGGAAAAGCAAACAAACAGACAGACAAACAGAGATTACAACTTTTTGTATATATAGATTATAACTATCCATAACCTCCTCACGGTCATTTAGGTCCCACAAAAATGTTAGGCCCGATAGGTTCAACCGTTTTGGCGTCTAATATTAGATACAAACGGAAATTCAGGGATCTATATAATTGTATTGCTGGAGGAGAGTTTCCCTCCTGGACTATGTATATTCAAGTAATGAGTTTCAAGCAAGCTGAAAACTGGACCTTTAATCCTTTTGATTTAACCAAGGTAAAGTACGCAGGAGTAAATTAACAGTTTTTCATGTTGAACATTGAAATACGGATACAGTCATAACATACATAGATTGGTCTTCACTTTTATACATCATTCACTCATAATCGTCCAGACAAACTAGAAAATAGTATAAACCACTCGTCAAATTAAAAAATTAAACAAAGACGACTTTACTTCCGCTTTAAACTGTCTATGACTGAATTGAATATGTGTGTGTATTGTGCATGTGTGCACTCTAACTTCAATACTAGAATAGAACAGCTTTGTTTCCGGTTGAAGGAACTGAACACTCGTTACAAACTCTAATTTTCTTATCCCTGTATCATGATATGCCTTCTAGTGAAAACATTTCATATTTTAAACTCTGACTATTTGATCTATCAAAATACAAACAGTTTACGCGTATGATGACATAAGGTTGAAAGACATGTGCCATAGGTTAGAAAATTTGAGCTTGTGACGAGGATTTCCCTTTTAAATATAATCTATCCATTTTTTACTTCAAAGATACTTGAATCAAACCTGAGCTTTGAACTTTTGAATGGCATTTCCTTAATCCTGATTGGTTAATTAATCTGGAGACTTATAATAACAAGCATTTTTTAATCTCGAGATTAAGAAAAAGAGTGGATCAAGCATTAATCCCCATATCCACCATTCCAAAGTTCCCAGCTCTATGAATGCATAAGAAATAAAGGTTTTGTTAATTGTTTGATATTTAAAATTGTATGAATTATGTTGAGGTTTGGCCCCAAGGTGAATTTCCTCTACTTCCTGTTGGTAAACTAGTTCTCAACAGGAATCCTCAAAACTATTTTGCAGAAGTTGAACAAATAGCATTTAGTCCTGCTCATCTAGTTCCTGGTATAGAACCAAGGTATGTTTAGTCCGGCTCATCTAGTTCCTGGTATAGAACCAAGGTATGTTTAGTCCGGCTCATCTAGTTCCTGGTATAGAACCAAGATATGTTTAGTCCTGCTCATCTAGTTCCTGGTATAGACCCAAGGTATGTTTAGTCCGGCTCATCTAGTTCCTGGTATAGAACCAAGGTATGTTTAGTCCTGCTCATCTAGTTCCTGGTATAGACCCAAGGTATGTTTAGTCCTGCTCATATAGTTCCTGGTATTGAAGCAAGGTATGTTTAGTCCTGCTCATCTAGTTCCTGGTGTAGAACCAAGGTATGTTTAGTCCTGCTCATATAGTTCCTGGTATTGAACCAAGGTATGTTTAGTCCGGCTCATCTAGTTCCTGGTATAGAACCAAGGTATGGTTAGACCTGCTCATATAGTTCCTGGTATAGAAACAAGGTATGTTTATAGTCCTGCTGATCTAGTTCCTGGTATAGAAACAAGGTATGTTTATGTACTATAATGTACGGCACTATACCTAAGTAAATACCATTTTTGGTGGTACAGTGTCATTTGAATTTTCAAGGTCTTTCAAAAAAATAGTTTTTTATCTTTACTAACGGAGTAAAAAATCTTTACATTGTAGCGACGAATAAAGGACCAAACGAACTGAAAGTATATTGAATTGTATATTACAACTTGAGTTATAAACTATCTATATATAAATTTGGCTTGTCTGTCTGTTTGGGTGTTTGGGTGTCTGTTTGTTTGTTTGTTTGTGTCCAATAAACGTCAAAACGGCTGAACCGATCGGGCCCAAATTTTTTGTGGGACATCAAAATTCGATCTTCATTAAATTTTTGAAAATTTTGAAAATCCACGAAATTTTTTGTGAAAATCCGCGAATTATTTTTGTTTTGTTTTACGATGTACACAAAGAGAACATGTTCACAATAAATTTAGAAGATGGGCGCGAAGCGCCCTATAAGGCTAGTATATATATATATATATATTTGGTTTGGTCTTCAGAGCTTCCGGACTGGAAGACGATATCTACGGATCTCCACAACATGATCATAACAAAATTTGCAAAGGCATCTTTAGATCTTAACGTTTGGCTTTATGAAGTGTTTTTTTTGCGCAAATGTAAAATCCATTCACAAAACAAGCCAATTATGTAAGGTCAGATCACTGATGTTTTATTTTGTTTATTGTTTAGTCCAGATAAGATGCTGCAGGGTAGACTTTTCTCGTACAACGATACTCACAGGTAATATCGCACTTCTTACCTTAATTCCCCTTTTTCAAGATTTAAAACTATTTTCATCTTTTTTTTAGACACAGGCTCGGACCTAACTTTGATCAGATTCCGGTCAACTGTCCCTACAGGGCTAATGTCAGGTAGAAAAAATACCGAATACTGCAAAGTTAAAGAGAGTGCCATGCAATAATTATTCTTGCTGTGTGTTTACAGATATTCCTTAGTCGTTAATTTATATTTTGACAGAATATAGATGAAGAATATTTTTTCTTTCGCTTTTTAATCATCGACGGTCATTGGCATTATGAAAATTTATTCGGATTAAAAAGTGAACAGAAATTTTCTTTTGATGATCATGATCACTTAAATATCAAATAAAAATGAATAGAAGATGAATGATTAGTAAAAATATAAATATGCGTAACCAGGAACTATCAGAGGGATGGACCAATGACTGTTCTGGGAAATCAAGCTGGAGCACCAAACTACTTTCCAAACTCATTCTCAGGACCAAACCAAACCAGGTAAATTACATACTATACTTCTAAACATGTGGGGTTTAAATACTTCTTAACTTCTTCATATTTTCTTCATATCCTAATGACACAATGAACACAGTTTAAACCACTGTTTCAAGAATGCAGAGGAGTTCAAATTTCACAAATGAGTATGTCTCTTAATCATTTGCGTTTTTTGTCCAATAAACGTCACTCTAAACAGATGAATCGATCTTTTCGGCATTTTTGTAAACATCGCATGACATCGAGTCAAAGAATATTTATAGTGGATTTGGATTGAAAATTATTACTCATACTAAATTTAGATTTAACAAATTTTGAATATATACAAATAAAAACAATAAAACTGCAAAATTTTAAAATGGCATTGTTTAATTTTAGTGTACGGAAAAGAAACATAAAAAATGTCCCTAAGATAATGGGCACCAAGTCTAGTATTATCTATTTATGCAACATGTCTTGTGTTATAAGTTTCATAAAAAGGTACATTTTTTTTGTTAAAATCCGCGAAATAAAAAGGGAAACCAGCTTTGTCGCTGTGTAAAATGTTACTTATTTGGCTCAGAACAAATAAGTCACTTTTTTACCCAAGATCATAAAATTGTGAGTAAAAATGCGGGATAAAATTTCTCTCAAAATGGAATAAAATATATATTATATACAGACGAGGGGAGATGGTAGAGTTCCCTGCTACAGGAGATATTGGTAGATATAACTCTACTGATGAAGATAACTTTACACAAGCTGGTGTATTCTGGAGAAATGTTCTCAATGATGATGAGAAAGAGCGTTTAGTTGATAATATTTCTTCACATCTCTGCAATGCACAGAAATTCATTCAGGTTATATAATCAATTCACTTTTTAGATTTATTAATTTTAATGAGATTTGGGGAAACATTGTAGATTCGTTGAGTAATAAAATTAAAATCTTAAATAAGATTTTGATTTATAAATTAGAAGGTTACTTTATTGATTCATTTATTTCCAATAAAATCATCTGCAACGTTTCAGTTTAGTGATTCAAGTTTTACAAAACAAGTGAATATATACTGTTTTCTTTAAAATCCGGGCTAGATCTACTTTACTCAATTAACTATTTAAATATTAGAATCTCTTTGTAGAGTTTATAGTATTATTTTAGTTAAGGTTTAATCTATTGTATCGAATCATCTAATAAAAGTATATCTTAGGATCGAGCAATCAAGAACTTTAGTTGCGTGGATCCTGAATATGGAAGAAGAATTCAAGAAAATATTAACAGGTTCAGTAATACTAGATAACAAATACGAGAATGAGGAAAAACAATACAAGTTGTTACGCTGAAGATCTTTCCCAGAAACTAAAATAAAAACTAAAGCAAATAACCAGTGTATTTTAGTAAGTAACAATCAAAAACTGAGGCGTTGCGACGTTTTTAAGTCGAACAATTCTAAAAACTTTTCATAGTTGTCTCATTCTATGTGGAACGAGCTCATTAACTAAACTTCATTTCATTTTGAAATCATGTACATTTTTTAACATTTTAAAACATTTTAAAATATTTTTAAACATTTTAAAACATATTTCAACATTTTAAAACATTTAAAAACATTTTTAAAAATTTTAAAACATTTTAAAACATTTTAAAACATTTTAAAACATTTTAAAACATTTTAAAACATTTTAAAACATTTTAAACATTTTAAAACATTTTAAAACATTTTAAAACATATTTAAACATTTTTAAACGCAAATTTCATCTCTGAAAACAAGTTGAGAAGATTTTGAAATCCTTCAATGCACTCAAAACAAGGACGTAAAATTAATTTTAAAATTAAAGATACAATACATAATACACATTTTTTATATCAATTCTTAATTTTGTAATATTTAGGAGAACTAAGAGAAGTGAAGGGAATATGGTTCATCAGTCTAATCTGTAGTTTGAATATTACAGTCTATGTACTGAGTTAACCACAGATCCATTTATGCATTTATCAAATATTTATCAATATAATCTAAAAACATTTATTCAACTTTACAATGGGAAACATCCTAATAAAGTATAATTATTTAATTTGTTGTTTATTTATTCTTTTATTTACCAACAAGTACACGGAGTAGGGAAAACATATATCACATTAAACTAAAGTAAATTGTACACCCTATGAGAAGCTACGAGGTCACAAAGTCCTACAAGTAATGTCGCTTAAGTTTGACTTCCTCCTTCTGTTTATAAGTTCAGTGTACTTTGGGCTAGAGAAACAAGGATTTGTGAATATTAAAAGGACTTGCAATATTGTGTATATGACCTGGATCTGATTATATTTGTATATTGTGTGGTAGAAAGTTAAAGGTAAACATGAAACTAGATTTCTATTAAACCATCTCAAGGTTTAAAGTTTTGCAACAAACTTAAATAAATTGAAAGGATTGAGCCTAATACAGAACATAAAGGAAAAGTTATCTCAAATATTTTTTGTATAAACCAACTCAAGCAGAAGAAAAGAAGAAGATTTTAAAGAATTTAGTTGAAAACAGGAAAATAAACAGGTTTCGGTGGGATTACATTTCTTCTTATATTCAGTCATATAATGCTTTGTTTCCTGTTTATGACCTAATGGAACTGAGCTTTTGTCTTATACTTAAATATTTAAATCCCAATATTTTTGCAACCTGATTGTATTAACCATCGATATCTCGAACTTAGACTATTTGATATAACATATTTCATAGTTTACAATATATATATAATGTCTACGAAAACGAAGATCTAAGAATTGTTTTATCAGAGTTTGTGTCAAAAACTCAGTTCGTGCCTAACCGGTTCAGTAGTTCCAAGGTTTTGTAATTTATTATCAAATTTGCTATGTCTATCCATCATAACCTAACCTGACTTGGTCACGAGAGGTTGCTATATTTCAGCATCCTGGGATAGGGTTCAAGAAGATTCTATTCATCATAACCTAACCTAACCTAACCTGGTCACGAGAGGTTGGTATATTTCAGCATCAGGGGCTAGGGTTCCAGAAGATTCTATCCATAATAACCGAACCTGACCTGATCACGAGAGGTTGGTATATTTCAGCATCAGGGGCTAGGGTTCCAGAAGATTCTATCCATAATAACCGAACCTAACCTGATCACGAGAGGTTGCTATATTTCAGCATCAGAGGCTAGGGTTCCAGAAGATTCTATTCATCATAACCTAACCTAACCTGGTCACGAGAGGTTGCTATATTTCAGCATCAGAGGCCAGTATTCCAGAAGAATCTATCCATAATAACCTAACCTGACCTGGTCACGAGAGGTTGGTATATTTCAGCATCAGAGGCTAGGGTTCCAGAAGAGCTCTGACAGGACGGGGTCAAAGGTTTATTTGAAAAAAGGAATTCTGGTCTAATAATTTGTGATTGCTGTACGCATTTTCTTATATTTTAAGGAGATAGTTTTTAAGATTAACCCTGGACCTGATAATTGGTAAAGTAAAACTCCAAGTAAGCAATCTGAATAGGATTGCACAGTCGGCCGGGAATACATTCCTCAGCTCTTATTCCTGATTGGTATTATGTAATATATGTAATACATATCTACTTGCATAGAAATATTCTGGTTTAATTATGATATTGATTATTCTTTGTTTGATGTTTTCTTCTCGTTTATGTCATGAATAGTTTTTCTGCTCTGTTTAACCCCTGATGATATGATATTATTTCATGCATTGTGCATTTTTTTTCATAAGGTACATACAGATAGATTGTTAAGTATTTAATTATGTTTAACATATTATCATATTAAAGAAAACCCTGTTTATGGCCGGTTTTCAAAATAAAAAAGGAAGTTTTTCTTTTCAGAAAAAGCGTGTTTACGTTTTAATTGTTGTTAAATAAATGAATAAATTAATAATAAATAATATATAATGAATTGTTTAATATGTACTAAACTATGAAAAATAGATGATGAATGATATTCGATGAATAATGAATAATGCATAATGAATGATGCATAATGACAATGAGGAATGAATAATGAAGAATGAGGAATGAATAATGAACAATGAATAATGAATCATGAAATAATGAACAATGAGGAATAAATAATGAACAATGAATAATGAATAATGAAATAATGAACAATGAATAATGAATGATGAATAATGAATAATGAGCAATGCAAAATGAGTAATCAATTATGAAAAATGAATAATGAATAATGAATAATGAATAATGAATAATCAATTATGAAAAATGAATAATGAATAATGAATAATGAATATAATGAATAATGAATAATGAATAATGAATAATGAATAATGAATAATGAATAATGAATAATGAATAATGATTAATAAATAATGAATAATAAATGATGAATAATAAGTAATGAATAATGAATAATGAATAATGAATACCTTTGTCTAAAAGAATGAACAATAGAAAGCATATTTCTATTGAAAGTTGCCAAGACTGAATAATTGTGAATTCTATAGATCAAAATTCTAACAGAAAAGAGAAAACTGTTTTTATAATAATTCTTTTATTCGACTCCAGTCTAGTGTTCTTCACTGTTAACCCCTTGAAGATAGAGGTATTAAAAGTAGAGGGTTAAAGGGTGAAATTTAGGTAAAATTTCTGCTTTTGAAAAACTATTTTTGATTTTAAGACATGTGTCTTTTTTGGACATTTTGTATACAAACCTTAAACCTTGTCAAACCTTTCTATTTTTTTTTTACTAAAATAAACTTTTGTTATTTCTTTTTTAGAAGGAAATTCTATCTTTAACTCTGATCACCCACTTCTGGGGTTTAAGTATAACTCCCTCGCCATTGCTCCATTTCTATAGAACATCTATTTTTCATATAATCCAAATCTTTCCTCACTCTTTACCTCTTGATAATAAATTGCTCTCTACTCTTTTTATACCTATAGATCCTGCGGTACTTTATAATTCATCAAACATATAACTAACATAGTTCTTGGTGCCATAAAATTTCTAACGAGCCGATATTTGACTGATGTCAAAGCATAGATTAATTAATCTCAAAGTTATTTTATTTAATCAAACAAAAGAAAAAATTATTTTTAAATTTATTTTTAAAACCGCGTGTTTATTAAAGTGAAAGCTTTAAACTACATTATATTCTTTAAAAATAAGAAAGACAGGACAGGAAAGCAGACCACTGTATTCCAAGTCCATTAGCGCCTGATCCAATCAAGGTTCAGTCATGTGTTTGTTGTCTATTCTGAACCAATAGAAATAGTATGGCTGTAAAATCTATCTTTCTATTTCATTATCCAATCAGAGTTATGAATCCTTTAATCGGCGCTAACAGTAAATGAAAATATTTACTTCTACTGAAACTAAAGTGAGACAAATGGAGAAGGTCAAATTTATGCGATATTACTCCTACGACTTTGTTACCTCATAGCTCCTCTACTTTTAAATTTACGCACAATAATTAGAAAATCATATTTAGCCGTTAACATATTATAAATTCAAACTTTATGTTCATCTCAATATGTTTTTACTAAGAGGAGTAATGAGTAAAAACATAATATCTATTTCTGCAACTGCCTTGTGTTATAATTCGGGACATTTACGTTCGGGATTTAAAGGCTTGAATATTAACTTCAAACTAACTATATTACGTAAAAATCCCGACAAAAATATAATTTCCCAAATTATACACAAGGCAGTTGCTCATATAATTTTATTCGATTTTAAACCGAATAAACTCTTTAATAAAAACTCTAAAATCCGCAAAATTTAGTAAAAATCCAGAATTTGTCAGCCTTAGTTGAACTGGCAAGGAAGATTTTAGATTCACCAATTATCTTCACGGATTCTGAGGCGTTGATACAGATCAAGGAAGGTAGCCGAAAAAATTTTAGATTTTTTTTAGTCTATGTTACCCTGGGATACAACTGGGTTACCTAAAAAAACATCATCTCTTCCGGTCTAGCCGTTTGATCGGCTATTGGGAACATATATACGAATGTCTTGTTTATTATATAGAAGATCATTTTTTTCCAATTTAGGTTTTTAAATCAAAACATCCATATTTAAGGGACTTAATAAAAAAGATTTTGAAATATTTCTATTTTTGATTCTCAAAACTTATGTTTTAAAATATATCAATCTGCTAAAAATAACTGAACTCCAAGATTATTCTTTAACTTTTGAATTTATTAAAAACTTTCCCAATGTTTGATGAATAATATTGAAAGGAAAGAAATTCAAATTACCGAGGACATTTTGAAATTGTTTAAATGTATTTCTTGAAAAGTAATATAAATATGATGTGTGATACCACCAGACCAAAGTAGAAAACAAAATATTTCTAATTTTTTCTTTAGCAAGAACCTTTTTATTCGCCTTAAGCTCAAATTTTCTAATAAATTGTCGAAGTTTAAAATATCCAAGATTTACACAATCAGGTTGCAAAACTATAGGGATTAGAAAATAGAGTTTGTGGCGGGTGTTACATGTTTTTAATGTTTTCCATTCTATTTATGAAATTAAAGTTATATATTTTATTCAAATTTTAACATATTTAAATATATTTGTAAGGTTTCTTAATCAGAAACTTAAAGTTTGATTTAAATAAAAAGTTACTAATTAACTGATGAACGAAAAATTTCATCGTTTTAAAATGTTTTTTGTCAGATAAAAATAATCTCTGTTACAGTGATAACCAGAAAACTCTGAAATAGGAAGACGACTTCATTGCAAGACTTAAGAGTATTTTATAAATAAAAAGTTTTGCAAGGCATTTATAAACTCAAATATTAAGTGCAATGGTTCTGCTTACACTGCAATATTGCTGTCGCATGCTCATTGGACTATTTAACGTCATAACTTGAGTCTAAAAGTCGTCTTAACATTCCAGAGTTTACTGGTTACCACTGTAGATATTAAGGATTTTGACAAAAAAAATCAAATCCTTATTTTTTAAAGATACCTATGAAATAGTATTGTTTGTCATGATTAAAAGCATATCTTCAAAGGATTAGACTTTCAGGTTGTTTGAATAAAATTTAACTGTGATATATACAATTGGAAAACTGTGGGAGTCAAAAAATGACATTTAAGAAATTTTGTTTGATGATGTTAAAAAATATGATTTTGATAATACAGTTTCAGCGCGCGCACGGCAATTCTTTGCATTCAGCCTTAATTATTTTTATCAAACACATTATTCTTTCATCTGAATTCCGAAGAAAAAAAATATGACACAATTTTTTAAAATTTGTTTGGTGTTTTCTAATTCTTTAAAATCATAAAACTTCCAATTTTTGTGCCAAGGAATCTTTATACCAAAATTGCGCGTTAAAAATGTTTTTTTTTGCATTGTTTTAACAAAGAGATGTCTGAATACAAAACCTTTTTTAACATTTTATGATTTTCACTTTACCCTTTTTCTATTTTTTACGAATCTATGAAATGCGTGAAAATATGACTAAAAGTGCGTAAGTTTATGGTTCTCTGATGTTTCCTCGGACTGCGTGATCCCCCCAGTTAAACTGCTCTGTGGCCTGGTAAATCACAGAAACATATATTCAAATAAAGTATTGAAATATACAGATAAATCTGGAAAAACGGAGTAGGAAATGATCCGAACTTAAAAAAGTTGTGCATTTTTGCCCGATGGGATTTTAAAGGTTTTTAAAAAAAGAAAATTCAAAATATAAAATATAAAACAAATTTTAATCAGTTTTTGCCCAATGGGGAATTTTAAAGGTTTAAAAAATTCAAAATATAAAATATAAAAATTTGAATAAGATATCTTAAAAATCAATATTTTCTAGAAAAGTTTCCCTTTTCATTAAAGAAAATATCCCGGATGTTTGAAAATCCTAAAAATAGAAACTTTAAAAGCATTTGGCTCGGTATGGTTATAGAAAGGAAGGGTTTAAAGGCATTCTTGCAGATTTTATCTTTTTCGATTGGTTTCTAGTTTCAGCCTTAACATTTACAAGAAACAGCATTTTCTTCCCCTTCTTGATTCAAGCGGGGTCGGGACAAATTCAAATGTTTATTTCAACTGTATAATTTTTAAGGTCGTCAGAGACGCGTTGGAAAGAAGCTTTTATAAAAACAAAACGAAACGAATAAAAAAAGGTGTTGCCAAAAAAAGAAGGAAAAGTATATAAGCATGATAAGAGATCTTTGTCCTTGTGATTCTCCTAAAATAAAAAATCTGTTTTTTTTCTTGTCCGTACATATCTGAAAATTTGGGAATGGGTAAACTGCTATTTTCAGATATTTTGTTGAGAATTTGAAAAATGTTCATTTTAGATTAAATGGATTGTTCACAAAAATATATCAAGGGGATTATAAGTTTACATCTATTGCTTCATTCTGTAAATGAATTTGGATCAGAATTACTCTCATTTAGGAAAAAAAACGATCACACAACTGCTAATTAGCTACTTTCTTAATTAACTTTAAAAAACATAGAGAAGAAATGAAAATAGAATTATGGCTTAACCCATGTATATTTTCGCAATCACTCCCTTTTTCTTTCGAAATTATTTGCTTGGAATTTGTTATCTTACTAAAAATGAGATTGAACTTGGTTTGAGACTGGTTGGATAGGGGAGGAGGGGGGATTTGGGATGGAGGAGGGTTGGGAATGGGTATAAGGAAATGATATTGGGGATGGCGGGGATTGATTTTCTTTTGTGAAATTTATAAATTAAAAAAAAACAGCCAAAATTAGAAATTTGAAAATATGTACACATAAATATTCTTATTTGAAAAAAATGTAAGAATAATGAGAGATGAGGTAGAAAATATAAAATGGTTAAATTATACACTGTAATTTCCTTGAAATAGTGAGTCCAGTAGATCACGTTATATAGAACGAAAGTCATCGGAAATAGTATCCTAAAATATACTAATTTATTTTAATAGTATCCTAAAATATACTAATTTATTTTATTGCCTTTTAAAAAAAAATCCTCAACAAAATTTGAAAAGATATTTTTTTTGATTTTATGTTAATTTTAAAAAATTACGGTCTACGGCAATATTATCTATTTTATTAACCTGGCAATATTATTTATTTAGTAGCCATGGCCAAGTTATCTATTTTTTTAACCTGGCAACATTATCTCTTTTTTTACCAGGCAATATTATCTAATTTAGTAGCCTATCAAAGTTATCTTTCTTTGTAACCTGGGAACATTATCTTTTTTTTAACCAGGCAATATTATCCATTTTGGTAGCCTGGCAATATTATCTATTAATTTAACCAGGCAATATCATCTGTTAAAGTAGCCTGGCAATATTATCTGTTAATTAATTCTACCTAGCAACATTTCTTTTTAAACAGGCAATATTATATATTTATGCAACACGACAATATTCGTGATTCTTGGCAATGTTATCTTTTTTCTAACCTGGCAAAATTTTTTGGTAACCTGGCAATATTATCTGTTAATGTTACTTGGCCATATTGTCTATATTTTCAACCTGGCAAGATTATCTATTTTGGTAACCTAGTAATACTATTTATTTTTGTATCCTGGCAATATTATCTATTTGGGTAATCTGGACATACTATTTATTTTTGTAACCTGGCAATATTATCTATTTTTGACACAGAATTAATAGTTCCTGCAGCCCTGGATCCAGCGGACTTTTCTCTTTCTCTTCTAAAATAAAATGTTGGTGATATTAACAACACATAACCATTTAAATGCTGTACAGTGTATTTTGGTACTTTATTCTGTACTGCACAGGGCTATGTACTTTACCTGGAATCGATATTATGTACTCTGTACCTCTGTAACTGTACTCAATATTGTGTACAATGTACCTGTACTCTATATTGTGCACTTTGTAGCTGTACTCTATATTCTGTACTCTATACTTCACTTGTACTCAATATTGTGTACTCTCTACTGTACCTGCACAACATTTTGTGTACTCTGTCCTGTACTTGTACTTTATATTGTGTACTATGTACTGTACATGTAGACTTTATTGTGTACACTGTACCTGTATTCTATAATGTGTACTCTGTACTTTACCAGTTATCTATATTGTGTGCTCTGTACTGGACATTTACTCTGTACTCTACCTTTATTTTATATTGTGCACTTTTTACTGTGACTGCACTCTATATTATGTACTCTGTACTGTACCTGTACTTTATATTGTGTACCATGTACCCTGTACCAGTACTCTATATTGTGTACTCCGTACTCTACCTGTTCTCTGTATTCTACCTGTACTTTGTACTCTACCTGTACTCTGTACCAGTAATCTACATTGTGTACTCTGCCTTTACTCTGTACTCTACCTGTACTCTATATTAGCTGCAAGACAGAACATAAATTGTCTGAGTAAGGAAATAGATTTCTCTGTCTGGGTTTGAACAGCTTTAACAGTGGACTGAAAAATAATAAAGTTGAGACAACTACAAGTTTTCCCAAACAAAGTTAGTTTCCGGAAATCATTATTCATTGTTCACAATTTTTTTCCCACCAATTCTATAAAACAACGTTAACCCAAATTTTCTTTTTCACTCACCCTTGGTGATAAAATGTATTTTATTGACAAAAAGAAACGAAACCAAACGAATTTAGAAACTGAGTCTTTGCCGCAGACTCAAATAATAACGTTTGAAATATTAAAGATTTTTTCTGTAAGCTAAAAATAGTAAAACAATATTACATTTCAATGGAGTCAACTTTGTTTTGAGGCATTAAACTTCTTCCAGTAATCCTTTTTCCCCACATCTTTACTTAAAGGGAGAATATACGTTGGAATTGAGTCTTTGCCGCAAACTCTGATTTTCTAATCACTATATCTTTGGAGCCAAATGTTACAGACCTGAGATATTTCAAACTATGAGTTCTGTTGAATCAAATCATGTTTTGTAAATTTCTTGGTATTCTTTTCCTTTAAAGTATAAAGACTTCTTTTCTAAACTTTAGCACAATTCATCATTCGCTCATCCTGACACCAAACATTCAGGATAAGGTTTATTTAAAAGAACATTAAGCATTCAATATCCGAAACTGCAAATATTCTCTTATCTTCAGGGGACTGTTTTCTTTCGAGATTTTTTGATTTTCCAATTCCTATATCTTTGCAATCCGATGTTGTTGACATTTCAAATTCTGGATGATTAAACAGAGGTTAAAACCAACAGGATGCAAAGCTGTAGGAAAAGAACTGAACCAAAACAAAATGTCTTCTAGCATTATTTATTTAAATTTGATTTGATAAGAAATATTTGTTCTATGTGAGACCGAATAGATTAGAAGTGCCTACCGCCGGATCAAATTTTAATCACTGATTAAAATCCTTCCTGAATATTTAACTTTGAATCGTTGGTTTAAATTTGAACCGAAAGTAGGAGGTTCATCGACGCAGCTAAAATTTGGTTTTCTGAGATATAATAAAAAGTTTTAATCAATATAAAAACTTCTTCCTAACTCAAGAGAATCAATACTTGTTGGGTTTCTTCTATTCTATGGAAGCCAGACAAAACCAACCCAACCAGGTTTACTAATTAAAGGATGGATAGGGGAGGGATTGGTTTCCCTTTTATACTCATTAAACTTAAACATTTTGCAATCTAGGATGGTAGTATCACTCTTTGATATTTCAAACTTTATTGATCGAGTAACTTTCTTTGGTTTGAAATATTAAAAGTCTCCATCAGGTTGCAAACAGTTCATGATTAAACGTTTTGGAAAGAAAAACAAAGCTAGGTGCATGTTGCAAGACAAATTTTTTTTTATTGAAATGTTGTTGAAATTACTTCTAATTGTTTACTAACCAGGGCGAAATGGGTCAGGCTTTTCAATTTTAATTTAATTGCGTTTTCGTCTTAAAGGGATTGACTTCTTGCCATAAACTTTGATTTTCTAATCCCTATATCTTTGGATTCCAACGTCGTAAACCTTTGAAATTTCAAACTATGACTTTTGTTAAGCTCAAAAAATATAAGTTTGAAATATCAAAGGTTTACGACATTGGGTTCCAAAGATATTGGGATTCGAAAATCAGAGTTTGTGGCAAAGAGTCAATTCCTTTTACAATTTATAAAGTTAAGAATAGCTGACAAAAAGTAAAGAAAAAAAGGCTAAAAATAAATGTTTAATTAGTCACATTGTAATCAAAAGTGGTTGGGACAAGAACTGAACTTTTAAATCAGCGTGCATTTATCTTTTCCATAAAATACGTCTAGATCAAATAAAAAAGAAATTTTAAAAGAATTGATTCGGTTAAAATTAGCTGGATAAATATAGATTAGGTCTTCGTGAATTGTTATTTCAGTTTTCTATTGGAAAAGCTCCTGATCCCCTACTATGGAGAAATATATATCGGAAATTGGGTTGTCAACATACTAGCGGATACTTGTACTTAGATACAACCATTAAAGAGACTGTACGACAAATTAAAGAAAATTTCACGTTGGATTGAAATCTTACATGTTTTGGATCATATTTTACTCCATGTGCAATTTCAAATTTTCATGAACTTTGAAGATTGCATATGAAATTGTTACCGAAATGGAATCTGGTTAAACACATTTAAGGATTTAGTTAAAAGGATTAGACAAACTTTAATTAAGGGTGAAGGTCTGAACTAAGGAGTATTGAATATACTGGAGAAAGAATCGAGCCGCCCCGCCCTATCATATACATGCTTTGCAGACGGGACTTCTTTTGTAAAAATGTTTTTAAGGTCGTCCTTTAATTTTTAAATGTGGCTTTTTACTATACCATATCAAATAGAACAAATTTTTTATATAATGAATATATGTTTGTATTGCCAATGTGTTTGTATAACAAACAAGTTTTTGTTTGTTGTTATTCAGTCTACTTTTTTCCCTGTTTAATGTATACAATAACCTGTTCTAAATTAGTGTATGTGGTATCTTTACAGCAGACAAATATTTCTTTTTCAAATAGAGTACCATCTTTAAAACATACATTATCATATGATAGGTCGGGCTGGGTCGATTACTTCTCCTGTATATTCCATACTCCTTGGTCTCAGCTTTACTTTGACAATTATTAAAATACTAAATTTTAGCATGCATGTTTAGAAATATGGAAAAAATCGACTACTCCAATGACTTTTAATATTTGATATTGATTTTTTAAAATATTTTTCTTGTATAAATGTTGCTTCTAATTTAGCTAGTGTATTTGATTTTTTGCTTGTTCACAAAGGATTTGAAACTTTGGATGACATATAGTTACCTTTAGTCAAGGTACCAATGCAAGGAAAGTTATTTCACAGTATACGCATTTTTGTACTGCAGTGTACTGTCTTTGGGCGAAAAAGTAAACACAAGACGGATGTCACAGCCTGACATGGAATCCATTTTCACAAAAATAATCTATGAAATATTCTGGTCATAGGAAACTATCATGTGAATTTTCAAAATTATCGAAATTAAATGCTTTTAACCTCCTCGGATACTGAACGAACACTGATGCATCTATTTTTGTTTACAAAATCCGCCCAGAGAGAACTGGTTCCAATATGTACGCAGAGAATACGCAACCGCAATTAACTTTCCTTGCATTATAACCTTGCCCTTAGTTAAACATTAAAGTGAAAACAACTTTGTCAAGGAGCAAGCTAATATCGCTTAGTAATTAATTGCAAAATATTTTATTCAGATTTAACAGTAATAAAAAATTACACAATTATATTAAATAATTCTTTGTTTAATAGTTTCAAGTTTTCTAATTTTGAAAAGAGTTTCTCAAAGACATTATCTTTGTCCATCTAGTATAAGAAGAAAGTAAAGTTTGTAAACGAAAATATTCTTAACTTTCAGTCTTAAATATATGTAGCCTCTTTCAGACATTATCTATCTATCTATCTATCTATCTATCTATCTATCTATCTATCTATCTATCTATCTATCTATCTATCTATCTATCTATCTATCTATCTATCTATCTAAATAAAAAAATAATAAAATTATTAGTTGATTGGTATGGTTTATTTTTTACATCCGATGTTTCCAAAAATATTTTAACCTTCATCTTGTAATTTTAAATTTTAAATCCGTTAAGTGAGCCACAAAAAATGTACAATAATGTTTTGGTTTGACCGTGGAAAAATTTTATTTAAGTTACCTTTATACTTTCTCTAGAGCCACCATCTTCGATAATGCTATAACAAAGTATATGTTAGTTAAAAATGGTGAAATTCTGGCGAAAACCTTCAGAAAAATTGTTAGATAAAATCTTCCAAACAGACCTATGTCAAATCGAAATCTGTTTACTGGCTCTAAGAACCATTTATATAAACTTAAAACGTAATAGTATCAAACAAATAAAAAAAATGTTTTAAAAATGTGTTTCAATTTACATAAAATTTTTTTAAGATTATGAAATTCCCGGTTTAAGGTTTAATTAAATTCATATTGAGCATCTTTTAACCAAAAATAAAGGGAAACAGCGAAACATTTAATATACAATAGTTATCAAAGAAAAAAATCTTAGGTTGTCATCAAAGTCTCATGCTTGGTGGAGATCCCTGTATAAATGAACTAATTATATCTTGAGTACACTTGATATAACCAGTAATTACTTGTTCACCAAGGTTGTAATCTCTAAACCCCTTGACCGATTTGTCTCAAACTTTGGTTGGTGAGCCTGGGAGAACCACAGAAATGATGTTAGCTTAAGTTTGAGATTCTAAGTTGATTGGCTCCAGTTTTATAGGAAAAAATAGCTAAAATCATAATTTACGACCAAGCGCTAGTAACCTAGGCAATGCTGGGTTCTCGAGCTAGTTATCTACTAAACAAAGAAACCCAGGGTTATAGCAAAATGTGTTCATACTATTATACGAACTTAACTAGCATCTAGAGAACAACTTTAAGAGTTTAAATGAAATTTAGCCTGTTGATTTAAACAAAAAATTAGTCGTTTTGACATTTTTAGCTAATTTGAAATCAAGGGTAAAGTAAAAAAGAGTTAAATTGTTCCGTACACACTAATTTAAATTTTCAGAGACGTATGAAGAGGGGGGGGAAGGGGGAAGGCCTAAAAAATTCGCTAAGCCCCGCTTGAAAAATATGCATGCCCCCCCCCGGACCAATTCCTTTAAAAAGGTAAAAAATCCTTTTCAATTAGATTTCATTAAAAACATGAACTGCAAATCTTTTTTGCTAATATAAATATTAATTGTAATTGTAATAAAATGCCTAGAAAAGAAAGAAGTTAATATTAAGAATTTGCTTGTATTTTAGCTTGTAAAAATTATCCTTCATATCATTATTTTAATAGTTATTACCAACCATGGTCGAATGCAGACAAAGATAATAATAATAAGAAAAAATATATTCTTAGAAGAAAAAGATTGTTTTGTATGTTGGCCTATTTTTTTGCCGAAAATAGATAATTGAGCATAAAACAACTATTATGTAAATATATGAACATATATTGAAATATATCTCAACCATTTATATATTTTCAGGCAATAAAAATTATACATTTAGGCCTCGGCCTTAACAATAAACTTTAGTTTAGTTTAGTTTAGTTTAGTTTAGTTTAGTTTAGTTTAGTTTAGTTTAGTTAAGTTTAGTTTAGTTTAGTTTAGTTTAGTTTAGTTTAGTTTAGTTTAGTTTAGTTTAGTTTAGTTTAGTTTAGTTTGGTTTAATTAGTTAGGATAATTTAGTTTAGTTTAGTTTTGTTTAATTAGTTAGGATAGTTTAGTTTAGTTTACTTTAGTTTAGTTTAGTTTAGTCTACTTTAGTTTAGTTTAGTTTAGTCTAGTTTAGTTTAGTTTAGTTTAGCTTAGTTTAGTTTAGTTTGGTTTAGTTTTGTTTAGTTTAGTTTAGTTTAGTTTAGTTTAGTTTATTTTAGTTTAGTTTAGTTTAGTTTAGCTTAGTTTAGTTTAGTTTAGTTTAGTTTAGTTTAGTTTAGTTAAAAGGACCAGTATTCGTAAATTTCAAATGACATGTATCCAAATCACAACGGTACAATTAAAAATTTCCCATGAGCACAAATATGTTTCTGTCTGAAAATTAAGAATACTCAAATGCCTTTTTTTCTTTAAAAATGTCTTTTGGATTTTTTTCCCGGTGGATTTTAACACTTTATGAGAAAAACGACGATATCTTCTTAAATATGGTTTAGAGAAATGTAGAAAGGGTACAGTTGTTAATCGGACATTAGGATCTCTAACATGGTGGTCACAGTCCCTTTAAGAAACTAAATGTTCAATGAAGAACACAGCACTTGAAGTTCTGTATACAGTCCATCTAAGAAACTAAATGCTAAATTAAGAACACAGCACTTGAAGTTCTGTATACAGTCCATCTAAAAAATTAAATGTTAAATGAAGAACACAGCACTTGAAGTTCTGTATAAAGACCATCTAAGAAACTAAATGTTAAATGAAGAACACAGCTCTTGAAATTCTGTATACAGTCCATCTAAGAAACTAAATGTTAAATGAAGAACACAGCACTTGAAGTTCTGTATACAGACCATCTAAGAAACTAAATGTTAAATGAAGAACACAGCACTTGAAGTTCTGTATACAGTCCATCTAAGAAACTAAATGCTAAATTAAGAACACAGCACTTGAAGTTCTGTATACAGACCATCTAAGAAATTAAATGTTAAATGAAGAACACAGCACTTGAAGTTCTATATACAGTCTCTTTAAGAAGCTAAATGTTAAATGAAGAACACTGCACTTTGTTTAGAACAACAATAAAACCCATTGTTTTATGTTGTGTTCAAGTATTGCTCCTGCCTAATGACCTTTTTCTTAAGGCCCATTCTCTTTATATATATTTATATACTACCTAACCATTATATAAAGATAATTGTTTTGTTGGCCGGAGGGGGGGGGGGGTACACATTAAAATCACCTAACCCCCTGGATGAAAGAGGATTTTCTGGGGATTTTCTATGAATGATTACGAATGTTCAAAAAGAGTCTTACATGCCTATTTCAAATGATCAATCATATTTTGGCACTATTCTTTAGTTCAGTAAATTCAAATATTATGTATAGAAAAATACTATACGTGGTCGACATATTGCATATGTTGTACGTTTATAAGTAGATAATGATTGATTGTCATATTTGTTTACTTGTTTGTATTTGATATATGAAAAATAAACGGTTAAGCTGATTGGACCTAACTTTTCTGAAGGCTGGTAACACATTTTCCTCTTTAAAAGATTTAATATATTTTGGAAATCCACGCCAAGAAAGATTTTTACAAAACGTATCTTTTTATAATGTACGAAACAAAGGGTTTAAATGGTGGGATAATGTTCAGAGGATTATAGGTATTTTCCCAAAGCCATTTTCCCAACAGGCGACTTCCTAAGTGATAATTTCCCAAATAGCAACTTGCTATATGTGCAATTACCCATGCGGCAACTTGCCAAAGTTTAGGATAGGCCAACGAGGTTATAGAATATAGAGTGATTATGTACCCGCTAATCCTTTAATTATTGTACAGGCCATGTACTTCACTTTAAAGATCAATCTGTATATTGCATTACTCCTGGGTGATTTCTGAAAATATTTATTTTCACTTCAGCGGAAAATAGGGTTTCAATCAAAAACACTTTATAAAGCTGTAGTCATGATATTAACTTTTCCGTTAAATAGAGAGGGATGTACGATTCACAGTGGTACCCTTAAAGCTCTGTATGATTACGAAGGCACGAAATAATTTTGAAAGTAGATTATTTTAATCCTGATTTTTCTCGAAAATGACTAGTGGGCCGATCGCTGCGGTTAGAACAGGCTAGGGGCCGAGTGCTGTCTTTAGGGCAGACTTGGGAAGTTGCTGCTTGGGAAATTGAACGGTTGGGAAGTTGTCACTTGGGAAAATCCTTTGGGAAAGTACCTAACATCTGTTCAGAGCACATTCAATAAGAAACCATCAATTTTTCCAACAACCTTAAACTTCACCATTTATATACGTAGATCTTTGTGTGGATAAATTTTAATAATATATTGAATATACATACTAGCCTTAGAGGGCGCTTCGCGCCCATCTTCTAAATTAATTGTGAACATGTTCTCTTTCACAAAAAATTTCGCGGATTTTCAAAATTTTAAAAAATTTAATGACGATCGAATTTTGATGGAGACAAATATTTAAAATTTTAATCATTCATAAACTTTCCCTGGGGTCCCTAGATGTCCCACAAAAAAATTGGGCCCGATCGGTTCAGCCGTTTTGATGTTTATTGGATACAAACAAACAGACAGACAAACAAACAAACAGACAGACAAGCCAAATTTATATATAGATATATATCATATAAAATATACACTCACATTCACATCAACTTTAGCATAAATATGATTAAGGTTTTGTTTATTATTTTAATTTGTCCACACTAATTCAGCATATATTCGTAGATATTGAAAGATCTAATATTGGATCCGACAAAGTTCGAAGCAAACTTTTGAGAAGAAAAAAGTTTTGTTGATTTTTCCATGATGTTTTGCGCATATATTATATATTATATATTATATTGTATATATATATACACTCTTCAATTATATAAAATACTAGCTTGGGAACCCGGTGCTACAACCCAGATTACTCATAGTTACTCCCACCGTTTACCCACACTTGGACGATTTCACCAGGAAACTAAATTTGCGCTATAGAAGTCGACCCACTCAACTCAAACCCAGACTAAGAACATTCCCGGGGTTCTCTGGAGTTCCCCAATCAAAATTTGAGGCAAATCTGTCAAGGGGTTCCTGAGTTATGATCAGACAGAACAACAGAGATTACTACTTTATTATATGATACACGATATAAATACAACTCAACGAGTTTCCAAATTCAAGAATTGTTTTTGGTGCCGAGCACCCTGATTGTGAATTAATAAATGACTATCGACCTGTGTTCCCTACAGACAGAATTTTCATGCCCCCTGCTTCCATTCTGCTTTCTATATTCAGACATCTGACAGTTCCCTGCCAAAATAGTAAAAATAAAAATTATAAAAGAAAATGTTTTTGTAATAAATATCGTAATATTAATTAAGATTACATGAATAATTATATTGATAATAATGATAATACTATACATTTAGTAATGGAATTAACGCCAAAGATATTGGTTAAATAATACATATCTTTATAATAATGACTAACAATCTACAATTATAACAATATCAATGAAAGTAAGATTAAGATTAAATAACTGTTAATGATAGAATATGTCTAGTTATCAAAGATATTAATTGTTCTTTTTAAAAATAGTTAGAATTGATGATGAAAAAATGAATAAAACTGATGATAATCATAATACCTGAATGGACAGTTTTTCTATAATTTCCGAACTGGTTTGCTAGACTCGCAGTACTCTCACTGAAGTAAAATTTACTATTCTCAGATTTTCTCGTTTCAAGATTTTTTTTATCTCAGACACCCTTTCAAGAAGCTTGTTTGTTAAATGGTACTGAAATTAGAATAATTTCTTTCCCCAACGTTGTATTGGTGGAATTGGTGTGAAGATAGAATGGTTTTCTTCTATTTTTATAATGCTTAGATCTTATACCTGATATTTATTTTTTCACAATTATGTGTATTTAACAAAACTATATTTCATTTAGAAATTCCTTTCATTTTCTCGTACAAATACAAATTCTAAACGTTGATGTAACTCAATTGTAGACATAATAACGAATTAGAAACAAAAAATACAATGTTAAAAATGTGTTTTTTATTTTTAATATTGTCTAAATGCCTTGAGCTGAAAACTTTAGAGTAGTGGTTATTGAGATCAATACTTGATCTCCTTTTTTTCTTAATCTCCAGATCAAATAATGCTTGTTCTCCTCTTGTTATTAATCTTCAGATTAAGTAACCGATCGGTATTAAGGATATAAGGATAAGTTCCCAGCTAGGGCCATTTTCTATCAAAAGAGAATAAAATGTGAGGAATAAATACCTAGTGCTACCGTTGAGTCCGTACAATGAATTGTATGTTGTTATACAGTTGGAGGAGCTTGATGTCCCGCCAGGGTTAGAAGCCCATCTAAACCAAGTTTTAATATTTAGAAGGTGTATCTTTCAGAAGTTTTAGAAAGTCTTCAAACTTTTTTTGATTTTGACCTTTGTGAATGATGCGGAACTTGATCCCAGTCCTCTCCATCCTCCCAGTCCTCGTCATCAACTAGTTCCTCTTCAACTACAACTTCATCATCATCATCAGCAAACATAGCTTCTCCACTTCCAACCTGAGAAGTACAGATCGTCCCATATCATATTAGATTAGCTCCAATCTTTGACGACAATTTACATAATACTCGAAAAATCAAGCATTTTCTGCCAAAAAATTTTTGTTATCCTCATTGAATTTTTTAATATGATTCATTCTTCTTAATTTTTCTGATTTGTCCCCCCCACATCGTAATTTAGACCCATTGACGTGGTCTAATTTGATGTGGGACACCCTGTAGTTAAGCTACGTACAAATAGTTAAACTACTTTTCTAGTGCGAGAGTTCATGAGAGAAGTAGTTTAACTAGATCTTGGTAGAGTTCAACTACTTATCTAGTGTGTGAGTACATGATAGAAGTAGTTTAAATAGATCTTGGTAGAGTTCAACTACTTATCTAGTGTGTGAGTGTATGAGAGAAGTAGTTTAACTAGATCTTGGGAGAGTTCAACTACTTATCTAGTGTGTCAGTTGAGCTAGGTACAAATAGTTCAACTACTTATCTAGTGTGTGAGTGCATGAGGAAAGTAGTTTAAATAGATCTTGGTAGGGTTCAACTACTTATCTAGTGTGTGGGTGTATGAGAGAAGTAGTTTAAATAGATCTTGGTAGAGTTCAACTACTTATCTAGTGTGTGAGTGTATGAGGGAAGTAGTTTAACTAGATCTTCCTAGAGTTCAACTACTTATCTAGTGTGTGAGTGCATGAGACAAGTAGTTTAACGAGATCTTCCCAGAGTTCAACTACTTATCTAGTGTGTGAAGTAGTTTAACTAGATCTTCCTAGAGTTCAACTACTTATCTAGTGTGTGAGTGCATGAGACAAGTAGTTTAACGAGATCTTCCCAGAGTTCAACTACTTATCTAGTGTGTGAGTGCGTGAGAGAAGTAGTTTAACTAGATCTTGTTAGAGTTCAACTACTTATCTAGTGTGTGAGTGCATGAGAGAAGTAGTTTAACTAGATATTGGTAGAGTTCAACTACTTATCTAGTGTGTGAGTTCATGAGAGAAGTAGTTTAACTAGATCTTGGTAGGGTTGAACTACTTATCTAGTGTTTGAGTGCATGAGAGAAGTTTAACTAGATTTTCCTAGAGTTCAACTACTTATTTAGTGTGTGAGTGCGTGAGAGAAGTAGTTTAACTAGATCTTGGTAGGGTTCAACTACTTATCTAGTGTGTGAGTGCATGAGAGAAGTTTAACTAGATCTTCCTAGAGTTCAACTTCTTATCTAGTGTGTGAGTGCATGAGAGAAGTAGTTTAACTAGATCTTTAATTAAATCCGACCTTTCATTTAGTACTTTACAGCTATTGCAGAAACACATATAAACTAAGATTCTGAGGTAAGAATCGATTAGAACATTTGCTAAATATCCCTTCAAAACTGAAAATAGAAACAAGCAGTTTAAAGCAAAGACATCTTTGTATCCATGAGAGTGAAAAATAAAGGTAAGTTGACACGGTAAAATTAAAATACAAGGTCTAGCGACACTAAAAAGTCGACCCTGTCTCAATAGCTGAGGCATAATTTCAATAGCTGTTCAATTGGTGGGATTAGCTCATTATAAAACTATAGATCAAACACACTTGGCTGTCCCACTTAACATGACAGGACAGTTTAGAAACAACTAGAAGATCGAGCTTTGATCTTCGAAATAATTTGCAGCATTTATTCGTCAACCTAAGTTTGAAAGTGCTATTCATATTGTATTATCAGAGAAATAAAGAAAATAGCCCGGCTTTATCACCCCGGACCCTTTCTTCGTCCCGGACTAACCAGAGTGAGAGGCGTTCGGTTTCTTCTATATAAAAGTCATATGCGTTTTGGTCTATAATTAAAAAATGTTTAAACTTACGGATTTGTGTGTTTAATACTTTTCATTCAAAAATATGTCGGCAAAATATTATATCAGAAAAAAGGCAACACAATTTTCTTTGATAGGTCAAATTGTGATTAAAAGTCACAGCTTTCTGGAATACTAATAAAACCGTTAAATCCACGCGTTATATTCATTTAATGAAACCAAATTACTGTTTAAATCTGATAAAACTCTCGAGTTAAATTTGAGAACACAAAATGGTAGACCATATTTTGGAAATGCTAGAAATACCCTTATATCTTGTAATTATTGTAAAATACTTGTAAAATTCGGTTGACGAATAATGCTGCAAATAGTCCCAAAGAACAAAAACGACCTTTAATTCCATTATCAACTGTTATGTTTAAGGGGCACCCTGAATATTCAATATTTATATTATTGAGAAGAAAAGAATAGGGGTTAAGGGATTGGTTGTTTACAAATCATGATATATCGATGATGTTATTGCATACCTTTGTGAAGTAGTGAACCCCAGCAAATTCCAATAGAGTGGCCATACAGTAGCCAAAACTACAGATTATAAACCAGTCCAGAGCAGTAGCATAATGGACCTAGATACGCGAGTATACAGTAGCCAAAACTACTGATTATAAACCTGTCCAGAGCAGTAGCATAGTGGACCTAGATATACGAGTATACACTATACAGTAGCCAAAACTACTGATTATAAACCAGTCCAGAGCAGTAGCATAATGGACCTAGTGTAACAGTGGGCGAGTTTTGTTGATCTTTTACGATCAGCAATTCAAGGATTTTTTGGATCGCTGAGATCATAGCTACCAAGGGGAATCATGCCCCCTTCCCCCCCCCCATTCTTTAACCCTACGGTTGGACTTTAGAGTCCTATTTTGAATCCTAACGGATTTATTTGAGTTTGCATTTGGATTCTATAAATAACCCAAGCGACGCCGAATTTTCCGTTATCTTGAAGACCCAAGCATTGGGGAGGGGGCGGAACAACCCCGGGGTAGCTAGGGTTAAATGCGATCCTAGGATAAAGCAAAATCGAAGGAGGAGAGTTAGTTGATCGTCAGCTCCCTTAAACTGAGGTTCCCTTGAAGAATTCCCCTATTTGATGAAACTGATTTGATTCATAATATTTAGTTTGTATAAGTATCGTTCGATTTGAAGTTTGTATTTTTGTGTCTTTTGTATATAAATATATTGTAAGAAAAACCGACTCGTTGAATATTTGAGAAACTCAGTGCATTGCTTTATTGATTTTTATTCATATACAATACTAGATACACGAGTATACACTATACAGTATACAGTATCCAAAACTACAGATTATAAACCAGTTCAGAGCAGTAGCATAATGGACCTAGATATACGACTATACAGTAGCAAAAACTACAGATTATAAACCAGTCCAGAGCAGTAGCATAATGGACCTAGATATACGAGTATACAGTAGCCAAAACTACAGATTATAAACCAGTCCAAAGCAGTAGCATTATGGACCTAGATACACGAGTATACAGTAGCCAAAACTACAGATTATAAACCAGTCCAGAGCAGTAGCATAATGGACTTAGATATACGAGTATACAGTAGCCAAAACTACAGATTATAAACCAATCCAGAGCAGTAGGATAATGGACCTAGATATACGATTATACAGTAGCAAAGTGAACCTAGATATACGAGTATACAGTAGCATAGTGAACCTATATGAGAAAGTACATTGTAGGGTATAGAGGGGGGGGGGGGTAATAAAAGTCAAAATGTAACGCTTTAAAGGAGAAAATAAAAATGAAGATAAATTAAACAACAGTATTTTCTTTTATTCTTTTCAAATTGTGAAAAGTTACGAAAAACTTGCTATTTTAACGGTTTTAAACAAATAACAGATAAAGCACACTGCACGGGATATTTTCATTTAAAAAAAATTATTATGTAAAATTAACCTTTGGAAGATCAGTTCTACTGTCCAGAGCAATCGCTGATAGGGTCAACACAGCTGTTATTCCTAGAGTTCAAATAAATATCAAAATGAATCACAAACACAGAAAAAACTTTTGATCAGATATTTATTATTTTTATTTTTTTACATCCGATAAGCTAAAAACTGTGATTGTTGAAGTATTTCGTCAGAAAAGATTTGTTTTTGAAAGTGAAAGAAAAATAACAAAATCAATTAATTATTATTCTAAAATCGGTGGAAAAAAAGATTATATAAAAAAGAATATAACTGATAAAATTTACCTAAAGTAACTCTATCAGAGGTAGCTTCTCTATTTAACCAGAATCCAACCCAGCTCAGTATAACGATTAGAGTACACGGTACATACACCTGATTAGTACAACAATTAGAGTACACGGTACATACACCTGATTAGTATAACAATTAGAGTAAACGGTACATACACCTGATTATTACAACAATTAGAGTACACGGTACATTCACCTAATGAGTACAAATATAAAGTACACGGTACATATAATATGATATACCTGTATAAGGAAGTATCCCGTATGTCTCTGTAATAAGAAAACTACTTGCAGTACGGAATATGTTCCAACTGAAACAAAATTACAAATATATAAAAAATTTCTTTGTTATTTTCTTCATTATTTTTTTATTATTTTTAGCTAACTGTTTTTATGCCAAACCCAATGGAGTAGACCTTTGATATTTTAAATAAGAATTCTGTTAGATCAAATAGTTTGAAATATTAAAGGGTTTCACCATCAGGTTGGAAAGATATTGGGATTACAAAATTTAAGTTTGTAACAAAGACTCGGTTTCTTTAGAAAATAAGATGATCAATTATTATTATTTACATTTTAATATTCTATGATATGTTTTGTCTACATACGTTACTTGTTAATAATCTCTAAAGAAACAATGAAATGCTTCCTGAATCCTGGGGAAGATTACTGGCTTTACGATTCCAGGCTGAATCCCAGTATTTCTACTAAATTCAAACAATTCTCATTTTCTAGAATCTAATTTTTTAAGTTGTTCTTAGAACCTTCAGACTTCAGTGTTAGCTATTTACTACACAATTTATAAAAATTATAAATATTAAAAAATACATTTACATAGATTTTACATAAAAATTATTAATATTGGTATAGTTGTGAAGAATATCCCTGGGTATATGTTGACTAAACATAAACTAAGTATGTATTAGTTGCACTGCAGACCTTAAATCCGGATTAAAGGTTTTATATATATAATTACAGCGTTTCCCAAAAAAATGATATGCGAGAAATGACATTAAGTATAATCTTGATTTTTGACACAATAGTTATATATAATACCTTTTGCCTTGGTGTTTTCAAGCCCAATGCCTTTGTTTTTTTAGACATAAGATATTTAGAAAATTCGCTATAGAAAATTCAAGACTAAATTAACAAATTATTGTTTACATTTGAGGTGTATATTATTCATACATTTACAGAATAATATTTATCGATCTTATGCAGATGTTCCTCGAAACATGTAAATTGTAAATTTTTCGCAAACAATTTGTATTAATTATCTTTTATGCACACCAAGGTAATTTTTGATGAAAGTTATTTTTTAGGGAATCCTTAATTCTTGATGAACAGCCTTAGTAATGAAAACTAAAAATGGAGAAATTTCTCATGATTTTTCAAGTAATATTACTGGCAGTTGGCATAACGTCCATATTTAAGGTAAAGAAAATAATAACGTACGTTTACACAATTGTGGTGTTGGGGGGACTGTTTGTAATGAGTATATTATGGACCATAACAAAACCACTCTACATTGGGGGGAAAGGGTTAAACGATCCATTTAAAGGTAAAAACAGCAGTTCCTCACTCCTGGCCCTGGCTGGTTCGTCTCCGCTCAAGCTTTCCTATTCTATCCCCAGCAATACAGCATTCAGTCAGCTGTTGTGGGTCACTCATATCGCCATCTTTAGTACTCACAGCTGCTCATTGTATCGCATTAGGTTAGCATTAATAAACTTTAATTCTTTTACACAATATATAGGGCTGAGCATTTTTTGTAAAAGACCGGGAGCGGGAGTTTGTTAATGACCGGCAATTTTCTTGTTACAAAGAGTAACTTTACAAACCAAAAATTATTTTTGGAACGTTCAATTCTAATTTGATTTCCAAAATTAAATTTTGTGATAATGATCCCTCAAAAGGAATTGTTGTTGCGGTTCAACAGGACATCTTAAACTGTTTGCTGCTGACCAGACTTATAAATTAATGTGTCTATTATATGGGTAGGTGGGACTGAAAACCAGGTTCTTGCTTCTGTAGTGACCATTTGGATCGGTGGACATCGTAATGGAGGAAAGGATGGCATCAAAGTATTTGGTAAAGAAGTGATAAAGCATGCTGATTACGTCCAGCTCAAGCACTGTCAGGTAATTCATTCTATCACAAAGGAATTGAGTTTTTGTCACAAACTCTGATTTTCTTATCCCTATAATTTTGCATTTAAGGTCAGAGACCTTAGATATTTCAAACTATGAATTATTTTAGTTCAATAATAATAGTTTGAAATATCAAAGGCTAACACCGTCAGGTTGCAAAGATATAGCGATTTGAAAATCAGAATTTGTGGCTAAAACTCATTTCCTTTGAACATCCGAAGCAAGCGTAATCAATCGTTTCCTAACAATCATCAACTAGATATGAATTATTTTGGCATGATTGGAAATTATGTTTAGGATTCGAAAAGAAGCATGGAAATACTCAGATTTCAAAACGACATTTCAATAATTAAACTTGACAAGACTCTTAAGCGAAGTAATTCCATCGATTGGATAACAGTTAGTCCCAGGCTGCCCTGTCCCCACGAGACGGTATTTCTTGGAGGTTGGGGTATGGTAGTAAAAGGTCTTCAAGCCACCAGCCTTCAAGAAGCAATATTGTTTATATCAGAGGTTTGTCCGAAGGAATCCTCCGGAACAATATGCGCCCGGGGAGACAAGCTGACCAGCGCCTGCCCTGGAGACTCGGGGGCTGGACTTGTCAGGCTTAATCAAGGGAGACCAGAGTTAATTGGTATAGTTTCACATGGATCCTCCTCATGCTTTCAGGGACATCTAGTGGCGTTCACAGGAGTTCACCAGTTCATAAACTGGATTCAGTATATTATTCAACAATATGAAAATAGTGATTTTCTTACTTGATTCAGATCTGGTGTAGCTTGCTTACTTGATTCATATCTGGTTTAGTTTACTTACTTGATTCAGATCTGGTGTAGTTAACTTACTTGATTCAGATCTGGCGTAGTTTACTTACTTGATTCAGATCTGGTGTAGTTTACTTACTTGATTCAGATCTGGCGTAGTTTACTTACTTGATTCAGATCTGGTGTAGTTTACTTACTTGATTCAGATCTGGTGTAGTTTACTTACTTCATTCGGATCTGGTGTAGTTTACTTACTTGATTCAGATCTGGTGTAGTTTACTTACTTGATTCAGATCTGGTGTAGTTTACTTACTTGATTCAGATCTGGTGTAGTTTAGACTTCTGAACAATGTCTTGGTTATGTCAAACTGAATCATTCCAATATTTGTTTAAATTATAAAATTGATTATTTTGTATTGTTAAGCCAAACTATAAGTTGTTAGTTCTTTGTTTTGATTAAAATATCAGCATGCCTGAGAAAGTTGAAGTTCTCCTTCGTATCCAACAGGATCCCCACTCTATAGGCAATATTTAGCTAACATTTCATCATTTACTACAGTGATAACCAGAAAACGCTGAATTAGGAAGTAGACTTTTAGAATCAAGTCATGAACAATAAATATGAGGCACAGCAATCGTGCAGTGTAAACAGACCCAGTTTACTTAATAAGTGCATGATTTAATAACTTACTAGTATAGCTATTTTCTGTGTAGCATCAAATGCTCTATTTTTATTCTACAGCATTCAATTTCTTTTAGTCCTTTTGTAGTGAATGCCAACTCCTTAGCAATTTCCAGGTACAATTAAGAATTTCTTGACTAACAATGTCAATACACGAACACGCCATTGCCACTGGGCGCTATCTCGTTAACTATCAATATCAATTGGAAGCTCGCAACTATCGATCCCAAATTAAAGGGGATAATCCTTAACCTTAATCAGAACAGGGAACCACATGAATACGATCCGTGATCTATGGACACCACTACCACTCGGCACAATATTGTTAGCTATCAAATCAATCGGAAGCTTGTAACTATCGATCCCAAATTAAAGTGGACGATCCTCAAAACAGGGAATGATTATTCTCTCGCAGAAAACAGTACGGAGTTTCTATATTAACTTGCTATATTTCTGCAGTTTAGATAAGAATTATGTCTCTTAACAGCGTAATTAAAAGTTATGCGCTGTTATAAATAACGTAGTTAAGCAATCACAATATGGTTGTGACGAAGGTATATATATCTAATTACATTGAATGGGTTAATTGCAATACATGATTTACATATTTACTAATAAGCACATTTAGTTAGATGGACAATATACAACGTAATTTACTATAAGCCACTATTTTTGCTACATTTTTACTTAAATTTTTTTTTGTGCTAAAATATTTCCTTCCACTTGTATTCTACTTCATCTGCTGTATAGGCAACTAAATAGAAACAATTAAAGAGGTTGTTTATATATTTGAGTAATGTTTGAGGTACCAACTATTCTAATCAAGCCTAGATATCCCAGGTTTAACAGATGCTTTACTTTTACTTTAATTTTGTATAAAAGAACTTTGCATTTAGTCGACTTTATATTGAGTTAAAAATTAAATCTGTTTCTTTGGTCCTAATCCAGTAGCATTTCATATTTTATTGGAAGTTCTATGAAACTTAAATTTGGTATAATCAAAATCCTTAAATTATCTAAATCTATATATAAATTTGGCTTGTCTGTTTGTCTGTCTGTTTGTTTGTCTGTTTGTATCCAATAAACGTCAAAACGGCTGAACCGATCGGGCCCAAATTTTTTGTGGGATTTGTATACTGTTATTTTCTTGTTTTACTAAGTACAACCGTATGCAGTCAAAAAATAAACAAACAAAATGTAAACATAGCAGACGAAACTCTTACAGATTACAGCTTTCTCAGTAGGTATCACTATACTAAATCAAAGAATTATTAGAAAAGACGATATCGAATTCGTCACTGAATTCCCATGTTTTTTGGGACACCCTGTATCTCAGGAGTTCTGGATTAAACTGTATATTTTTGATGAGGCTAAAACAAAATTTTAAAACCTAATTAAACAAATGTATTTCAAAATGTCAAAATTTAGGTTAAAAGAGATCATTGGTAATAAATGCGTCATCAACACAGACCACATTTTAGAAATAACTAAATTTGAAAAATAGAATAAATAAATGCCGCATAAATAAAAACGACTTCCTAGCATTATGTTCCATTTTTCTTATACAAGTCAACTGTATAGAACTTACATGATCCAAGAACTAAAGGACAACTCTGATGATCCATGGGGAAATTCCTCAGTAACATTGGACACTTGGCTTTGATAGTTAATCTAAATAAAGAGCTTAATTAGTTACATTGGACACTTGGCTTTGATAGTTAATCTAAATAAAGAGGTTACTCAGTAACATTGGACACTTGGCATTGATAGTTAATCTAAATAAAGAGCTTAATTAGTTACATTGGACATATAGATATGATAGTTAATCTAAATAAAGAGGTTAATTAGTTACATTGGACACTTGGCATTGATAGTTAATCTAAATAAAGAGCTTAATTAGTAACATTGGACACTTGGCTTTGATAGTTAATCTAAATAAAGAGCTTAATTAGTTACATTGGACACTTGGCATTGATAGTTGATCTAAATAAAGAGCTTAATCAGTAACATTGGACACTTGTCATTGATATTTAATCTAAATAAAGAGCTTAATTAGTTACATTGGACACTTGGCTTTGATAGTTAATATAAAAAAGAGCTTAATCAGTTAAATTGGATACATGGACTAAAGGGCATATCGAAAGAAGATAGAAAAACTTAAAACAAAATAAATAAATTTCCAAATTGTCCATGCCTACCACAATTTACCTCATTGAGTACGTAATATCTCCATGCTCTGAAATTCGAAGCAACTTATTGGGCCTGTGGTCATGTACAATATATGTACAGTGTATACTGTATATAACATGTTAAATTTATATATTTAAGTAAATATCTTCTTAAACTAGAAGTTGCGAAACCATGAAATTGCCCTCAATAAATTTCTTTGAATATATAAGTGTGTCAAGAGTCCAGTTTAATGCAAGAATGACCACAGAAAATCTTGTCCAATAAAATACAAATTCTTTTATAAAATTTCGTATAAACCAATAAATACAGACATATGTTCAAAAATTGATAAACACAGAATGAATACATTTTTTTATGAATTATTTTAAAGATATTTACGATACAAATATCATGGACAATTAGGATTAAAAAGCTAGTAAAAGAAATCTTTTAGTGTATTGCTTGTTTTTTTCTATTGTAGTATTCCTGGTAATGGTGTGTAGGTAGGAATCCAACCCGTTGTGAAAATAGGTGTCAGGTTTCCAGATCTTTTCCAGCATCTTTACATTCAGACTCAACTATAATAAAGATGTTTTTATTATGTTTAAATACAAGAATTCAGGTTTCCAGATCTTTTCCAGCATCTTAACATTCAGACTCAAGTATAGTAAAGATGTTTTTATTAAGTTAAATACAAGAATTCAGGTTTCCAAGTTTATCTTAACATTCAGACTCAAGTATAGTAAACATGTTTTTATTTTGTTTAAATACAAGAATTCAGGTTTCCAAGTTTTTCTTTACATTCAGACTCAAGTATAGTAAAGATGTTTTTATTATGTTTAAATACAAGAATTCAGGTTACCAAGTTTATCTTAACATTCAGACTCAAGTATAGTAAACATATGTTTTTATTATGTTTAAATACAAGAATTCAGGTTTCCAAGTTTATCTTAACATTCAGACTCAAGTATAGTAAAGATGTTTTTATTATGTTTGAATACAAGAACTAAGATTATCAGATCTGGGAACTGTAACTTAATTTTTTGTTAATCTGCAGATTAATTTAATCCTTATTCCCTATCCCAAACGGTGATCGTCTTGGATAAAACTGAAATGAAGAGATCAAGCAATTATCTTCAAGTTAAAATTCCCACAGTAGGTATCAAGAGTAAGCGATTATGAGTATCGAATCAAAGAATTCCCACAGTAGGTATCAAGAGTAAGCGATTATGAGTATTGAATCAAAGAATTCCCACAGTAGGTATCGAGAGTAAGCGGTTATGAGTATCAAATAAAAAAGTTCCCAGATATGATCTTATCCAGTATCTTAGCATTCAGACGCAATTGCAAAAAATTTATTTATTAATTTATTTTTCATTTCATATCTATAGAACATTTATTTGGATTGTCTGTTGGTTTATTGGTCTGTTTGTTTGCGTGTATCATGTAATTGAGTCACAAACTCAGGTTTTCTAATCCTTACATCTTTGCAACCAAATGTCGTAGTTTTTAAATATTTCATGCTGTTTGGTCAAATAGATTGGAATATTAACTATTAAAACCATCACAATGCAAAGATATAATGATTGGAAAATTAGGGTTTGGGGCAAAAGACTCAATTACTTAACTTGAATTCGGTTGAATTGATAAGACCTAATTTTGTTTTGGCAGCCTCAGAAAATGCTTAAGATGTAAGTGGTGCAAATAAAGTAAATTGGTTTAAACAAATTTCAATTAAAAAACGGTTGGTAACCCACTGACAAAAACACGAAAATCCTCGAAATTTTTATTGTTGTTTCTGCTTAAAAATGTACAAAGATGAAAATATAAGGGAAACCTTTAAAGTTTAGATATTTCCACTGACTGGTGGGAAACTATTATTGTCAGGTGTTGAAAACCAATATACGACAAATCTTGAGTGCAACTATGTTCAAACTAACATTTAACATAGTTTCTTCAACATGCTAGATACTCATAAATATTTAACCCTATCACGATTGAGTGGGGGGGGGGGNCCGCCTTTTTTTTTTTTATGAAGTACTTAAAAACGGCAGAGATTAGAACGCTCAAACTTCTATACTTTTTTACATAATAGTTGTGAACACATTTTTCAAAAAAAATTTGTTATGCATCGGGTGGAGGACAGTCAAATGGCAGGGTGGTTTTAAAAAAAAATCAGAAACTTTTTTAATAATTAAGCGTTGCAGGGCTAAAATTTATATATTTGAAAAGCCCTCGAAAAATGGATGTAATAACTTGTTTTAATAACATGTGCTTCATGTTTATATTTATCAAAAGTAAAAATATTTATTTATCATTTCTTCAACGTATTTTTTGAGCTTTTAAAAAATCCCCCCTTTGGCCCTAACCATTAAAGATAGAAGGTTTTTTTAATGAGCAGGCCATGAAAAGTTACACCAGGGACATGCATCACACTCCCTTATCTCAACTCTAAGAGAAAAATCGAAGGGGGGGGGGGGGACAAAAAAAACTCGGCCTTATGATCTTACCAATGGAACAATTAATGTTATTCTCGCCAGAATTAAATTTTATTTGATATTTAGACACATATTTACAAACCATAACAAAAGAAATTTAACGCTTGCTAGAACTGAAATTTTCTAATCTTTGAAAGCTGATTTCGCAATTTATAGGAATTCTGCAAGATTATAAATTCATAGTTTTAAATATAAAAAGGCTGACACCAGCAGGTTGTAATACAGAAATATTGGAAACTTAGTGCAGCCCTGATTATTAATAGTTAATCCCGCCGTTTACCCGACCTTGGTCAATTTTACCGGGAAACTCAATTTTCGCCATAAAAGTCGAAACCCACTCGACTTAGAACTTTTAAACCAAGCTAAGAACATTTCCGCAGTTCTCCCGAGTTCCCCAATCAAAATTTGAGGCATATCAGTCTAGGGGTGTCTGGGTTATGATTGGATAAACAAACAAACAGAGATAATAACTTTATATATATAGAGAAAAATGAAAACAATAATTTATTCGTCTATTATTCGTCCATTATTCGTCTATTATTCGTCTATTATTCGTCTATTATTCGTCTATTATTCGTCCATTATTCGTCTATTATTTGTCCATTATTCGTCCATAATTTTTTTATTTTTTTTTTACCTGATCAATTTGAAGTTGGTTGGCATTGTGCTTTAATCCTCTTTAAGCAATATTCAGTTCGAAAATAAAATTTAAACGTTATTACATGAAATTGAAACGTAATTACATAAACATGAAACGTTATTACATAAAATTGGAACTTTATTACTTACAACTGAAACGTTATTACATAAAATTGGAAATTCATTACTTAAAACTGAAACGTTATAATGCATGAAATTGAAACGTGATTACATAAAAATGAAACATTTCCACATGCAATTAGAAGGTTAAACATCTTTGACATATTTTGCTTGTCTCTACATACTACAAGACAAGCTTTTTTTTATTTAGAATAATGAAGGTCGGTGATAGAACTTTTAACTATGTTGATTTCATCCCTCTCAAATATTCCTTCATGAACCTAAATTGGTTTATAGTGATGACAATCTAAAACTTAAACCCGGCCCCTTCAATCTTAATTTAAGTAATTTTCAAAAAAAATTTTATTTTGAACATTAAACTTAAAAAACGGGACAGCAAATCAAATTTTTAATAGTTAGCATATTTTTTAACACGTGAAGATTTCAGAAAGTTTAAAAACTAAACCAAATAAAAATCACAGGGTGTAGAAATAAATTTTCAGCGTAAGAGTAAATTATAAATTGAGATGTGTTGTAAGCTGCAAGAAGAAGAAGAAGATGCAATATTGTAATTGCTACGCGTTAAACTAAAATCTTGAAGCATAAATATTTATCATTGCTAACCATGATTTTCACGCTTTTATTAAAAAATCAAGCAGTATTTTGCCAATTACTAGTCTTTTAAAATTTAAGTTAGGAACAAGCGTGTATAAAGTATAAGTGAGTTTGTGTGAAGGAAATCCAAAAGGCCAAGGCACTGCGACACTTTAAATCGAGACTTTATGAAAAGTTGTTAACCAACTAAATCTCAGTGCTATAACTGAAGATAGAAGTATGCACTATTTATCTATGAAATTTTCATAATTAGGACTGCCTTAATTGTAAGCACCAACAGTTTGTACACTTGTAAAGATAGGAGTAAATGTCAGTTTTTGTTTCTCAATTATTAAGAAAATTCCCAAATCTTGAGATCAGAGTAAATAAAAATGATTACAGGATAAACCATCATAAAATATGAATTATCTATTATTTCTATCCGATGTTTCTGTGAGGAGTATTTACTGTTATCCGTCCATTATGCACCTTAACAATTCTCTACCATATCTTCTCCTGTAAAGAAACCTCCTTTCGCGTATAGTCGGTAACATTTTTGATGCTGGTTTTACTCTTAATTTCTCTTTGATTGCCGTTTTTTTTTTTCGTCAGAAAGCTCACTTATTAAAAAAACCTTCTGATAAAGGAATTGAGTCTTTGCCGCAAACTAAAATTGTCTACTCCCTAAAACTTCACAAGCTGAGACCGAATTTAAAGAATTGGAGCGGCGTCTTAAATTTAAGCCACGGCTCAAATATGGTTGGTTTTACTTAAAATTGTATTTAATGTTTCAAGACTTAAGCCGGCGCTCAATTGAAACCTGTTTTTGGCGGATTTAAGACGCGGCTCAAATTCATTAAATTCAGACACTGATTGTGTAAATCTTTAATATTTCAAACTTGCATTAATTTGGTTTATAAGAATTCATAGATTAAAATATCTTATGTCTTGAACATTGGGTTGCAAAGATGTAGGGGTTAGAAAATAATTAGAGTTTGTGACAAAGACTCCATTTCATTAAAAGAAGTTTTAGTAGTAGTTTATCTTTCAACATGTTTTTACATATGTGTACTTTTGATTTTGCGCAACCATTTTAATTTTGTTAAAGAAAGTGCCATTTTGTCTAAAACTGCACAATTTAGGTCCTTATTGTGCATGATATTGTGGAATTGAGGTCAAATCTTTAAATTTCGGTTGAAACCGAGAGAGAAAAAATTGTCTTTATGGCATTTTATAATTCCAATCTCGCACTAATCCTAATTTTAATAAACTTTTAGTCTCCAGAAAGCGAAATTTGATTTCAAATGGTTTCTTACCAGGTTTTTGGTATTTTGACATTTATGTTGTAAAGAAAGATTTTGAAAAAATCAGATTTTTAAATTCTTTTTTTTTTAATATTTTAGAAAAATGTTTTTGAATATATTTTTCCCTGAATCCCAACCTCTCATCTCTCCAGTACTGGCGGAAGTAGCAGTCCATTGAATAATACTGAAAATGTCCCAATAAATGTAAACAAATGTTTAGAAAATAAATTGTTAGAGCACAAAACTACTTTTATAGATGTTACCAACTTTCCTGCAAATTGATTAAATTAATAAAACAGGGGTTTACGTCGACTCATCACACATTGTCAAGTTTTTAGATAGATCATGAACACATAGTTTATAATACTATGCAATGTGGTTACATTTTGTTCGTAATTCTGAAAAGAAGGTTAAGGATATTTTACAACATTTTTGATCTCTAACATACTGTCTGTTTAATTTCTGTAGTTTCTATAATTTCTGTAATTTCTGTAATTTCTGTAATTTCGAATAAAATATTTGTTTATTTAAAATGTTTCGGTAAATTCCATATTACGTAAAAAATGTTATGGTTTCTGTGTGTTATGAGAAGTTTTTTATTTGTATGTTTTTTCTTTTTTATAGTTTTTTATAGTTCTTTATATATCTGATATTGTTCGGTTTTAACCAAGCCATTGTCCAGCATAATTCGAACTAAATTAACAGTTTTGCTGTTTTTAGGAAACAAACTCACAGACCAGCCAGATATACAATAATTTTATAAATATATATAGTAAATCTTTACCATTTCCGCTTCTGAAATTGGTCCCATACTTCGGATCAAAATATTAACCCTGACAGGGGTGGGCTGCCCTGAAAATCTCCTATTCCCCCAAACTTTTTTAAATTTCTGACTTACTGTTATTTTGAGAGGGGCGTTCAGTTTTATCGTAGTTTTTTAACAGATCTTCTAGAATTGCAGTCACATTTCTGAACACAAAAAGTAGTTAATATAAGAAGTAAGATAATAAGGAGGAGAGGGAGAAGAAAATTAAATCAGAGTTAGAGTAGGCTATGCGAGACGAAAAGAGGATAAAGCATGGGTAGTATTTTGAGCCTAGCAACAAAATCAGTGTGTATATTTCTTTTTAAATTATCCCCCCTCCCGGCCCCCACCAGATGAAATTTAACCGTCTGGTTTAGTTTAAGGTAAAGAAAACAAATATGCAATATTACTTGAAGGGAAACAATGACAAATACATGTGTCAGTGTTGTTTTACTTATCACTAAACCTGGTGCTTCGGTGGTGCCATTGCCATTAAGTTAAATGCCCTTTTTTATTACGCTCTTTCTGCAAACTGATTTTATTGTCCCACAATGTTTATCTAGATCTAGTCGTTAGTCGTTGCTTTCAGTTATGAGTAGGTTTAACGATACAGTAGCTATGGCACGTTCAGACATTTTTTTAATCAGTCGTTAACTGCCGGTTAGCTTAGGAAAGTGACCAATTTTTAGGTATCCGTTTGTTCTTATAGCTAAGAACCTAATGTTCCGTTCAGTTAACGTTTTTTTCCCGTTCTTTTTCAAAATTACCGATTAAATCATTCTAACGACATTAACGGTCGATATTTTGAATTTCTTTAACGGCGCCGGCTGTTAAGCATTATTTCATTTATTAATTAATGAAAGCGGGGAAAAAACAGAAGGCACAATTTAAACACTTTTTTGCGTTTTTGCAGTTGTAGTGTGTTTTTTACAGTTGTAGTGTGTTTTTTTTTACAGTTGTAGTGTGTTTTTACAGTTGTAGTGTGTTTTACAATTGTAGTGTGTTTTACAGTTGTAATGTGTTTTTACAGTTGTGTGTTTTTACAGTTGTAGTATGTTTTTAAAGTTGTAGTGTGTTTTTGCTACGAGACAAACAACTGCGGAGTTCTAACATAAATATTTTTTTGAATATTAATTCAATTTGCACTTACTTAAAAAACAACACTTTTTTATTTGCATTTCAGACACTACAAGAGTGAATGTCCCCATTTTCTCTAATAATGACTGCGTAACCTTACTTCATACTGAGAATAAGCATGCAAGAAAACCAGGATTTTAATCTAATTAAAAGGCTTTGAAAGTATCCTAGGAATTAAGTATGCCAAGCTGGTTACTTTTTTTCAGGTATTTGCATACACAATGGAAGCTTATTTATTTCTATTTAAATGATTTTATCGAACATTTTTGATATACATCAAATCATAAACCAGCCTCTTCGACAACTTTTCTCATTATCGTTCTACACAAATACAAAATAAAAATATAAGATGAATTATGAATAAATGATTTAAAAGAAAAGAAACAAGATAAAGAGAGAAAGATAAAAGCTTTGTTCTTTAAACAAACAATTGTAAATTTGAATTTCAAAATGTAGAAAAAACAAGAAAAAATTCAATATGGTAAGTTTAAGGAAGTGGGAGGGGGGGGGGGGCTTCAATCCACTGTTAAAAATCAAAGTGACTGTGTTATTCCCAGGTTTTATCTTGAAAACTGCTGACATGGTGTTAACCCATGAGGCTGAAACTAGAACAAAATAGGAACAGGAAACTTCTCAAAATTAAATTAATAAATTTACATTTTTAGATGAATACATTACTTATATTTATAGTGATAATGATAATGATAATGGTGATGGTGATGGTGATGACAATAGTAATAATAATAATAATATTTATAGTGATAATGATAATGGTAATGGTGATGACAATAGTAATAATAATAATAATATTTATAGTGATAATGATAATGGTAATGGTGATGACAATAGTAATAATAATAATAATATTTATAGTGATAATGATAATGGTAATGGTGATGACAATAGTAATAATAATAATAATATTTATAGTGATAATGATAATGATAATGATAATGGTGATGACAATAGTGATAATAATAATAATATTTATAGTGATAATGATAATGATAATGGTGATGACAATAGTAATAATAATAATAATATTTATAGTTATAATGATAATGGTAATGGTGATGACAATAGTAATAATAATAATAATATTTATAGTGATAATGATAACGATAATGATAATGGTGATGACAATAGTGATAATAATAATAATAATATTAAAAATGATGATAATACAAATTCTAGTTAAGACAATGAAAACCACAAAATTTGGAAATCTATAACCTGAAAAAAACATTTCAGGGTAAAAGTTAAAAGAATAAAAAATCTATTCATAAAGTTAATTATCTTAAAAATTTTACATATCAGAACAAATCATGTTTACCACGTTAACCACTGAACATTCTTCATGACATATTAGAATTTATATTAATAATTATAGTAATCCGAAACCAAATTACACGGTTGACTCCACACTCAACGGTAAAAAGTAAAACTAATTTTTCATTGAGCAATCAGGTTCAAAGCTTTAATTATTAAAGCTTTTGCACTGAAAAGGTCAAACATACAAGTAAATTTGAATAAAAGATGATCATTGTTTTAAAAATCTTTGAAAAAAATGCATTTGGCTGTCGTGCATATTTATGAGTAATTCCGTTATTTTTAATTCAATTAAAATGTCATAATTTTCTCAAAAAAAATCTACATTTTTATTTTGTTACATACTAAAGTTGGTATTTAAATAATTTGCTTGTCTGTTTTCCAGTATACAAATAACAGCACACTGCAAAATAAAACGCTATTGCTCCAATAGATATATCTAATATCTATAACATTTAATGAAAACAATGCAGCTAGATATATCGTACACACTGTGCGATATAATTAGAGCATGCTGCCTTTACATTAAATATTGTTTAGTGATGATCAACAAGAGCTATATGTGCGATATAGCTAATTGTGCTAATTGTAATTTTCCCGAAAATGCAATAGATTTTTTTACAGTGCAGAACGGCTGAGCTGATTGTGCCAAAATACTCCCAGGGAAGGTTTATGGTCGCTTAGTGTTGAAAAATATTACAATATTTGAAGCGCTATGAGGGATTAGAACTTAAATAAAGACTTTACCTGCTGAGTTCTTCCCGTATACTATCTTGTTCAAGATCCCGTCGTCTTCGTTCGAATCCACCGCCATTTTGTTCCAAATCAAGTTGTTTATCTACCAAACTTTCATCATCTTCCTCGGTATTTTCTATTTAAATTTTTGAATTGAAACCTTTTATACGAAAACTTGACTTTTTGCCATGCCTCCCTCCCTTCACAAATAAACTGAAGGTTACTGTGCCAAGCTCTCCGGTTAAAAATTACTATTAGGCTACGGATGACTTACTTTATCAAAAGTTTGTCATGGCGCTTTTTTTTGTACAAAATATGTGCAAAACGTAACATTTTTTTCTAGAATAAAATAAAATGGTTTGGCTATTTTCGAATGAAATTGTGATACCTAGATTTTTTGAAGATCTATGCCGACCCATGGATTGTTGAAACCTATTTAAAAAAAACTTCAAATTGGAAATGAAATATTAGAAAATTTGAACTTTGAAATGAAAATTTTTAAAAATAATTTCGTAATGATGGTTGTTAAACTACCAACCTTAAACTTGATTGGTTTCCGGTCACAGTTTGCAGCCTAAACGAAATCTTATTAAAATTACATTTTTTAAAACTTTCCAGAGCCTAACGGGCAGTGGATCATTCACTCCTCAGAATAAATAAAGGGTATTCTTGTCAGTCATATATCATATGAGGTTTTGAAACCGAAAATATCGTTAAAAATATTCGAAACTATTCAAGAACGCAGTTTTCTTTAAAAACTTTATTTTGAAGTACACTGAGATTCATAAATTCTTGTTTGTTTATAAAAGACGGACACAATCGATTTAATACAGGGGGGGGTCAAATTGACCCCCCCCCCCAGCAGGAATAGGGTTAATAAATCTCCGGATTAAGCATTGATCTCCATCTACTGCAGATCTGCGGATTGATTGAATTCCTCTTTAAATACTAATATTTAAATTTAAAATCGCCCACATTGGATATCCATATCAAGGGTTTAACAATATCCACACAAAAGTTAACATCCGTGTGAATTGAAGGAAATATATCAAAGTAATATTTGACATTAATATTTCATAATCATTTTCAGTTTCCCTTCAAAATTGAATTCGTCACATGCGATCAAAATTCTAGGTTTCAAAGGGAAAATTAATAGCAAAAAGATATGAAAATCCAGTTGTATAGAATTCAGTTATTATTTCATCTTTCATTGTATTCGTAAAATGAAAGGGGAAATTACTCGTAAGAGGTTTGAACTTATCGCAAGTGTAAATTTAAACTTAAATGTAAATGTAAATGTAAATGTAAATGTAAATGTAAATGTAAATGTAAATGTAAATGTAAATGTAAATGTAAATGTAAATGTAAATGTAAATGTAAATGTAAATATAAAAGTAAATTATCTTGAAATCACGTACAGGTCCATTATACATAATTAAAGGGAATGGTTTACGTAATTCCAAGTTTAAAGAGGATATGCGCACCATCGCCACCACCGCCTTGCAACTAAACCTTTGTCGGAGCAAAAAAGACAAAAGTATTTTTTCTTTCTGGAAATAAATAGTTTTCAATTCTCTGCTAAAATAAATTGCGGAATTACATTTAGATATCTTCATACATATGTTACTCAGATAAATAACCAAAGTCAGAATTTAACGAATTTGGGCCTGGTCTCAAATCCGCCAAAAACCGGTTTCAATTGAGCGCCAACTTACATATTGAAACATTGAATTCAATTTTAAGTGGAATCAACCATATTATTTGAGCCGCGTCTCAAATTTAAGTCGTGGATCAAATTCTTTAAATTCTGCCGCAGACTTCCCTTCGTTGAATGAAGGGTCCCTGGAAATTACATCTACAGTTAATTCAAACATCAGTTTAAAGTATTTTCAAGAATTGAATATTTGTCATATATATATATATATATATATATACAGTTAATTCAAGAATTGAATATTTGCCACAACTCATATTTTCCAATCCGTATATCCCTCTAACATGATGGTGTACTTCTGCGATATTTCAACCTTAAAATTTTTGATCTAACAGAATTCATAGTTTACGATATTGAGTTCCGAAGATATATAGAATTAGAAAATTAGAGATTCAATTTCTTTGAAAGAAAGCTAAACACTTTAAAATCCAGTTAAACAGTATAAATTGTTGTTCTTAAAACAAGAGACAAATCTAGATCCTATCCTAAATAATTAAATAGAGTCTCATAAATCAAATCTAGATCCGATCCTAAATAATTAAATAGAGTCTCATAAATCAAATCTAGATCCGATCCTAAATAATTAAATAGAGTCTCATAAATTAAATCTAGATCCGATCCTAAATAATTAAATAGAGTCTCATAAATCAAATCTAGATCCTATCCTAAATAATTCAATAGAGTCTCATAAATCAAATCAAATATTTACAAAAAGTTGCCACATTCTTAATCATTAGCCATCATTTATGTTTTTAATCTATTTATAGTTTTAGAAATAGCTGTCAACTGACAGGTCCACAGAATAACCTACACTGCTAAATATCCCAGTAATTTTGTTCGTAAATTAAATTGCAAAGTTGTGAGATATTCTTATCATTCAAATACATAATTTCGAAAAAATGCTGACCCACTAATTCCACAAACAAATCTGACAAACAAATATAGCCAACAAAAGGGACAAACAAATCAGACAAACTGACTTGACAAACAAATCAGACAAACTAACCTGACAAAGAAACAGGTCAAACTATTCTGACAATATCTGATTTAACTATCTTAGCCTTACAAGCTAACATGGGGTTGGATTCAACCATAGATTAATTAATAACAATACAGATAGAACATTAGATTCAAGGGTTCTGGTACACAATACAGATAGAACATTAGATTCAAGGGTTCTGGTTCACAATAACCCAAAGGATTTCCGCACGACAGCGTTGAATTACAAGACAGGGTTATCGGGAACGAAAACCCCTTAAATACAGAAAAGACGACATCTTGTGTTATATCTGTATTGTTTTTAATCTATGAATTCAGCGTATGTAAAGCGAAAAGTAGCTGAACTAGGTACGGATAGCTGAACTGCAACATTAGAAATTATTTCAATTAGCCATATCCAGTTCAGCCACTTCTCACTATTAATGTAATCCATCCCCTGGCCTACCATAATTTAGAAGTGAACATTAAATCTTAAAGATTTAAAATTATGAACAACAGAAGAAAATATAAAATGTATTCACACATTCTCTCATCTTTATTTATTTATTCGCATCTTGTTATTGAATAAAATGCAAATAAAGATCAACAAAAGTAAGTTTACATCAAAACACTGAAAACCTAGATATTCATATTTCTGTCCAGAGTGCAGTAATTAGCGGTGCAAATCATAATTAGTAATTAGCGGCGCAGATGAAAATTAGTAATTAGCGGCGCAGGTCATAATTAGTAATTAGCGGGACAGATCATATTAGTAATTAGCGGCGCAGATCATAATTAGTAATTAGCGGGACAGACCATATTAGTAATTAGCGGCGCAGATCATAATTAGTAATTAGCGGGACAGATCATATTAGTAATTAGCGGGACAGATCATATTAGTAATTAGCGGCGCAGACCATAATTAGTAATTAGCGGCGCAGATCATGATTAGTAATTAGCGGCACAGATCCTCATTAGTAGTTAGCGGTGCAGATCATAATTAGTAATTAGCGGCACAGATCAAACGATCAAAGATCAACGATCAAAGATCAACGATCAAAGATTAACGATCAAAGATCAACGGTCAAAGATCAACGATAAAAGAACGATCAAAGATCAACGATCAAAGATCAACGATCAAAGATCAACGATCAAAGATCAACGATCAAAGATCAACGATCAAAGATCAAAGATCAACGATCAACGATCAACGATCAAAGATCAACGAGCAAAGATCAACGATCAAAGATCAACGATCAAAGATCAACGATGAAAGATCAACGATCAACGATCAACAATTAAAGATCAACGATTTAAAATGTCTAAATAATTTAATTATATACCTGTAAGGGATAACCAGAATACAGATGAAGATTACTGAACAAAATATTTTAAACATTCTTCTGAATTTTCAAAAAATGATAAATTGAATTATATATATTTAAATTCTATATTTTTAGTTCATTCAAATTAATATGCTTCAAAGCTAAAGGAACTGTTAACGTAACTTTAAATCTCCATCTGAGTAACAATGTGAAGATTAGTTTTTCTCTTCTCTTATGTAAAACATTCTGAAATTATCACTTTTACAGAGAAGCCACTACAAAATGTAATACATTTCCAGTTAGAAATGATATTATGGATCCTTGATTTGACACAAGGTTAAAGAGTACTTTTAAGAATCTGATATCCCACTCTTTTATAAAATTAAATGCGTTTCTTTTTCTGCTCCAGGGAATTAATATATATATATCATAAGGATATAAAAGGTTTTCTGGAAAGTAACTTTTGAATTGCTACAGCTTACAAAATCATGATAATTGCCAAGATTTGTAGAATTACACGGATGGATAAAACGTAATTCAACGCTTTTGTTTCTCAGATAAAGGTTTTAAAATAGGGACGCCTATAATTACATTACCAGCCTCTTTTAAATCTAAACCCCAACTATAATTTGTTCTTTTAAGTAGATTTTAAAGATGACAGTTAAGGACTGTGTAAGTATTTAAGAACTAAATATTTCTGAATTCTGAGCTCCGCAAAGAAAATGCGGGAACTAAAGTATATTCTTGAAAAGGACGGAGGATATATATATATATATATGTGTATATCCCCGTCTCCGGGATTCATCGGAGAAATCTGAACCGACAACCCCGAGGTTCCGACCAGGATGGAGAGAGATAGGTTCCGACCAGGACGGAGAGAGATAAATCTACGTAACTAACAAGGTAAACTTCCTATTATAAAATTGCAACATATCATGTTAAATGAAAGGATTTAAAGAACTGGATCAATTCTACCCAAAACAGACAAGTTGGTCCAGAAACGATTATTATTATTACTCAAAATTTTTATTATATAATGTAGTTTATATTTAATTGTATAACGCCTAAGCCTAAGTTATTATGACCGGAAAATAAATTCTCAATCGTTTTCGGATCTGTTCAGTATTAAACAGAAGGGCGGTTGGGATGATCGTTTTATATCTAAGAAGCTTAGACATTATTTCTGTCAATTTTCAATTAAACGTTGTCTTGCAAATATTACTATGTAATTTTTATTTGTAAAGATTGTTATATTCAAGATTTGTAAAATGTTGCAATGTTGAAATCTTGAGTCAGGTTTAGGATCATCCCTCTCTTAGCATTTATATTTTATCGAACCTTAACCCTAGCAGGTCACTAAATAGATCCCGGGGGGGGGGGCTAAAATAAATAAAAAGAATTGATTTTGCCGATAATATGCAAATTTTTTAAAATTGTTTTTGTGTCGTAGAACTTACAAATGTTTATTTATGGATTTGAATATTGGAATCTTAAGGGTTCTCTTATTGTGCCAGTACTAAAATATAACCCTAAAAATCTGTAACAATAGCAAGCAATAAGTTTAAAAGAAACATTGAAAAGAAAAATATTGTGAGCACCGCTGATCTGTCCTTAAAGTGCAAGAAATACATTGAGACTTGGTGGCAATTAATATAAAATAACATAAAATTAAAAATAGCTAATACAAATACTAGCCACATGAATCAAATCTATCAATTATATCAACTTTATCATCTTTATCAACTCCACTCTATCAACTCTATCAACTCTATCAACTCTATTAACTCTATCAACTCTATCAACTCTATCAACTCTCATCACCTCTATCAACTCTATCAACTCTATCAATTCTATCAACTCTATCAACTCTATCAACTCTCATCACCTCTATCAACTCTATCAACTCTATCAACTCTATCAACTCTATCAACTGTATCAACTGTATCAACTGTATCAACTGTATCAACTCTATCAACTCTATCAACTGTATCAACTCTATCAACTCTATCAACTCTATCAACTCTATCAACTCTATCATCTCTCCATCAACTCCATCAACTCCATCAACTCCATCAACTCCATCAACTCCATCAACTCCATCAACACTGAGCATTATCTTAGTTCTCTTTTGAACTGATGCAATCTTTTAAAATTGATATTAACTATTTATAAATCACCGTATTCAAATATAAACTTAGCTTTAATGTACGTTTGTTTGCTTGTATCAAATATACTAAAAAAACCCGATTGTTGCCATTGTTCACATGAATAGGGCAAATTTATGACTTGAAGTAATGTTGGTAAAAATTAAAAACTTGTGTTTGGAAAGTTGGAACCAATTGGTTCAGCCGTTTCGGAAATTTATTGGATGAATAAACAAACAGAGAAGACATAGAAATGTAAAGATACAAAAGTTGATTTATGTATTTTCAATGAAAAATGCAAATTGATCATTATTGTCCTGGCAAAGGATTGATAATTTTGATATTCATAATCAGCGGATAACTTATTTATATCTCAGGTTTTAGTTTAAGACTTTAAAATCGTGCTTTGATTTTTTTTGTATATTTATAAACTAAGACTAGTTAAACATGACAGAAATATGAGATGAAAGGATTTTTCAGAATCGTATTTCCACATTTTGAGAATGAAATTGGTTCTTTTTTACATTTTCCTCACCCCCTCCGCATATTTTGCTGTTGCTATTTTTGTATTGATAAAGAAAGTCAAATAAGAGAGTTATTTTTGTAAAATATCATCTTTTATAAAAATAAATCTTAACAAAGCACCAGTAAAAGTTCAGTTAAGCCGAGTTATCCATGATACTTCCAAAACTTATTTACACTTTCGTCGGAACCATGTAATTTAGGACAGTAGGTTGTTTGTTTGTAAAAACAGGAAAATTAAATTAAAAGTTCAAATAAATCTTCTTCTTTAGTTCTCTCTAGTTTTCTAGTTCTCTATGTGTTCTATTTCTCTAGTTATCTAGTTCTCTAGTTTTCTAGTAATCTAGTTTTCTAGTTCTCTAGTTCTCTAGTTTTCTAATTCTTAAGAATTTTAGTTCTTTAGTTCTTTAGTTCTTTAGTTCTTTAATTCTTTAGTTCTTTAGTTCTTTAGTTCTTTAGTTCTTTAGTTCTTTAGTTCTTTAAATCTTTAGTTCTTTAGTTCTTTAGTTCTCTAGTTCACTAGTTCTCCAGATTTTTAGTTCTCTAGTTCTATAGTTCTCTAGTTCTCTAGTTCTCTAGTTCTTTAGTTCTCTAGTTCACTAGTTCTCAAGAATTTTAGTTCTTTAGTTCTTTAGTTCTTTAGTTCTTTAGTTCTTTAGTTGTTCAGTTTGTTAGTTCTCTTGTTCTCTAGTGATTTAGCTCTTTAGTTCTTTAGTTTGTTAGTTCTCTTGTTCTCTAGTCATTTATACTTTAGTTCTTTAGTTTCTTTAGTTCTTTAGTTTGTTAGTTCTCTTGTTCTCTAGTCATTTATACTTTAGTTCTTTAGTTTTTTAGTTCTTTAGTTGTTCAGTTTGTTAATTCTCTTGTTCTCTAGTCATTTAGTTCTTTAGCTCTTCAGTTTGTTAGTTTTTTTGTTCTCTAGTCATTTATACTTTAGTTCTTTAGTTTTTTAGTTCTTTAGTTGTTAAGTTTGTCAGTTCTCTTGTTCTCTAGTCATTTAGTTCTTTAGTTCTTCAGTTTGTTAGTTCTCTTGTTCTCTAGTCATTTATACTTTAGTTCTAAAACTCTCCAGTTCTGTAATTATTAAGTTCTCTAGTTCTCTTGTTCACTAGTTTTCAAAAAATTTCTTTAGTTCTTTAGTTCTTTAGTTTTTTAGTTCTCTTGTTCTCTAATTCTAAAGTTCTATAGTTCTCCTGTTCTCTAGTTCTTCAGTTCTCTAGCTCTCTAGTTCCGTAGTTATCTAGTTTTCCATATTTTAAGTTATTTAGTTCTTTATTTCTCTTGTTTTCTAGTTCTCTAGTTCTCTTGCTCTTTTATAGTTCTCTAGTTTACTAGTTCTTTCAAATTTTAGTCCTTTAGTTTTCAAGTTTTCCTGTTATTTTAGTTGTCTAGTTCTCTAGTTCTCTAGTTCTCTAGTTCTCTAGTTCTCTAGTTCTCTAGTTCTCTAGTTCTCTAGTTCTCTAGTTCTCTAGTTCTCTAGTTCTCCGTTTTGAATGGTTTGATTTAAATTATAATTCAGTGGTATAGTAGTCTATGATATTAATTATCATCAAACCAATGTAATAACGTGTCACACTGTACTTGTATTTATAAAACACCACTCTGCTCTTTATTTATCTTTTAATCTTTATAAGAATGTGATTTTATAAAATTTGGCAAATATTTAAATAAAATGGAAAGGAGGAAGCAAACTGTGTTAAACATCAATTTTGCTGTTAATGTTTGTAACAAGAGGGGGTGGAGATGAGGGGGGGGGGTGCACGATGCATGTTCCACCCCCCGATAAGTGGTAATTAATGTACGTTGTAAATAATTACTGGTGCACCTCCTTTTTAAAATCCTAATAAAAAACCTAGTTTTGACACTTTGTTCATTTCATATCTACATTTAGAAAATTCATAAATATGTAATTAAAGTAGGACGGGATTTAATAAGTATGAGCTACGATGCTAAACTTCCTACAGCCGGTTCAAATTTGGAACCCTGATTGAAGGTTAAAAATTAAGGAAGGATGAAGGATGAAGGATGAAGGAGTTTAAATTCATTAAATTCTGTCAATGAATTCTTATACTATTGTTTATTTTCTCGAACCTTGTTATCTTTACACCGGACACAATTCTTTTTTATATTTTATTCTTTTAGGTTTAAGAAGAGAGAAATTATTTGTGACTTCTTTGTCCTTAGTGGTGCAGAGTGTCACTGTTAATTGAGTTCAGTGACAGGAGACACAGACACTTATTTCATTTCTTACTCTTACTAAACCATCCAACCATCCAACCATCCAACCATCCAACCATCCAACCATCCAACCATCCAATCATCTAACCATCCAACCATCCAACCATCCAACCATCCAACCATCCAACCATCCAACCATCCAACCATACAAACAGTCAACCAGCCAAATC